AATACCCTGACCTACCCTTATAGAAAGGATAATTAATATCGATCTAGTAGCATGTATCCGATAGGTACAGTCTTCTTAATCTATATCAACAGTACATATCTGAGTGTATATCGCTGAGCATACATCTTTAGCATGTATCTGGATATATGGCATGTCTATAGCATATCGTATGCATGTCTATGGCATGCCTCATATATAGTACAAGTCTGTAGTACATAAAGTATCTGTAGCTAGTATCACGGATATAAGCATGTGTTTTATAGCGTGGATCATAAAGTACACATCTGAAGCAACAAGCTCATATTGCATTAATCTTGGTGCCTATCCAGATATGGTAAACATTCATAGTCAATGTCGGAATACAAGTATAAGTTTATAGCGCCATCCATGTCCGTGGTGCCATCTATAGCCTATATCTTATATAGTATAAATCTTATAGTACTAGCGTATCTGAAGTCCATATCTTCTTATAGTATAAATCGATATCGTACATCTAATCCAGTGTACATACAGTTTATGTCTAAATCTGGTAACTGGATGAACTGTCGGAATGCATATCATAGTGGATGTATTCCACAGAACCCTTTATCTGGGATATTGTGCAACTATGGCAGCAGGGCATAGTTGTCATATTTGAATATGCTTGTTATTGATTTGATTTTATTTGGATAAAGATAACATCTCTTATTACGACCATCATGGGTGTGATTGAATACACTGTGACCAGGAGTGATTCATTCACACGATGTGCGATATAAGCATGCATCTTTACTTTAGTATGTTTAAATGGTTTTTTGATGTACATTTGAGCGCTTTTATTAATAGATCCAAATAGCATTAATTTGAATGAGTGCTATTTGATGAATTTCGGGTTTCAATCAAGTTGCGTTTGGGTGGCTATTTCATTACAGGTCTATTTGGATACTCTTTTATTACAAATATAAACTTATTAAAGATGAAAGCTCAATAGGAGATCAACTAGCTAGAATCCTTCGGTTCCTAAACCTCTGAGCCAATCAAATCGCTTGAAAACTCCGCTGACCTAAAAAAAATTTGCGAGGGTTTCCCTCTGTTTTGATGTGAGGCAAAATTTTAAGCGCCGCTATAATAGCAATATAGCCGCTGCTATCATCAGATTTCCCTCAGGTGCTAGAGCATGCCTTACTTACACCACCTAGTTCTAAATTCTGGCGTTGAGACTCTCAATCATCACTAAAGTAAGTAGTGATAACCAAGTGGAGGCAGCCTATCCACCTCCTAGCCTCGGATAGAGTCTTGTTGAGCTTCAGGGATAGGCACATCCACACAACGTAAAAAAAGGTATGCTTCAAAGAAACATGATAATAATAATAAAAGATAAAATAAAAGAACATGCTACTATAAGAGTGTAGTAGTATGTAGGCAAAAAAGAGACACTCACACGAAGCGAGTCAAAGAAAAGCATAACAAGTACAACATCAAAGATGCTCAGAAAAACTCGTTGTTCTTGCAATAAAAATGCATACATGAGCAACGCGCATGGTAGTAATAGTCGGATGTAAAGCAACATGGCACAAATACGCACAACTGCAAAAGCAACAGTGGTATTATCAGTATGCAATACAACATAGAGACTAATGTTGCTTTATGTAAAGCTACAACAGAGGAAATACTACCAACAAAAGAAAAAGAAGAAGAAAAAAGCGCAACAAAGCAAACATCATGAATGCATTATCACGAGAAAGGAAGCAATAATATAAACATTCAAAAAAGTCTTTTATCATTGCGACCAGAAGAAAAAAAGATACTTACCACTTACCACATCCACAGATAGACCTAGGGTTCGAAACCATCGGATATAAACCAGAGAAAGAGCATGCACCAAAGACAGTAGACCAGGAAAGACCATATTAGCAGCAGTAGTAGCAACACCAGCACCATAGACAAACCGAGGAACGAACAACGCCACCAGCAGAGACCAGACAAAGGCCAAAGAAGCAATCACCAGACATGATAAACCAAAGAAGTAGACAGCAGAGGTAGCAGAGAAGTAATGGCAGCAGCACCTATGTCAATCAGGCAAAGCAATTATCGAAACCTAATGATAAACAATTTCGATTAATGCTTATTCTACATCTTTCTCTGCTCGTTATCGAATGGTACCTATATATTCCACTTTGAAGAAGAAACATCAAGTCTTTTTAACAGTGCAAGGCAGTCTTATCAGAAGCTAGAGTGTTATTCTCAATCAAGCAGTTTCCAAAACAGCCATGGTTTCATACTAAACGCGCTTTGCAAAAAAAGGTAAAAAAGGTAAAAAAACGATGATATAGAAGAATGAGAGGACGTACTATCCGACGTCACGTCCAGTAGATTTAGTCTCAGTCTTGTACCGTAGCAGCCGTAATTGCGGCAATTTAATTTGGATTTGTGTAGTGGGTGTTTTCATGTTCAAACTTGACTTAATTTGACATCCTTTGAACGTTTTTGTCAAACTTGACTATGAAAACTCTCGTTATCATACCCAACTTCCTAATATACCTTTAAAGGACTAAAAAGGCCGCATCGAATGGTGTTAATTACATTCAGTTTTCAGACCGAAAGTAATGAGCAATTTGAAAAAATATGAGAATAGGTTTTCCGTGGATATGTCAAGATTTAGCATATCAAACCTCATAGAAAGTACTTCCAGTGTTGCGTTCCATCTTTGCGATCAATTTGATCTAATATGTATTATAGGAAAAGTCTTCATTTTTGGGGTAAAAAACACGATCGTTTGATTTTTAAGATTTTTCCTTTACCAATACACATGAAAAAATGAGGATTTTCATCGATTTGCAATGACCCAAAAAATTTTGAGATAAAGCATCAGTAAGTAAATCGTGGCCAAGAGGAATCGTTAGGTGCTAAACTAAGCGCTTAAAACGCATTGTGGCATAAGTTATTCCAGCTTGAAAATGGTTAAATTTGGACAGAATTTGACTTGAAAATAAGGCGTATTTGGTTCTGTTACCGAAATGGTAAAGAAACTAAAGCATGGTTTGATGTCTCTGATGTTCTGCACTGTACAAAACTCAACGTCTACGCGATTGACGCTTTTATTCTAATTCTAAGGCTCAGGAGGTATCTCTTTTTGAAATGCGCGAGTACAGTAATTTTATAGCTTGAGCGTCAATGGTATTATTATGCAAACCTGAATCCAACAAATTGATCGAATTGAAAGAGATGCGCATCAAGTCAGCAGGACACTTTTGATGGTAGTCTACAATAAGTATATTATGCTTAGCCGTACAACTAAACTTAAAGCCTATTCTCAACAACGTTGGACCATTATAATTAAAGAAAAATGGCTAATACGAGACAGGTTGAATCGTTGTCAGAACGATTGGGGAGATCAGACAACGAAACCTTGTATCAAAATCGAGCGAACAGAGGAGATTCATGATACCTGCATATTCTGCGATACAAAAATCGACAAAAACAAACCTGTTAAGCACAAGGAATAAAAAGATTATTATTTGTAGCTTATAAAAAATGTTCAATATTGTTGTGCCAGAAGGGCTACAACTGTCTATAGAGATTAAGGTATTATTGATGGGTAGATATGTCTGTGTTGTGCAACAACATGGACAAGCTATGATAATTGAAGTGCATCTCAACTATCTAAATGCTGAGGTTCACCAGATGTGATAAGCGTTGTACAAGATAAATTGCTACTTTGGCATTCAAAACTCAGTATAAATAGAATAACCCTTGTCTTCATCAATAAATCTTTAGTTTTTGTGTCTGATCTTATTCAAATAAGTCTTTTCTTGTTTTTATAATATCGAACATTTTTTATAAGCTACAAATAATAATCCTTTTATTCTTTGTGCTTAACAAAGCTCATATTGCATTAATCTTGGTGCCTATCCAGATATGGTAAACATTCATAGTCAATGTCGGAATACAAGTATAAGTCTATAGCGCCATCCATGTCCGTGGTGCCATCTATAGCCTATATCTTATATAGTATGAATCTTATAGTACTAGCGTATCTGAAGTCCATATCTTCTTATAGTATAAATCGATATCGTACATCTAATCCAGTGTACATACAGTTTATGTCTAAATCTGGTAACTGAATGAACTGTCGGAATACAGATTAGAGTGGATGTATTCCACATTCTATACGACGGTGTCGTTTCTATAGATTGGTCTTAGGGGTCTTGAATATCCCCTGCTTGTAGCTCATGAAATATAAGGTTTTGAACGAAATTATGAAGGGAACGTACATCTGGTACTTAAAGCCTTTATATTATAATGGATATAACGTAGAGCTATCGAATGGTCTTCGGATTGTGCGAATCCAGTGAGTATTTGTCTAGATATGGTAAAAAAGGGTATCATGCAAAATCATCGATTGTTGTTCAAAATCTGCCTGTGATAGCAAGCAAAAAATCTGGTGACGATTTTTTGGTCAGGACAATATTTTCAATATTTCATGATAGAGTTATGCCAGAGCTTCAAGCAAGAGCTCATTCGATAGGAAACTTTTTGGTCTACAATGTTTAGTAATAGTTAACAAAATGTTCTGATGACAGATACTGGTTAATCTTTAGAGAACAGTCAAAAAATTGCAAAAACAATTGTACCAGATATCAGGTGAGCAATGTACGCCAGAGACTTGATATAAATACCATTGTATTTTCCTTTGAATTCTCTACGAGTTTCATATAAGTTTGAAGGGGTGGTTACTATCAAGAAACGCGTAATTTTACGGTTGATAGATTTCGGAATCCCATGGACCATCATTCAGAACAATAGAAAGTGAATCTCCGTTAACCTTCCGCATGTGTACATCACACAAGTGTGCATTTGACCAAGCATTTTAAAATTTATTAGCAATTATTATGTAATAGAATCCGTAAAGAATTAGCAAAAATGTATAAATGAATATTAGATTATTAAGAGTAATTTATTGCTGAAGTTATTATTTGAGTAAATTGTTTTAGATTTTATGTAGTGAATCAGCATGATAATTATTTGGCATGAGGATCATTAAGATCACAAGCACCAGGGTGACGAGCACAGTATTTAGGCTGAACGGGTTCAGCGTCAATGCCACGAGCTTGTAAACGGAAGACCCAATCGTAGAAACGTTCAGATACAGTCTTGACAGTACGTCTAGCGCCTTTATTGTCATAAGAGCCGGACCAGTAGACCTCAGCAGCAGCAGCAGAGCGAGGCCAGAGACGTCCATCAATGACAGTTGGGCCAGTTTGTTCAGCCCACATGGCAACTTCACCACCCAAAACCTTACCCTTATGGGCCTTATCAATGCCGTAAGTCATATCGAAACTGTAAATACGTTGCCATGTCTTGAAAGGAGCACACCAGGAGCCACCAACGCCACCATAGTTGAAAGTATCAGTAGCAGTTTCAGTTTGAGTAGGACTGATATAACGCTCATCATTACCAACCCAACCGCCATGACCGCAATCAAGATAAAAGTAATCATAGTTGCTGACGATCACATCATAGCCAAGCTCAGTGTAAACGGCAGGAGGCTTTACCCAGGACTGGACAATCGTGTTCTTGGGGTAGCTTCCGCCATCCTTGATAGGATCTTCCCAAATAATTGGACGCTTGTTGGTCTCATTGTTGACAAATGCCAACAACTTATTGGTCCACTCAAACCAGATCTCATGTGTGGTCAAATTGTTTTTCTTGCTATATTCCTTGATACCAGCGTCCAATTCATAACAAGCAGTGTTGATTTCATCACCACCAGTGTGATACAGCGTGTCGGGGAAAGTCTGAGTAGCTTCCTTGACAATATCCTTAACGAGACCAAAGGCTTTGTCATTGATAGGATTCAGTTGACCTATTGAGCAAAGCAACTGATTAGGAACAACGCACTTTTGTACTTTGTTTTAATACAACTGACCTGCAGGAGGCTCTGCGGCATAAGCAGCCCAGAACTGGTCTGTACAAATCATGTAGTCAGGATGAGACTCGCCAATGGTAGCTGTGTGAGCTGGCATATCGACTTCCAAGACGACTCTGATACCACGAGCCTCGGCATAAGAAAGGATCTTTTGCACATCTGCTTGAGTATAAACTTCCTTGCTAGAATAAGCACCCTTTTCAGAGAGTTCAGGATGGCTTTTGAAATACAACGGCCATGATTGGGAGTCGGTTGCATGCCAATGTAATACATTCATCTTGTTGTAAGCTTGAGCATCCAGCACACGCAAGATATCATCCACTGGATAGTAATTGCGAGATGTATCAAGCAAGATACCACGATGGCCATAAGAAGGAGCGTCAGTGATGTTGGCAGTGTGAGCAACCAACTTGTCGCCTTCAGAGACAACTAATTGAGAAAAGGTTTCCAGAGAACGGAGTGCACCCACCCAAGTTTCGGCACGCACATTAGCAAAACCACCCAATTCAGGAACAACCAAATTGTAGGACTCATCGACATCGACATCCAATTTAACAGTATTGTCAGATATTTGAAAGTTGATACCTTGAATCTCGTTGCGGGTCAATTTAACAGTAGAGTTGTCAGTAGGGACTTGAACAGGAACCCACTGTTCCTTCTTGATCAAGGCCAAATAGCGATCGGCAGCAGCTTGCACAAGCTTGTTTTGAATGCCCTGAAATTTGAAATTGCTAGAGACGATGGCGCTAGTACCGGACCATGCAACGTCTTGAGGAATAGGAAACAGGAACGTTTTGGCCTCAATGCCAGCAGAAACCAAGGCGCAAACAGCAACTAAGGAGAGTAGTTTCATGATGTATAGATGTGTCGAATACAGAAAGTTGACGAAAGAAGGGCCTATTTATACGAGTACAGAGGATGGCAATGATCCCGTCAGGGCATATTATATAATACATTTCGAGAACATGCCTATAGAAACATGGGAACTGATTCTATTATCTAATTAACTCTATTTTATAAGGGAAACCCTTTCTTGTTGTTCTCAGGGAAAGCCCATGTACATGACCTGATCAAAGACATTGTACTCGCCGTAAATGTAATGTGAAGAAATACCAGAAGCCTGCTTCTTTTAGATGTTGGTACGAGTGAGAGTAGTATTATCTAATACAGCATTGCACTACACTATTACCATGGAAAGCCATTGTTTAATACATTTGATGTAATGCTGTAATGTCAAAGAGTAGCGTTTGTGCTTGTATAACCCTCCGATGAGTTTGGGTTGGGGGTATCCTTGCCACCTGCAATACCTTGTGTTCAGACGAGATGTTCCCATGGAAGGAAGAGATTCTTTAAAGGACATTGCATGAAGAGAATGACTCAGTCCATGTTCAAGCCCTCTTAACCAGCCATGCACACAGATACTCTTCTTGCTTAATATTGCCCTTTGTAGGTCTGCAGACCGATATGACACAAGAAACTACGCATCGGTCTTTGTGTTGTCTCCTCGGTCTTTCTTGGGAAACACGCATAATGCATTACACGAGCACAAATCAATACACAAGCAATAATGGTGCAACCTGAATCCATTCGACCCTGAGCCATATAGCATCCGCTCTCATGCTTCCAATTTTTTTTTGCGGCATCTAGCAAATAGGCCGTGTAGAGCGTTTTCTTATGTATTTGTCAGCAGGAGAGCCTCGCATGTTACAACAGAGCAAGCCTGAAAAGAGAAATCACACAGTTTGTAGATAGCACAATTTAAATTGAAGCTTTAATAGTGGGTATTTAATTACGAATAGGGCCAGCCATTTAATCAAGTTCCATGTGATCATATCCAGCATTTTGATCCAACTCTGTCTCTAATAGTTCCTTCAACACATCTATCATGGGTCTTTGCTTGAATTGTGCTGCTATGCCTGGAAGATGCTCGCCAGTATCTGCTGTTTGGTCTCGGTTGTCTCGAATTACAGCAGTTGTTGGATAGGCTGAGCTTCTGTCTTCAAACGACATGTCAACGAGCATGGGCTGATCTTGGGCATTCACTACTTCAATCTCCACTTTATGAATCGATTCGCTTTGATACTTGATCGTTATGGCGTGCGTTTTCTTGAGTTGACCCACCTCTTTTAAGATTTCACGCTTGGTGACATAAGCTTGAAGTTGATCGTGCACAATACGAATGAATGTCTAGATATAATACATAAGCTATACAAGCCTAGAGTACAGTTCAAAACCTACATCGAAATCAGCAGGCAAGTGTGTTTTCTCAATGCTACTCAGATGTATAAAGTTTGGTATGGTGTGGTGTTCTATTAAAGATTGTCGCATGCTTCTAATCGAACTCGCGTGGTATGTTTGGTCTTTTTCGTAAAAGATGTAGTAGGATTCTTTGTATGTTTTGTCGTAAAATGTCTCGAGACGGACACAGCTACGATCGCCCTTGAACTTGAACAAGGTGCGTCCTGCAAGACGATGGTAGCTGATGGCTTCTCGGAGACAGCAGGCTTCCAGCGTTGACATCATTTTGGCGAATACTTCTCTTCCCATGGTATCAAACTCATAATCAGCCACTCTAGTAGGATCTGATTGCAAGCAATAGCTCAGTCAAACGACAAGGGCGAAATCATGCCAGAAAGTTACCTTGTATCAGATCCACAAGTGTTGATACAGTCATGTAGGAAAGGTCCTCTTCTATCAATTCCTTTTTCAGTTGCTTATCTCGCACAGTTGCTGCTGCCACTATGGGATACTTGTCAGTAACTAGATGCTGTACTAGGCGCATTCGACATATTTACATCTTGTCCTCATCTCTTTGATTTGCGCCTTGAGCCTGTCATTTTCAGTAGGTAAGCTGTATTGATACAGATTAGATACACTGCTCGACTCGTGTGCTGTTGCTGCTTACAAAGCGTCTTCTTCCATTTCTCGTTCAAATAGTGTGCGTCGAAAGAAACAAAAGAGAAATGCATATTCGTGACTATTGGACTTTATAGCATTGGATGCGAGACACACGTTCAAGACCAAAACGCGAGACCAAATTCAGCATTTCAACGCTCTTATTTCCCTTCCGCTTTTCTATTAACAAGATGGTAGATTTAACACCTGAGCTGCTTGAGAGGCCAGACTTTCATGATCAAGTGAAAAGGTAAGTTACTAATCAACTCTCATCAACCTCTTTACTAACGCATTGTCATTACAGTATTATCAAGAATGGCGATCCCAGGTAAAGTCCATGTCATGCATTCTAGGGAGGCATCATTCATGTTGAATATCATGTTTGCAGCTCCTTGACAGCAGGTCAAATCCGTAGCGAACTGGAAACGCACTTTGTAGGTGTCATTGATGAGAGCGAGCGCCTTATGAATCTAATGCCTTGGTTAGGGATTAGAAAAAGATGCTTTAAAACAAAAACCTTACAAAAAGGTGTTGAACGAGATCATCGATAAGACCTATACCGAATTACAAGATGAGCAGGAGCTTCAAGAACACACACCAGCGACTATTGATTCAGCTAAAGAGGTTTCTCCGGTCAAACTCTCTTCACAGAAGAGAAAGGCCGCCTCTCCTGAGAAGGAAGAGGAGCCACTGTTCATAAAGAAGGTCAAAGTTGACTCTGACGACGACAAAGAGGACATACAGCCAAAGAAAACCATACAGAGGAAGAGGCAATCGAAAAAGGTCATTTCGGATAGTGACGAGGATGAGGAAAACGAGAAGGGTCCTGCAGTGAGTGCTGTTATCAAGAAAGAGGATGAGAAGAGGAAGGATGTTAGTGACGAAGACGACAGAGAAGAGGACAAGGTAGATGAGGACGATGACGATGAAGAGGGAGAGGAAAACGACTTTTCAACACCACCTCCAGCAACCAAAAAGACCAAAAAGAAGACTGCAAAATCCAGCGCTGCTACGGTAAATTTGACGTTTGATAAATTTCACCATTTGCAACTATCTTAAACAAGCACTTATAGACAAAAGACGAGGAATCCGTAAAACGACTCAAACAGTTCATCAACAAATGTGGTGTTCGCAAGGTGTGGTAAGATAACCGTGTCAGTGTGGGTCAATGTCATCCACTTTTTTGCTGATCCAAAAACTCCACCTCAGGGCTAAGGAATTGAAAGACTGTGAGGATACAGCCGCAGAAATTAGAAAACTAAAGTCCATGTTGAGAGAATTGGGTGTTCACGGCAGACCCACTCTTGAAAAGTGTGAAGCTGTCAAAAAGGAGAGAGAACTGAAGGCAGAATTAGACAGTCTGGATACAAGCTTGATCATCAATGAAACTAGCCGCAGAACAAGGACCAGAAATAGTAGTCAAAGCAGACCTTCTTACGCAGTGGATGATTCTAGTAGCAGTGAGGACGAGGATGAGGAGAAGGAGGCGGGACAAGAACAAGAGGCTGCAGACAAGGCTAATGAAAGTGGCAATGAAAGTGACGCCGAGGCTGACGATACAAAGGAAGAAAGCGAGGATGAAGAAGAGTCATCAGACGTAAGCTGACTGCAGAGAGTATGCAAAAATGAATGACTCACAGACTGCAATTGCTAGGACGAATTCCAAGGAGATGAATCTGATGAAGATGCCTGATTGCCACACATGATTTAATTCACATTTATGCAAACTTACTATTCTTTAGCGACCAACATATATTGCGATTTACGTTTTATTTATACAGATACTAAAAAAAAAATGATCCTCTTTTACTGATTTGAAGCAATAAATTACAGCTCTACATCTCCAATTATGCACGTCTCTCTTTTGTATGCTGCATTGTAGCAAGCGCTTCTTCTGGCTTGTTTGGCGTTTCTCTACCATCATTGCCAAAACTAAGCTACTGAGATACAGAAAACAACACTATTATCGGATAGCGACACTGCCTCTTCTACGTCAAGCACCATAAATGATGTATGCAGACGTGTGCCGCTTGTGCGAATCAAATGGCAAGTCGAGTAGCTTGGCTTTTACATTTGATATTTGTACATGGTCAACGGCCTATTGCAGAAAGCATCCATTTTATTGTATGCGAGGTCTTTTGGTATAGCTTGTTTGCAAGCCGATAGTAAATCCCTATTTCTGATCCTCTTGACATGTTGCCAATGCAACAACCTGCTTAAATGAAGGGCGAATCGAGTGACACAGTGCCTAGTCTATTTCCAAAAGAGCTCATCGGGTCATGAATCCAATTGAACTCCATATCATCATCCACTGCCCAGGAAAATGAATATTCTTTCTTGGTATATCCATCCTCCTTTTTTTTTTTTCCTCTTTTTTTCCTCTTTTCCTCTATTTTACATCTATTTGAACTATAACTATGTTTTCAAGAGCAAATCCATTTGATGAATCTGTCAGTAAGTAGTCTGCCGTATAAGAGATGTCTGCTTGATTGCTGACAAACATCAGTCGCTGCAACAAATGAAAACCTCACTGTCGAGAACTGGGAGCTTATCTTGGCAGTAACCGACAAGATTACTCGCGCTTCACCAGAAAGGTACGCATGGCTGATAGGAATAGACACTAGATCTGCTGTTCTTGTTACTCACTGCCTTGACTCAAATCACCTACAGCGCAAGAGAGTGTGTTGCTGCGGTGGAGAAACGATTAAACAACAAGAACCCCAATGTTCAACTCTATGCCATTGCCGTAACTATTTCGTTTTGTGTGCAAAAGCATCACAGCATCGCAGCTCACATTTATTCCTTCGTAGCTGACCGAGGCTTTGGTCAAGAACTGTGACATTACCGTGCACCGTGAGATATCTTCCCGCTCATTCACCAACACACTTACAAAGCTTGTTCATGATAAAGTAGGTTGACAAGATCCATCGTTTGATGATCGCCCATAATTAATCATCTTGCATAGACTGTCCACCCTAAAGTGAGATTGAGAATTCTAGAATTTATTCAAATGTGTTCTTTTGAATTCAGAGCTGATTCCACACTTGGATTGATGAACGAAGTGTACCATTCATTACGTGCTGAAGGAATTCAGTTCCCATCACCTCAAAAGCCTAAAAAGGAGTTTACGCAGGTAACAAAGAGATTCTCTGGATGAGACTTTTTTTTTTTTTTTTTTTTTTTTTTTTTTCCACTCACTTGTTATATGAACTAGTCCGAATTGGATAAGCAAAAGGAGGAGGAAGAGTTCCAGCTCGCTTTAGCGTTGTCTCTTTCCGAATCAGAGAATCGTCCCTCTTATAGAGTAAGTCAGAAATGAACCAGGAGGCAAAGGGGGGGGGGCTGTTTCTTATATTAACATACGTAATCCCTCTCTTTCTAGTCGTCTGCAACTCCTGCTGCGTCTACTGCTCATGCTGCCACCACCAACACTGCATCCTCCACCAAGGTAACACTTGTCAAATGACATGTTTATGTACACATATTGAGCTTTATGCGCATCTGTAGCCCAAAGATGAAGATGCTGCTCCTCAAATTTCCAGAGTAAGAGCATTGTACGATTTTCAACCCACAGAACAAGGTGAACTCGGTTTTGAAAAGGGCGATATCATCCGTGTGATTGAGAGTGTTTATCGCGATTGGTGGAAAGGTGAATTGCGTGGAAAGACGGGTATCTTTCCTGTCAACTATGTCGAGAAAATTGTAGATCCTTCCCCTTCTGATTTGCTAAAAGAAGCCTCTGTGGAGAATGAAGTAATGAATGAAACCCGCAACATTGATCGTTTGCTGGAAATGCTCTCTAGTAATGATCCTCGCGCCAAGGATTCCTTCTCAGACAATGAAGAACTCCAGAATTTGTATAATAGCACCTTGTCCATTAGACCTAAATTGGTCAAATTAATCGAAAAGTACAGTTTGAAGAAAGGTGAGTGGATGAGATGTGCATTAGAGGCAGTGAGATTAATAGTGTGCTTTGTAGATGAATTGGTTGCTTTGAACGAGAAATTTATGCAAGCTAGAACAATGTACGATGGCATGCTCTCGAATTCCATTGCTAGGTATTCATCTCCATCTGTGGGCGGCTATGGCGGATATCCACCCAGTCGCCAGCCTTCTTATGATCCCCAGCAACAGCAGCAGCAGCAGCCTTATGGCGGCTATGGTGGTTATGCACCTTACCCATCGCAACCTTACGGCGGTTATCAGCCATTATCCAGCCAACCTCAGCAGCAACAACAACAACAACCTCAAAGCCCTGCTACTGTTGCTGCTGCACAACACCAAACACCCACTCAGCAACCAACATACGCTTACAATGCTGAGGCCACTCCTCAAGTGAACAATGCTGCAATTTCTCAGCAACAACAGCAACAGCAACCTCCATATGATTATAATGCTCAACAGAGCCCATACCAGCCTTCATATGATAACCAACAACAGCAACCACCACAGCAAACCTCTGATTACTCTTCTCCGTCTTACCCTGCTGCTGCGTCTTCTGCCACACCTTCTCAAGATGTCAATTATACTGTAAATCAGCAAGCTCCTCCTCAACAGCAAAGTTATGGTGCCTATGTTGCCACCACGGGCACACCTGAAGGATACCCAGTTGCCACTTACACTTCACCTCCACTTCAACAGCATCAACAACAACCACAACCACAACCACAACAACAACAACAACAACAACAACAACAGCAACAGCAATATGTTGCCCCTGAAACAACTCCTGGATATCCAGGACAGCCGCAACAGGCCTATAACTATTAGCAACAAACATATACATAAAGATATATAAGGGGTCTTTTTTTTTTTTATATATATATATAAAATACCACAACAGAGAATGTAATGTGTTTTGACAGCAATACCACATATCATTCTATAAATGCATGATTCTTTTTCTTTCTTTTTGTAAACACATCTATTTCACAAATGTTGTATTCTGCCATTTTATATCTCATTGCAGCATGTTGTTTTCATATTACACAAGCGGTTCAATTGGGCCAAGATGTGACAGATCAAAACAAGTACCCATTTTACATCATGATTGGCAATCCCCATGTGTGTGGTGGCACACTGATTTCGTATGATCCACCTCTGATATTAACTGCAGCACATTGCGTGGATGCCCCTATTCACCCAACACAATTCACCAAAGATAAAAACCCCTACTTTGCCCTGTACAATGACATTCATCGCGACGAACAGAAAGCAATGGCTATTGTTGATTGGACGATTCACCCTCTTTACAACGTTTCAGGCACACTCAATGTGCGATATGATGCCGCCATTGTTCAACTCGAGTCGCCGTTACGGAAATCTGCTCGCATAAAAAGAGCGCCATTCTGGTCTCCCTCCATGTCCTTGCCATTACCAAGCAAAGCCGAATTGGTGGGTTTCGGTTACTCGGATTTAAAAGGACATTTAGCAGACACCCTGCAGCTGTTGCCTTTGGACATCACCAAATTCGATCCCAATAGCACTGACTACATTGAAAGCAGATCAGATACAGAAAACCGTGTTGCGTGCCATGGCGATTCAGGTGGACCTCTCGTTGTATACCATCCTGTTCTTAATCCAAAAACAAATCACACGGTAACTGTGCCATTCGTCTTGGGTGATCTGACCCGTATATTCGGTGCTCGCGATGCCAAACCAGATCAGCTTACATGCCCTGTGGCATTGACTACCCACGTCAATGGCACGCAAAATACCGTGATTGAAGTCTTTACCAATGCTGCCGGCCTGCTGGACTGGATATCTTCGATTTCTGGCATCTCAAGAGACGACCTGTCGAGTCCCTTCTATTCGCCACCCCATCCACCTTGCAAGAATTGCGGCATCAATGCAGTGGGCAAAGGCAAAACAAACACCTCCAAAAGCAATAACAGCGATGACAGCTTTTACAATGTTGATGACGATGATGAAGTGGACGATGACACAGAAACTGCCAGCGATGTCCATCCACATTCTCCTTGGCGCATTGGCGTGGTGGCAGATGAGAATGGACTCCTGGACACTGAAGAAGCACAGCACTTTTGGATTGGATCCATGGTCAAGAACTTTCTTCTCAAGACGGATTCTCAGGAATCAACCGCTGTTTCGTTAGTTCAAACATTATACTCTACCATGTTTTTCACAGCATGCATGCTGCTTTCTACTTTTATCACACTTACATAGACTACATTGAATATGTACATTAATTACTACAAATAAACGATCATCCTCTCTCAGCATCGTCAAGGTTGCTTGAAGTATATGCTGTCAAACCATTTCGAGCAGTTCTGAGACGTTATTAATTTCATTTATACACAAGATATACGCCTACGCTTGAAAGAGGCAGGTATTCCGTAAATACACGGAACCCAAACAATGAATATGCTTCATTCAGGCACCAGTACAAGGCGTAACAAAACGATGAACCCATTTCAGAATGGAACAGCGGAGACATAATCGCCTACTGTGATAAAAGATGAAAACAACCGTTTCACCCTTTTTCTTCCTTGTTAGATAATCAATTCATCACCAAGAAAAAATGACTATCGAATTGGACACCTTGAGTTATGCTTTATTGACTTCAATTGTTGGCGCTGCAGCCTTGTTGTCTGTCAGAAACTCCAAGGCACCCGATATTCATCCATTGCTATTAAACACTCAATCCGATGTTTCGCGACTTCGACACCCAGAAGAAAGTGCTGTATATCGCTCCAGAATGTATCCCATGGGCACGCCCCTTTGCTCTACATTTGATCGATCCATTCGCACAATGGCCGAGTTCTACAGACTGGGTGGATTGGAGAAGAACAAATCTGCAGCGTTCTTGGCTCAGGACAATAATGCTCACTACGTAAGCTGATATGTGCCTATTTTAGAAGGATGTATTGCTGATTTTTGAATGTATTTTTGATAGTCAAACTATGGTACGCCTAGATTGGCTCTCTGTGCATGGACGAGTGCTAATCGTATCTGTAGATGATATTGGTAAAAGAGTCCCATGTGTTTATCAGGGCCTCAGAAGCATTGCAGAATTGGTACCTCAATCCGGAGATGAGAACTCGTTTGTCGGTATTTATGCTAGAAACTCTCTCTGTAAGTTGGTGATATATGCGAGCTGCAACCGAGAAATATTAATGCTTTTTGTACGCTAGATACCATCCTCACCGAAATCGGTAAGCTATAACCAAGGATGCCAACAGTAGACTCTAGGTCAACTCACATTCATCTGCAGCATGTCATCGGAATGGACTAGTTACTGTGCCTGTATCGGCTTCTGCATCCATCACACACTTGTCTCATGTCATTGAAAAGACTGCGCTCAAGGTATTGCTGACAGATGCTGGCCTTTTGGACCAAGTCTTGTTGCTTGCCAAGGGATCTTTATTGAAGAAGCTCATTGTCTTTGGTCAAGCATCAGCTAAAGATAAGCAACAGGCGCAAGCTATTGGCATTGAATTGTTGTCGTTCGAGGAATTGGAAGCGAGAGGAAAGACGGCCAGTTATGAGGCTGTTACAGTTGGTAGGCCAAAGCAAATGAAGGGAACAGCAGTGCGGATGTCTGATCAATGCAATTAGCTCCAGGCGATATCGCCAGTATCTATTTTTCCTCTCAACATGTAGGTTCAGGTATATTAGCTCATGTTTGCATTGTGCTAATCAACCTCCTTTGTGTAGGATTCCAAGAATGGCGTTGTGCTGACACAAAAGGTAAGTGCATTGGGTATTACTGTACCGTCTTTATTGATTGTTAATGAGCTCTTTGGCAAAATAGAATTTGCTTGCAAGTGTTTGTAAGTAGACGATGATAGGCGCTTTGGGTTGAGAGATATGTGTTGATTTTTTTTTTCTACAGCTTCTTACTTGTTGGTTGTTCCACCTCAACAAAGAGTTACACCCAAAGATAGATTGGTGTTGAATCTGCCTATTGGTAAGTGAGAGTGGGATAGCATAGAGTAGCGTATTCATAGAAACGTTGTGCATAGATAACGTATTTGGACACGTATTGGTGGCAGCTGTCAGTTTGTTGGGAGGATCTATTGCATTTGGAAAGGATATTGACGATGAGCAAAGTATTGATGTTGCTGCATCTCTCGCATGTATTGCTGAAGCCAAGCCTACTATCTTTGCCAGGTAACTTTAACAGCTAGGGACTATGCCATGCATTGACTGACACACTACACATTGACAGTGGATCAGCATTCCTCCATCAAGTCAAGCAATTGATCCAATCGCGTTATGGCAAATCGTTCTTGTTTAAGCGTGGGTTTGGCATCAAGGAAGGCTACCTCAAGGAGAGTCGCTTGGTGGAAGACTGCAAATACGATATGCTGGTATTCAGAGACATCCGCAAGACCTTGTTTGGAGGAAACTTGAGACTTATTTTCATTGACAATGGTATGTGGCTCTACTCGCGGCCTTTGAGCCATATTTAACATTGCTGCTAGATGACAATACCGACCCTGCCTTGGCTACTTTCTTGAGAGCAGTATTGAGCGTCCAGGTTTTGCAAGCGTTTAATACAACAGAAACTACATCTTCCATTACATCTTCCATGTTTTACGACTACAACGCTATCCCTGAGGCAAAAGGAGCCCCATTACCATGCAACGAGGTTAAATTGATTGATGTACCTGAGCGCTCATTGCACGCTGAAGACAGCCCTAATCCTCGAGGCGAAATTTGGGTTAGAGGTAATAATGTATTTGGCGGCTATTACAATGACGAAGCAGCTACCTCTGAAGTGCTTGATGCTGATGGTTGGTATGCAACTGGATATCTCGGTGAAGCTTTGGCAAACGGTACTTTTAAGATTATTGGCAAGAAATAGGATGTTTGTATTATTGTATGATTTATAAGCCTTTGGATAAAGAACATATACATTTGATGAAGCTAATGTCTAATATTAAATTGTACCTTGAATGGGCGTCGTTTTAACGGATGGGCTTCTGTATTCAGTACATATTCGTCAAGAGAAATCACATTAGGTGGGCTGAAAAGCAAATACAGGTATTTAAGCGTTTCTGCGAGCAAAAATCTGTCAAAGCATAAGCATTCAAGTAATGGACACGGCATCTGCCTAGTACTTACGTCTCCATACTGTCAATCTGATTCAAGAACGGTTTCTTTCTGTAAGAATGAACATTTTTTACTGAAGCATAAGCACTGGGAGTTTTGCAGTAGTTTTCAATCCCTTGGTAAATCTCCCAGCCATATTCTTGGTATCTGGGATCACCTGTAATTCTGTAAAGGACAAACAAGCTTTCAAGCGTCTCTGGACGTAACAGATAACGAGCATCATTTGACACAACCCAGCCAAGAGGCAGCTTGGCCACAGCATCCAATGTACGATTTTTGGTATTGGGAACTTCCACTGGATCCGTGATGGCTGGACCAGTGAGCTTGTCCCACCATGCGCCCAATTTGCTCACCTCTTCTTTTGTCTTTCCAAAAGTGTATTTGTTGTAAGGCATAAACTGGTCATTATCAATGATCCAAGCATCAGGCGAGAGGTTGGTATTTGACGAACGATACATGTAAATGCAAGTGTCCAAAATACCCTTGGCAATGTTCAAATCCTCAGGTCTATTCAATAGTTTGGATCCCATGGCCAGCATGCCAGGTACAAAGCATGTCTGTAAAAAATCAGCAAATTTGATAGTACATGTATACTTGAGTGAATTTACCAAATGATCCATGGTATTATCCACCTTGCCTCGTTTGGTATTGAATGTAGGAAGATGCAGCATTTTTGTACCTGGGATTTGAACCAGCATGTTGGCCTTCATTGAATCAATTGCCTTTGTGTCTACTCTAATCATTAATCTCTCATTGTACATTTGGCTATGGATGGCTTACACATTCGTGAAAATTGAGGCATTTGGCCATCTGTAAAGATGTGCTCCTTCAGAAAGTACTATCACCCAATGGCTGTTAATTTCACAACCTACGAGCAGCAATAACCTTACACGAACCTCGTACGCACTGTCGCCCATTGCTCCGAATCCAATGGAAGCTATATTCATCATTAGCACAAGAGACATTCAAAATGCTGGGTGTCACCTACAAAACAAAAACTTTCCTGTTCTAACGTTGATTTCGTTAGGAAACAGCCCTGGAGGAATGGCTCCATAAGTGTAATCACTTCGTTTGTATGATTCCAAGAAATCAGTGATCGCTTGAGCCTGTGTAGATTGTCAGTATGCTAGTAGAATGGACCAAATCAAGATTGACGTTACCTTTTCTGCGTATATTGGATTCTGTGTGTGATGTGATAAAGTATAGAACTCTAGCTGAATTGTGGCTGCATCAGCTAAATAGGTACGATAACTTTCATAGCCAAGCCTACGCTATTTTCTTTAGAATCTCTTCACTACATACCCTACTTGAAGACTTACGTTATAGGATTAAATTTGTAATAGGGTATTCCGAATGGTGTGTCAAAAGCTGGTAACAATGCAATGGCCAATTGTTCTGCCTTTCTCAGCAGGATATCTCGTTCTGGGTGATTTGATAGCTCATATGCGCTCAAGAGACCACCAACATACCGAATCGTAGTTTCAAACACACTCAACGACTCGTTGACGTGCACATTGAGCTGATCCACAAGCGGCAGAACTTGCTGAAATTCTTGATCCAGACCCATAATAAGCATAGTACTTAAACTGTCGATCATGGTAGCGCCGAGTCCGCCAAATGGGTTGTTTGTTTTGTTTGATAGTGGTCGTAATTCGTCTGCTCCCATAGCGTATGTTTTGTAGCCGTTCCATGCATGCATAAACGACGCTTTGACCGCTTCTCGTCTGTTCTCCCTTGTCAGCCTTTCCTCCTGTGTTTCGGTCTCAAAGTCAGTCTGTATTCTGGGCAACTGCGATTGAAAGTGAATGTCACTTCCAGAATCCTGTTTTGGCTTGAACAATGTTGCAGAATATTCATCTTCAGGCAGGCTAGGTTTTTGTTTCCAAGACGCTGTATTGTCGTCATTGGAGTGCTTGTAATGATACGTAAATAGGATGATCAGAAAGCAAATAAAAATAACGCTGGCAGCTCTCCACCTAGGCGGAATTTTAGAGATGAGGGTCTGGTGAGGCATCTAATCAAGTGAGAACAAAAGGAAGAAGAAGGGGAAAAAGGATACCAAGGAGTATTTATATCGTTCGTTGAGTTGACTGCCAAATGGAACAAACCTGCGCGAACGCAAATGCTGGTTTCAGACATCAACTAGTGTGCTCTAGTACATGAAGCTTGATCAGCATGATAGACACAACCAAATGTCCTCAATGTTTGTGTATCTGCTGTGTATCATTTGATCGACAACTATACGATAGCTAACGAATGTACGCGAGATGTGAAAATTTCCGATCGGATAAGGCACGTTGTCTTTATTACTTTTGAACTTGGGATATCAAAAACGCCATTTGCTCTGCTACATCGGATAATCGAGAGTCCTGCTCAGATCCTCCGCCCCCAAAATGACCGCGATCGAGATCCATCTTCAACAGTGTTGTACTATTAAATGTAGGCGGTGTAAAGTGGCGGAGACGAGCTACAAACTTCAAGGGCTGCCAATACGCTACACGCTGATCTTTCATGCCTCCTGTGACAAACAGTGATGGAAGGGAAGAGCGAGATTTGAAGAGGTCTGCATTGATGTTTTCATAGGGCGAATAAGATTCAATGAGGTCGTACGCCCTGGCATCCTCTGTAGGGTTTCCCCATTCAGGATACTCGATTTGAGTGAGTGGAAGCTCAGGATTCAGCATAGATGATAGCGGGTCAACAAAAGGCACTTTGAGCACCAATGCCTTGAAAAGGTCAGGCCGCATGTGAAGCATGGCACCCACAAGCAGACCGCCCGCACTTGTGCCCATGGCAGTGAGATGGTCGGGCGAAGTGAGTTTGGAGGCCACGAGATGTTCTGCCACTGCTATAAAGTCCTTGAAGCTGTTCATCTTTTTGTCGAGCTTGCCATCTTCGTACCAGTCTTTCCCTAACTCCCCACCTCCACTACACGAAAGAAGGGTGGATTAATTGTTCAGTCAGAACAAAGCGACATTAGATAACGTACCGCACATGAGCTAACGCAATCACCCAGCCACGCTCGATGAGAGGAAACTGTTCTACTCGAAACTCAATATCTGTGGATGTGCCATAAGCACCATACGATCTCATTAGCACAGGGTTTCTACAAAAATGCATGTCAGTCTCTCTTCAACAGCAGCCTTTGATTCAACACGTACCTTCCATTAAGCTCAATGTCCTTTTTGTGTATTAGAGTAACAGGAATCTGCTTGTCGTCGTGTGATTTGACATGAATTTGGCTGCAAGTATACTTTGATCTGTCGAATTCTACACAGCTTTAAGATTAGCACAAACTCCCCTTGCTCTAGTTGTACATACTTCGAATGGTCTGTACTCGAATGGGATGCAGTTTGCGAGTAGACATGTCGTATTCATAGGTTGATTCATGCGTAAATGGTGAAATCACTGAAAAACGAAAGACATCTGTATTGAAATCCTGTCAAGAGAGCATCTTCTTAGTCTTCGTTGAGCTCTGTTCGACAAAAGCAAGGTACATACCAGATTCGTGCCGGGATTCAAGACACAAAACTCTTCAGGCAATTGCACTTGGTGCGTCTCTTTTGTGCGTAAATCATGACATAGTATCATGGGTAAGCCGTCTCTGCGACCATAGATAACTACATTGTTCTATACAAGTAATTCAGTAATGACGATTTTAAGTGCTGTGTGTCTGGCTTACCTGAAATAAATCAACATCCTCTATTTTCTCTGTAGGTTTCATGGTGATTAGATCTGTCCAATGCGCTTTCCCAATGGCATCATCTGGTGTCAGTACTAGCTTGAAGTTTTTGGCATCATCAGCATTTGTTAAGATGTAAAATGTATCGTCATGATGATCCACATAATATTCTACGCCAGGAACACGAGGCTTAACGAGTTGTAGTCTGGGTGCAGTCTTGTGCGTGAAATCATGGCTTGTATCTATTACTCTGACTTCGGATGATGAGAGAGAGTTTGCATTGATGGTAACGTAGTTCTATTCTGTATTGTTGGATATCCATCACATACGCTGTATTTAGTAGTTACTTACGCCATCTTTCGAACTAGTGATATCAACAAATACTGTGTCATCTAGCTCCTCATAAACAAGCACATCTTGTGATTGCTCTGTGCCAATAACATGCGCATACACCTTGTGTAAAATTTGTTAGTTGATCCACATAGGCTGCATTTATCCCTGTCTTACTTGATAAGGCCTCAACTGGGCATTGGGCACAGTGTAGTAAACAACTTGATTATTTGCCCACACAAAATTAAAGACATTATCCAGAACCTCATTCTACAAATACGACTTGACAGTAAACATCGGTGAATCTGATACACGAAATTTCACTTGCCTCCCAATGCGCTCTATTGTTCAAGTCCTTGAAGTGCAATTCACCGTATTCCATGCCCTCTCTCTCGGTATTGTAAGCAAATATCGAATGGTCTGGCGATAATAACACTTTTCGCACAGACATGTTCATTGATCTCAGAAATCCCGAGTTTAGTAATACTTGCTAGTAGAAACTATTTATAATCTAGCTCTTGGCTTGGGGTTGGTTTCATTCTCTATAAATACCTCTGGTGCATCTCTTCCTTCGCCTAGCTTTTTCCTCAAATACACCATGCCATATGCTGATGTCGTTGAATAGTATTCGTATCCATTCGCTACTGTCTTTAGCGGCGGTAGTACATTTGGTATGTACAATCTTCGTTTCATTTCTTGTAAGACAATTTTATGTAAAAACTTGTGTTGACGCATGGATTGACGTGTGAATCTATACAGCACCAGCGTGAACAACGGATAGAAACCTTAAATCGAGGAAGAAAGCAAATACTCACTCATTTTCGGCTTTAATGTAGCTTCCTAAATGCTGTTGCAAACACAATCGATTTTAGTTGATATGGTTACTATTTGCATGAAAGAATGTGTCAAATTCGCATTTTCTTTACTTGATCTGATAAGTTTTCCATCCATGAGAACAAGTCTTGCCGAGTTTTTCCATGATGTAATTGGATATCGTTCACTGTTTTAGGTATAGGCACCTTATTTTTGCTTCTATTATTATATCACAACATCTCAGTACATGGTGTATCTTTCTCGTTCATGTTGGGTAATTACTTTAGAAATACATTGCGAAGTGATGTAAACAGAGTTCGTGATTGATTAGATCCGCTATATAAGAGTGAGAAGGATGCATGAGAAACAAAAATGGAATATCAGTTACCATCGCTGTGAAATGACAAGATGCTTCGATACAATAAACATGCTGCAATATAGCTCAAAAAGACAAGTTTCCTAGCAGCTAGGGGCAAGTGCAAGAAGGGCATTTGTGCACCGGGATCTAGTCACGGTGGTACCTTACGGAAACAGCATCGCTTTGGCATTGGAGCGGCGCAATGCATTGCAATGTTGAAAGAAGGCAATACAATGCTGGCTAGATGTGCATTCATGTGATGTAAAACTGCTGTTATAGCAAGTCTAATTGATATAACAGTGGCTTGTTATTTGTATAAATTAGCTTTCTTTCCTCCATCTCTCTGTTGTTGTTTCTTCCTTTCTTCTTTCTAGATTATCCATTACCAATGCATCCAATAGCCGTTATAGCAATCATTGTGGGAGGCGCCTTTGTGTTCTGGGGCGGCTATGAAGCTGTCAATACCTTGTACGAATGGCATCAAGACAGAAAAGAACAAAGAGAATACGAAGAATATGTGAGAATGTACAATGAGAAAAGCCAATACGTGCCTGTGCCTTTATTCAACAATGATGAGGATGAGGATGAGGATGAAGACGAAGATAACGAGCCACTGGGTATTTGGAAGCAAAAGCGAGATTCACTACGATCAAGCGAGCTACGACAACGCAAACCTAACAGTAACAATGAAGAGGTAATTAGTAAACCTATCATTCCCATTGGTGTCTCATTAACTCTATATGTATATAGCCTTTGCCTAATTATGAATTTTCTGAGATGGAACGCTCTATTTCAAATCGCAAAAGCTTTCTGCAAAGAGAAACTGAACAATTGATTAAAGAAGAGGCAGAACTACAAAGAAGCAGAGAGCTACTTCGCTCAAAAGGCAACTCTATTACAGGCGTAATTCATGATGAAGAAGATGCAAATCCATTTTCAGACGACTTTTTTATTGAACGATCAGCATCGCCATCACCTTTATTACCATCAGCAGTTGATAAATCCGATTGTAGTTGGTCAGATCTTGAGCAAGACAAAGCAAGTGATTCAGCCGAGAGCTTTGAATCAATTCATCACAATCAATTGTAAATGTAACTTGACACAAAAAAAAAAAAAAAAAAAAAAAAAAAAAAAAAAAAAAAAAAACTTGATGATTTGAAATAAAAAGAAAACGCTTCATGGTTATCTATTGGAAATTTGCTGTCGTATCAGCAGAGAATGGGATCTAATGTTACAAATCTTGCGCTTGCAGTAAGGTCGTAACTAGACTAGAAACGTACAACGTTTAAGCATGATTCGACAAAAGTGGCATGAATGACTTGAAAAGCGCAACGAGAGCTACAGTCATGATTCATTAGGAGCGATTCTGATATGTTAGGTACTCACAAAAGCATGAGATTGATGTAGGAGGTGTTTTATACAGTGTATACAACCAAGACAGACTGAAATACATCTTTTTTACTTCTCACTGTCATGTTATAACCGTCTATTAACGACATACAACTGCGAGTCTAACTTGTCTACGGCACTACACAACAGTATCAATGGAAACAATTCATATACGGGCAGGCAGTGTACTTGCATTGCTTCTTTCAAGCCAGAAATAGACAAAGCGCAGCATAACTTGAGTGCATTTGAGCCGTTATTTCTCATGTTAGAAGCCAATTTGGACCGCCAGAATAGCACCATACAATTGCTCTCGACTAGCAGTTACTTCCTGACAGTTTTGTTCAACTTTTTTTAGGATCGTCAAAAATCGACCAAAGACCATGAGTGATACCCCATGGTTTTTGTCGAAAATCAAACGGTCGCGTTTTTCACCTTGAAAATGAAGACTTTTACTATGGTATGTATTGAATCAAAATGTTTTTCTCGATTCAAAGCAACCCCTTAAACTTTGTTTGAGAGACCCTCATATGCAAAATCTCGACATTTTGGCCAAAAACCGCATTTTATATTTTCTACAGTTGTTCAATAAATTTGCTCAAAACGCATATCGTGATTAGCACCATTGGATGCGCCTTGAAAAGTACTTCAAGAAAGCTTAAGAAGTTACGGGTTGATCAGTACATTTTATATAGTCGAATCTGGCAAAATAGTTCAAACAAGTCGAAAAGGTATCGAAAATTCCCATTTCGAGGGAGAAAGTTTCTATCGGAGATCTAAATAATTTTGGCTGGCAAATGTAATAGTATGCGTACTGTAATGACATTAGATGCTTTTGAACGCTAATTAGAAAGGAATTGCGCATCAAAAAGCACTTTTAGCTTATCTTGAATATACACTCTGCTTTGCTATTGTTACGCAATTTTCTACCTACATAACATCAATTTAATTGTTGCAAACGGCTCATCCAAGTGTGTATTCTGCGAAATGCAAAATTGTCTCTTTGTCTAGCTTGCATGATAGTTCGAGTTTGAAACCAATTTTCTGTGAGAATGCATGCACAAAATTTGTTTTATTTCTTAAACTTGTCGATATATTCTTGCTTGAATGGTGAATTTTTAGCTAGGACAATGAAGGAGGGCACACCATTCTTGATAATGTATTGATCAAGCGACAATACTTTGCCAAGAGACAACTTCTTTCCAATCTTGATGAGTTTAGGGTTCAATCCGCGAGTATCCTCGAAATAAATCTCCATGTTGTCTAACGTGTATTGATGGTTCGTATCCCAAGGTGCCGGCTGTTCAAACATGATTTCTAAATGATCTTGGAATGTATTTGTTTCGTTGAATGATTGAATGTAGTCGCTTTCCTTGTATTCCGGGTACAAGAAGAACACTGGCCAGTTGATGGTCTGTGTTTCGTGGTCGTATTCAATATTGGCCTTTTCTCTCACCTCTTTATCCTCGACTTGAATTTTAATGTTGCGCTCCTAATGCCACCAGTCAGTACACTTTTTCCATACACATCGGTTTGTGTCTGTACCTTGAATGCATTTTCCAATACCTGCTTCTTATTACGCTCACGTTCCTCTCTCTCCTCTTTTTGTCTAATTTTTTCGTCAATCACGGTTTTACGCTTCAAGGCTTGTTGACGGATATCTTGGATAGGCTTGTTGTCAGCGTCTACTTGCAATGCATGGTCACAACAGTCGATGGTCTCTACGAGTTTGTCGAGGGCAAAGAGCGCCTTGGCAGATCTGTACCATGCTTTGATGTTCTTGGGGTTGATTTTTAAACATTTACTGCAATCTGTCAACACACGACCGTAGTTCTTCAATTCCAGATTACATGCTGCTCTGTTGGCCAAGCATGCTTCAATGATGCTGTTGTCTTTGCATTCTGTTTCAATAGCCTTGGTGTAAAAGGCAATGGCGTCAGGGTACTTTGCTTTACCAGCACGGAAACAGTCGTTGCCTTGCTCCCTAAAGTTTTGTGCCACCTCTACCAATATCATGTTAGATGCTCATCCTCCTGCAGAAAGCGTTCAGTTGTGTATCCTACCTTCAGGTGTGCCGTCAAATACAAGTGATTGGAGTGCTGCCAAAGTGTCATTTTCTTCTGCGGGCAAATCTGTCATAAAGAGAGGCACTTTGGATAATTCCTCGTCCAGGTTTTCGAAATCCATGGCAAATTGGCTTCTAAATTTTTTGGGTCCTGCTTCAGTAGGCTGATCATGAACCTCATGATTGCTGTTATCGATGAGCTGTTCTTCGGCCATGATTGTATGTGAATAGAAGTGAATGGAAAGAATGTCCAAGAAAAAATCCAACATGCTCTCCATTTCATCGCAGCAGAAGTGTACAAGCCACCTTCTCGCACACTGTTTGTCAGCATTTAAAAGCCTGCCCCGCATTAATTCATTGCTGCTGCTTTATTCCACACAAATGTACAAAACTAGACTTTTCATATTGACAAGAGCACTAGAGAGGCCATCTTTGCTCCGTCATAACCCACTTTTTAGGCCTACGAGACAGGCATACTCGTCGCTTCGTAGACCTCGTCAGCCAGGTATGATGATGAATCCACATGCTCTTCGTAGCAAATGACAAACCATGAAGCCTAGGTCCGCGCAGTCGAGTTTTGAATCATGTAGAGCCTATTCGTAACAAGCCAATTCGACATACCGTAGAGGAAGTTGCTCCCAAGATTGCGACAGAAGAGGCCTTGTTATACGAGAAACCGGCACCCTCTCAAGACGCACACGCTACCATCGATACGCTTGTAGAAGTGCCCATCGACAAGGAACACCAGGTTGTCAAGCCTGATTCTCGAGGAGCAGCTTTATTAACACAATCTGCATTGGTTGTTGGCAGAGAACTGGAAATGATGAATGTGTTTTTGGGCTACGAACAAGCCAATCGATACAAGATCATGGATCCTCAAGGCAATCATATTGGTTATATTGCTGAAGAGGAAGGATTTGGCAAATCTATCAGCAGACAACTCTTGCGAACACACCGCAAGATGAACGCTACCATCTTAAATACTCAGGGTGAAGTCGCTTTCAAGATTGTTCGTCCTTACTCTTTGTTCAATAGTCGCATCTTTATTTACACAGCTGATGATGAGCTTGTTGGCGAAGTGCAACAACGATGGAACCTAGTGCGCAGAAAATATGATTTGTTTGTGGGGTAAGTCATATGCTGTGTAGACATGTTAAACAAGTACTCACTATCTATTGTGTAGAACAAACCAGTTTGCCTCGATTGACACACCTTTCTTGGGCTGGGATTTCAACCTGCAAGATGAACATGGCGGTACTCTGGGTAATGTCAGTCGTAACTTTGTAGGCTTTGCAAGAGAGATCTTTACAGACACTGGCGAGTATGTGCTTCGTATGGACGCTGTAGACGGTAATTCTCGAGGCATGACATTAGATGAACGAGCAGTGACATTGGCTTGCGCTGTTTCTATCGATTTTGATTACTTTTCAAGACATTCGAGCCATGGGTAAGTGTGCAAAGGACAATAGTAACAAGATCAAACAATGTAACTGAGATTTTGTTGATACAGTGGTGGCGGGTTCATGCCTTTCCCAATGTTTGGCATGGGCGAAGGCGGAGCAAATCAAGAAGAGGATGCAGGTGCTGCAGCTGGTGGAGCAGCGGGCGTAGGCACAGGAGCAGCCATGGGGGGAGGTGTTGGTGGGAGTGGCAGTGCTGGAGGAGAGCCCATGCCTCCACCTCCACTTTCGGAACCCAACACCAACGAATGGGGAGATCCATGGTTAACCGATGAACAAGCTGGTGTCAGTAACCCAGACGACCAAGGTAGTTTCTTTGACACCTTGAGCGACTTTTTCGGTGATAGCGACCCATAAATAAAATGTGGCAGTTGATAAATTTTCGCCTTTTTCTTTCTCACATTTACACACACTGATTCACCACATGTTGTTGACTACAAGTCGCGTGCTCACTATTAGTAAACGCAGCTTTCATGCGTATCCGATTGCCAAAAAGTTTGTGATTACTCCCGAGATCAAAGCAGCCATTGGCAGAAAGGGGCCTGTTGTTGCTCTTGAGTCAACTATTATCAGTCATGGTATAGATAGAACATCCGCCTGTTTTAAGCATCCTGATATTGATATCTGCCATAGGCATGCCATACCCTCAAAATGTCGAAACAGCAAAAGCAGTAGAAAACATTATCCGTGAACAGGGAGCAATCCCGGCCACCATTGCTCTCTTGGATGGCAAAGTGCATATTGGTAAGTCAGTCTCCCTAGGTTAAAGTGCATGAATCTGATCTGTGTCTAGGCTTGACTGATGAGACACTGGAGCATTTGGGTAAGATTGGACCCAAGGCGCAAAAGACATCTAGGCGGGATTTGGCTGTAGTGCTATCTCAGGTAACATTGCGACTAGGTCTACAATCACCTGATACTGATCAAGACGTTTAACACAGAATAGAGCAGGCGCAACCACCGTTGCTAGTACAATGATTTTGGCTAGAGCAGCCGGCATTCCTATATTTGTTACAGGAGGCATTGGAGGAGTACACAGAGGAGCTGAGCAATGTAAGCCTGTGTTTGTGCGTTCAGGTGAAAGAGAGATGTTCAACATGTATGATAGCATTTGATATCAGTGCGGATTTGACTGAACTAGGAAGAACACCTGTAGCAGTGGTGTGTGCTGGTGTAAAGAGCATCCTGGATATCCCAAAAACATTAGAAGTGCTCGAGACACAAGGTGTCACTGTAACTACGGTTGGCAAAGACAACAAGTTTCCTGCCTTCTACACGCCTGACAGCGGGTTTAAGGTGCGTAGGATGGATCTGACACACATTTGACGGTATACTAAGTTGTATTTACAGAGCCCATATTATGTGGAAGATCCACTGGCCGCTGCTAAATCCATTTGTATGTAGCTTGATGCTTTATGATATATACTCCTACCAGTGACTAATAGATACACTCTCATAGACGCCAATCATGAATTGGAGATGAATAGTGGCATGGTTTTTGCCGTTCCAATTCCCAGTGCATCTGCTGCTGATGCTGCATCTATTCAACGTGCCATTGACATTGCTATTACAGAAGCTAGAGCGAATAATGTCCATGGTAAAGAGGAGACTCCCTTCTTGCTAAAGCGTATTGCTGAACTCACCAAAGGCGAATCCTTGGCAGCAAGTAAGTCGAGCTTAACATTTGACAGGTTATTGAAACTCATAAACATCCACATTAGACATTGCACTTGTAAAGAACAATGCCAAAATTGGTGGTCAAATTGCCGTGCATTTATCCAAATTAAAGAACAGAGCTTAGCTTATATAATTTGAGTTGAAGGTATCCAGTTTTATTTGTACAGTATATATAGTACAATTATAATACACTAGGGTCGCTATTGTTTTCAAGCGATTGAACCACTTGTCTCCAGATACTAACGCTCTGCAAAAAAAGCAGTATGAATAATCGAGTTATCATCTGAACATGTGGGCACTTACATCTTGGTAAAAATTGACTTTGGCGTCTGTGTAGGTTTTGAGCACATCAAACATCTCGATCGTCTTGTTTTGATTGAAAAATGCGTCCTCTTTTTTTACTTGGTCTGAGAAAGCAGTAGACACTTGATGTGTTTGATCAATGGCATCCTGCAATTCGCGTACTCGCTCATCCAATTTCAACACCTTTTCTCGCTTAATTTTATCCGTGTCTGCGCCTCGTACTTCATTCAACTTGCCAGTGAGGAATCCAGCGACACCTCCATTATCGCCTGTTCGAATCTTCTTTTCTCTCTCTTCAATCGTCGTCTGTAGATAGTCTGATAATTCCTCAAAATCTAGTTGCTTTTGATCCCTCAGTTTAAGGACGTCCTTGACAGCATGGAAATAAGCCATGTAATCGTTCACTTCAATCTGCCACTTGCTGTCTTCAATCGTCATGGTCTTCATGTTGTACGAATACTTTTCCAGCCCTTCTGCAAAATTGTTCAATAGCGCCTTGTAAGATGATTCAATTTCTGCTAATCCACGCACACTGGAAGTAAATTCCTCGTAGTCATGGCATAAATCCTCTGTGCGTTTGTTTGTTCTCAGCAATGTCTTTTGTAGTAGATCCAAATTCTCCTCCATGCGATCATTTCTCTCTTTCATCTCGACAAATCGTGGGTCTGGCTTGCGTATCTTTGAGAATGCATTCAACAACGAATCGCCAATAGTGTCCATCACTGTCTCTTGTCCCTCTCTCAGCGCTCTGGCAGAGGCGTCATTCTACTTTCTGGTTTAGTATATCGCAATCATCCAAACGCTCAAGGACATACAAACTCGGAGGATTCAAGAAACATGACAAAGAATTCGGCACGACTAAGGATTGGATGTCTAGCAATACGCTGCACAAATCTCTCTAGGCTGATGCGTCTCTTTTCAATGAAATCAGTGCTGAAACGATCTCCCTTTACATATTCTATAAATGAGCAACATGTGTTACCTAAAACAAGAACAGCACCAATGACGCTATGTTTTTTCTTACCCAAACGATGTTTATCTGGCAATGGAGGCACAAAACAGGCCGGGAAATGTGTGTATAAGACGTTATGTAGCCATACAAAGTCTTGGAATCGTCTACGCACTTGCTTTTTCTACAGAATACAGGTGTGAGAATACGGATAAGACAGTAATTCAGCAGTATTCTGCTTACATTCGATTGAACGAGATACGATATGAATGCGCTCTGTTGCTCTGTTTCTTTTCTAGGATCAGACACATGAATTCTGCTCTCTGGCAAAGCGTGCGATGGCTGCTGTTCCTCGACTGACGCTTGCTCATGATGGATGCTGTTCTCGCTCATGCTGTCTCCGTTTTGACTGGTATCGTTGCTGAATGTCTGGTGCTTGTCTGAAATGTCAATGTCAATGTGCGATGACTCTGATAGATACTATTGCGGGTGTCAGCTATATACAGTCGGATGCTAAGATGGAATTATACTCACACTCTGCGACGATAGTATAGCAGGTTCATTGTGATCAAACTCGCTCAATGGATCAAGCACCTGGCCATGATGAGAGTCGGAGAGAATATCCCATTGAACATTGAATTGGTCTTCTGTCGTAGAGCGTTGCATTTTATTATGTAGAGAGGGTATTTAGGAGAGTAAAATGGAAAAAGAAGAGTAATAATTAGAATAGGCGTCGTATTCATTTTTTTATGCTTTGGCTGTCTTGGAGCGCCCAATACCAGCACACCTGATGTTACACCTTAAAAGTAGGTTTCATTCAAATGACAATATGCTCTTTGATGGCATTACAGAATCCAGAACTTATTGTTCTCTTGTCAAAACGACTGCTGTATCTATACGTGAGCCTGAAATGACATTTGGTTTTAGCTGGAGGAAGACTTGGTTGATATGGTAGATCAATTGTAACGAGATTGTACATTGGATGTCGATAGAGACAAAACATAGTAGCACTACCCATAGCGGCTATCTCGGAATAGCCATATACAAATATCTACTATTTTTCAAGGCCATTAGATCATACATAGGAAATACCATCACAAGTGTTGCTTACAGACACAGGCATATCACAAAAACTGTCATTATAATTAGTGTAGAACTTTATAAACAAGATTCATCGTCCTTGTAGCAAAGGAAGCGCATTCGATCAAGTAAATGGTATCGTTCACATGACCTTAACGCAGAACGAAAGCTGCATCAAGTGCATGATATCCGCACGATTCCCTCCTTTTATTTTGTACTAGAGATACTATTGTTTATTAGTCTTGTAATTATTAGCTAAGCAGTAAAAGAAGATATAGTCTTTAGTATATCGAATCCATCATGTACACTCTAGGCCATCGATTTATAGTAGAAATGCAATACCAGCAACGCCAGCTAGAGCAGCTAATGTCTTTGTTGTCAACGGAGCAATCGAGGAAGCAGCGCCTTGAGCAAAAATAGAGCCAGGTGACTGAGAATGTTCAGGAGCTCCTGTGCTTTGGGTTTTGATACCAGTAGAAGTAGGAACTGCGGCAGGACGAATCTCAATGGGAATTGGCAACTTTGTGTTTGTCGATTTATCGAAAAAGACAGCATTGTAGTTACCAGGCTTGACCGTGGTAGGGATATTGAAGTTGATTGAGTGTTCAAAATAAGTCAAATTGCCCTCACGTTTCACAAATGCATCTGTCTTGGACACATCAGCTGTAATGGCGATCGGGATAGTCGTCGTGTTTGTGCCAACAGTTGTCGCTTCCAAATCAATTTGGAGATTGAGAGCTGTCGCATGAGAAAGCATCAATAGCTAGCATTTTAGAGAGCACAACAATAGCAAGAGCCTACCTGAGCTATCCACATCAGAAAAGAGACGGTAGGTACATGGCAAGATTTGACCGATCACATAAGGGCCGTTGCTCACAGGGCTTGTTACATTATAGTTTCTTGTGGGAGCAGTAATCTGGGCAGCTGCACTCACGACAGCTGCAAAGACAAGACAACTCATGGAAACAAACTTCATGTTGATACAAGTTGGGAGTTTTAAGACTGATTAGTAAAAATGAAAAGAGAAAGAGAGGATAAAGAAAGAGAAATAAAGAGTAAGAGATGTTTTAAAAAGACGTGCCTCCATGTATCTCATGTAGGAGAACGAGTAAATCAAGGTACAGCTCTATGTATGTGTGTGTTTGTGTGCGATTCAGGGGCAAAAGCTACTCTGTATCCAGAGCGACATAATGTTCCTGACACAATTTTTGTTGCACCTAATTGTAGTCAACAATAAAAACTCGTTCTCCAATGCGTGCTTACAAGGAGAAGGTGCTTTTTCATGGTCAAAAATAGATTAAAGATGGAATAACTATTGATTTTATTATGTATGGTTTGCAGTAAATATGATAATTTCTATTAGCTTTTATATGTTTAAGCTAATGTCAACAAGAAAGCTAAAATACCAACAGTTGCAATACCAACAGATACTTCAACATGGCTGGATCCACTAACAACGCTGGGTCCAGCATAAGGCCTGGCTGCAGAAACAGATGGCAAAGGCGCCTTGGAGGAGGCAACATAGGTGGCAGATGGAGCATTACCCACTATAAACCAAAGTTGATTAATTTTCATGACATGGAAGCAATCGCTTTTATCTTTCTTACCACTGGCAACCCAAGAAGAAGCAGCACTTACAACAGAAGATTGAATGACAGAGATATCAGAAGCAACAGAGGATAATGCAGAGACTGCAGAAACAGTAGGCAGCGAAGCAGAAGTAGCAGACCAGCTATCTGATGTGCTTGAGGGGGTGACAGAAGTCCAAACAGAAGCACTTGATGCACCAGTAGAGCCTGAAGCGGTTGCCATGTTCATTTGATGCTTGTGTCCTCCCTCGTTCTCATCAGGTTCGTTCTCATCGGGCTCGTTCTCATCTGGTTCGTTTTCTATCACCTAGCATTACTACCAAAACATGCTAATATTGAGTTTTATTACCATTCTTTGCGCATGTAGCGTCTTTAGCCAATACAGCCAGAATAGCAAGCAATAAGACAATATTTTGTGATTTCATTTTTGTTGTAGTTTTATATAGACAAAAGAAAGAAAAGAAGTACAAAGTGCATCAAATCTGTAGCCTTTATATATTTAGCTTTTTTGTTCCTTATACCTTAATTTACATCCTGTAATTTACAATTAAATCAAAAACGATTCAATGTGAATTATCACACTAATACAGGGTTTTCAACTAGCTTTCTGATCCAATGAATCGTTTTATTCATGAACTCAAATAAACTAGGCATTGTTCATGTAGCTTCTGGGCAAACTGTTGATACATTGGCATCTTTGCTAAAAATAAAATGTTATGTCTAGGCCTCGGATTCTAGGCAAGATACACTGATTATCGTCCATGCATGAAATCTTTCATGTACGGTCCTCCAGGTGCCTGTCTGTTTTTGGCTTTGAATAGCCCCTTATTCAAGCCAAAGATACATTGGTGTTAGGTCGAGATCTCTCTCCCTCTTCTTGCTCCTCCCTCTATTGGTGAGTTTTAAGATCTACTCCTCATATATGATACTACACATCACAAACCAATTTCACTCCTTATAATTCATGGATCATCAAATCTATCACAAAATTCTGGTGTTTAGCCGGCGATCTTTTTTTTTTTTTTTTTCGTTGAGCAAGGAGTTCACTTAGGCTGGGAAGTGTAATGATGTTCAAGAATGCATGCCTCTCTCTCACTCTTTTTCTTTCTTTCTCCAAGACGACGTTTGCAGTCTGTAAAAGTGATCAATCTGGTGGCAAGGGATAACGAGGGGACACCGAAACATGACCATCATGTAGATTTTTGATTCCATCTATATGCACGTGCGATGTTATGTAGAGACAGGCGCACATAGGAGAAGCTTGACAAATAGAGGCTATTTAGTTCTGGTTGAGTAGTTGTTTATTTTGTAGTCAGCAACTTGATAGCGTATTTCATGAAACTGCATCAGGACACCCAAATGCCAAATTTTTAATATACTGCAACTTTATCTCCCTTGTCTCTTACTATATTATTATAACACGGACACAACGTATTACATACTGATAATTTAAATAAATCAATAATTGATCGTTTACAGTTATTACATTTTCAGGGATTAATAGACTGGTTTCTTTGCTATACTTTCAGAATAGTCGTAGGTTTGCACGGAGACTGGGTGATTGAAAATATGAGTTCTTCTACACATACATTTTTGTAATAATATTAGATTTATTGTACATATTAAATAACTTGCTTTCCACTCAACCTTCTTCTCTTTATCACTATCTGCTTTCAGCTCTGACATTAGAGCTTATGAGTTCAATATTACCAGACACAGGCATTAGCATTTACAGGTGTCGTTACACCGATATAGACGAAATCATTATTACTCAGTTGATTACAAGTATTTATCTAGTTTATACTGTACTTTCCGCTGTATTTAATAGAATGTATAGTCAATCAAATGGAGTCAGGTGCAGAATAATGCTAAGGTGAGGAAATGAAATCTCGAACAATGCAATCGCTCTTCAACATCCAGATACACAGAGTTGTGTTTCGTTGATATATTCAACGAGGATATTGCAATTTTCACCGCAAAACAGCCTTAGATAACTCATTATACGAATCCCAAAAGCTATAAAGCTCCATTTTTTTTCACTTCTTTCTCATATAATCTGTCTCTTTCTTCTACTTGTATTCTACTTTGAATTAATAAGCTTTGTGTTAGAGCTGTGAATTAGAGCGAAAACTTGGCGATAGTTTAAAGGAGTTGAGGCAAGTTTTTCTTATGAAATATAAAGGCAAATTTAATGAAAAGCAAAACTTGGAAGGGTGACACCGTATAAAACATGTTAGATATTGGAGCAGGTCAGTCAGATAGGTAGTCATTAACAGGGTTTGGTCAAATATACATATCGCAAAAATTATTTAAACTCGTACAAGTCATTCATCCCCATGCTGACTACAAACGCAATGCAAAGAATTGGTACTTTATAGACAATAAGTACTTGTATTCAAGAACCATCTCTGTATATGTAGAAAAATCGAGCAAAAAAGCAAAGTTTACTTGCAACATGATTTAATCTTCAGTAATAGATCGACGCCTGATGTCGCAGAATGGATTTTCAGAAAATAGTTGACAGTTCAGGGCAGACTGACAGTTTGTGTCAGCAAAAAAAGGAAGTTAAGAACTCCTTACCCAATGTTCGAAACAACCATCCTGACTCAGGTACTGAAACCTGCAGTGGCTTCGCTCATTACAAGTTGCCCTGCGAGATATGGTCATGTCAATATTTATAAGCATTCTAAATGCAATATTTGTGAACCAGAGTCGTGTTAACACATACTAAAAACAAGTTTACACATAGACAGCGGCATCACCAAATCTGGGAAACTGCTAAATACTGATTTGACCAGAGAGATTTGCTGTAGGCATATAGATAGGCCAGCTCCATTTATTATAGGAAAGCATTTTCTTTATATCAAAGGAACCTGATGCGAGCATGCCATCTTCCAAAAAGAGTGCTAATGTTGCTAATTACGATTAAAATCTGCAAATCATAATACTAGTAGTTGCTTTCGTGTCAGAAAATGAAAGTCAAAAAACAGATATTCTACAAAGCTTACCCGACAAATCATGGTAAGACGTTATTATTGATTGATTTACAGTGGTTATTGAATGAACCTATTACCAAAGACTACTTTTAAGTATGTTGTATTAAGGTCTTTCAAAAAGTAATGAGTTCACATACCTTGGCAAGAACGTAGACAAGTTAGAGAGAAGAAAGACAAAGAAACGAATTCCTTTTTAGGAGGAAAACGATATATAGAACTAAAATAAACGCACCTATCACATACAAACTAGGTTTTGTACAATACAGAATATTTGGGTCATCAAAAAAGACTGTAGTTTACTTACTTGTTTAGCAATACAGCCTACTACGCCTTATTTTCAGGTCAAATCCTGTCCAAATCTAGCCATTTTCAGGCACGAATAACTCATGCCACAAAGCGTTTTGAGCGCTTGGATAGGCACCAAACGGCTCCTCTTGGCCACGCTTTACTTACTGATGCTTTATCTCAAATTTTTTTGGGTCATTGCAAATCCATCAAAATTCCCATTTTTTTCATGTGTACTAGTAAGGGAAATTTCTTGAAAATCAAACGATCGCGTTTTTTACCTCAAAAATGAAGACTTTTCCTATGATACATATCAGATCAAAATGATCGTAAAGATGTAATGCAACACTGGAAATACTTTCTATGAGGTTTGATATGCTAGATTTTGACATATCCACGGAAAACCTATTCTCATATTTTTGCAAATTGCTCATTACTTTCGGTCTGAAAACTGAATGTAATTAACACCATTCAATGCGGCCTTTTTAGTCCTTTAAAGGTATATTAGGAAGTTGGGTATGATAACGAGAGTTTTCATAGTCAAGTTTGACAAAAACGTTCAAAGGATGTCAAATCAAGTCAAGTTTGAACATGAATACACCCACTACACAAATCCAAATTAAATTGCCGCAATCACAACTGCCGCGGCAAAGGACTGAGACCAAATCTACTGGCCGTGACGTCGGATAGGGCGCCCTCTCATTTTCCCATACCACCGTCTTTTTTTCCCTTTTTGCAAAACGCGTGTAGTATCAAACCATGGTGAGTTGGGAAACCGTTTGATTGATAACAACACTCTAGCTTCTGATAACGCTGTATTGTACTGTTAGAAAGGCTTGATGCTGCTTCTTTAAAGTGGGATATAATCGGTACTATTCGATAACGAGCACTGAAAGGCGTAGAATTAACACTAATTGAATTTGTTTATTAGGTTTTGATGATTTCTTTGTCTGCTTGATGCGAGTGCTGCTGCCATTACTTCTTTGCTATTTCTGCTTCCTGCTTTTTTGGTTTATCATGTCTGGTGGTTGCTTCTTTGGTCTTTGTCCGGTTTCTGGTGTCGTTCATTCTTTGGTTTTTCTATGGTGTTGGTATTGCTGCTGCTAATCTGGTCTTTTCTGATATTTTCTGGTCTATTGTGTTTGCTGCTGCATGCTCGTTCTTTGGTTCATATCCGGTGATTGCGTAATATTTAATCTATATGTGGTGGTGATAAGTGGTAAGTAACTTGTTTGGTCTTTGTCTGGTCCCTGCTGATGATGTTCGTTCTTTAGTTTTTCTATGGTGCTGGTATTACTGTTGCTGCTTTTCTGGTCTACTGCATTTGGTGCATGTTCGTCCTTTGGTCTGTCTCCGATGATTGCGTATTCTCTGGTCTATCTACGGTGGTGGTAAATGGTAAGTGGCTTCTTTCGTCTGGTCGCAATGATATATAACTTCCTTGAACGTTTATATTATTGCTTCCTTTCTCATGATACTGCATTCATGATGTTTCCTTTGTGGCACTTTCTTCTTCTTTTGCTGGTTGTGTTGCCTCTGTGGCTTCACATAAAACAACATTAGTCATTATTATGTTGCATTGCATACTGATAATACCACTGTTGCTTTTGCAGCTGTGTGTGTTTGTGTTGCTTTACATCCGATTATTGTTACCATGCAAGTTGCTCATGTGTGCATTTTTGTTGCAACAATAACGAGCTGTTCTGAACATCTCTGATGTTGTATTTGTTATGCTTTTCTTTGACTCGCTTCGTGTGAGTGTCTCTTTTTTGCTTACATGCTATTATACCCTTATAGTAGTATGTTCTTTTCTTCATTCTTTTATTATTTTTATGTTTCTTTGAAGCATACCTTTTTTACGTTGTGTGGATGTGCCTATCCCTGAAGCTCAACAAGAACTTATTATCCGAGGCTAGGAGGTAGATAGGCTGCCTCCACTTGGTTATCGCTACTTACTTTAGTGATGATTGAGAGTCTCAACGCCAGAATCTAAAGCTAGGTGGTGTAAGTAAGGCATGCTCTAGCACCTGGGGGAAATTTGATGATAGTAACAGCTATATTGTTCTATAGCGGAGCTTAAAATTTTGCCTCACATCAAAACAGGGGGAAACCCTCGCAAATTTTTTTTTAGGTCAGCGGAGTTTTCAAGCAATCTGATTGGCTAAGGTTGTTGGGTTAGGAGTGGCAATAAAAGGTTATTATAATACATCTGTTATCAGCTTGATTTACTTAAGAAAATAATGATGATAATGACGCAGTATAGGTTATTTTTCGGAGCACTGGGGCCTTTACCTTTTCAATCAGCAGGACATTGAGGAACTTGAGTCATTTTCTCCTATATCAAGTGTAAGGATCTCATATATGTCCTTATTATTAAGAGAGAGATCTACTTTTGCCAATGTTTATTTATAGTGGGGATGCATCGAGGGCCTAAGGCATGGCATGTAGTACCTGCTGCGTTGTCACGTTGTTGTCTTTCGTGCATGTTAGTACTGTCAGAACTGACTACTTCTTGACTCATTTTGGTGAAATTTTGTTGCTTTTTAGTCAGAAAAATAATAGATGGTGCTAGCAATAATAATGATTGCATTCCTAAGACAATATGACATACCATGCGCGTTGAAAGAAGAGAAAGATGGAACAAGAATATCAAATCAGTGGTCAGTGAACATTAGAGTCACATTTAGTGCTCAAAATTGTATCGTCAGACTCGGTGGAGAGGTCCTGGAAACCGTCTTATTCGTACATCATCACAAACATTCGAATAAAAGACAATGGCCGAGATCTTGAACAGCCATCCTTATGCTCCAAGCAGCTTGAGTATACCGCATTATGTACCAAATGAAAAAAGCACAGCCGAATTACTCTTCATCGCTGGTGGCATTATGACAATATTGGTTGGTCTGAGCTATGCCATTTCTCGATCCTGGTTCTTCAACACGACTTCTACTACTAGATTTACTTGGTTTGGCATCTGTGGTCTTATGCATTGTGGTTTTGAGGGGTATTGGTTGTGGAATAGGGCCACACTAGCCAGCCAAAATGACATCTTTGCTCAATTATGGAAAGAATATGCCCATGGAGATTCTCGGTATTTAGCAAATGACGAATTGTTACTGACATTGGAGATCATGACAACTGTAACATCCATGATTTTTGGTCTACTGATTGATGTATGCTCATATCCTCTCTCTCCTTCTAGTTCATCTGGGGTCCACTGTGCTTGGTATCTGCATACTTCATTCTACGAAATTCCCCCAAACAATACATTTTTCAGTTAATTGCGTCTCTATGTCATCTATTTTCATGCTCTCTCTACTTTATCATGGATCTGCCAGAAGCCAAACATTGCGTATCAAGTCCAATGTACTTTTACATTTACTTTCTCGGGTTCAATAGTCCCTGGATTTTGGCAAGCATCATATTGATTGTTGTTGTGTACTGATCGATGTTGAACTAATGCATTCTATAGGTGCCTTTGTTGTTGCTGAATCAAAGCTACCGATACTTGGATCATGCACTCCACAGTAAGCATAAATCCATATGATTACAGTAATATATAATTTTTTTTATTTTTTTGGTAAAAAAAATTCTAATAAAAAGAGGGGGCGAGAAAGGCTTTTTCCCGTTGAAATCAAAAGAGAGATGCTTGTTGGCGAAATAATGAGTGAATGAGAGAGAAAGAGAGAGAGAGAGAGAGAGAGAAAAGAAAAAAGTTTAAATCTACAGCCACGCAGCATGAGTAACCCACGATACCAATTGAATAAACCTTACAAAACTTACATCATCAATATCAAAATCAAATTCAACTTCGTCATCTTCTTCGCCACCAAAGTTATTGTCGGTTTCGTTGATCTTGGCGGTATCAGGTAATTCACCATAAGATTTCAATTGTCTAGCTTCATCAGGGTTGTAACGTTGAATAACATCGGCTTTCTCGTCTTGGAAATCACGCAAAGACAATAAAACAATATCACCCTGGTTAATCCAAACCTTCTTACGCAATTTACCACGAATAAGTGCTAAACGTTTGACGCCATCGAAGCATTGTGCTTCAACACGACCGTTACCCAGCATTTTAAGGACTTGAGCGTATTCTGCATTGTACTGTTAATAAGCGAAAGAGACTGCGCATCGTGTCCATTTGAATCTACCTTGGCCTTCTTCCTTGAAGACGAGCTCACGCTTGTCGTTTTCAGTGTCGTTCTTTCCTCTTCTTCTGGATTTACCACCCTGAAGATTACGTGTTAAGTTGGTACAGATTACAGCGTGTGTATGCCATCATAAATCAACTTACTTTTCCCTTATTTTTAACCATATTGGACTTTCAGTATGTAGAAAGAGGAAAAGAAAAAAACCAGACCAAAAAAAATTGTGCTCGCCTTATTGAAACTGCGGTTGGTTTTCTTCTACCTTCTTTTTCATATTTCCCGTGGCTTGTATCCAATGCTTTTTCCTGCTATACAACATTTCCAAGCACGCATTGATCTGCTGATGGTAAACTTATGTGGTATCTGAAGGACTACGACCCCATTCAAGCTGGCTCCATTGATGGCACGGATACTGAACCACATGATGCTGCAATTGATCGAGCTACTCAATCCCAATGTAAGATGGCATTTGACCCAAAAGGCTATGAAAGCTCTAAAATTTTTTTTGTATCCCTTGAAAGACCGCCCACCACATCACTTGAAAACTGATCCAAACTGCACTGTATTCGTGGGTAGATTAAGCTTTGATACAGTGGAATCAGGATTGAAAGTGCATTTCGAAAAGTATGGAGAGATGTCAAGCGTTTCTGTTGTAAGAAATCAAGGTATTTGAATGATCATCCTACCAGGATCAAGCGCTCAATTATATTTTCAGTTACGGGACTATCACAAGGCTACGGATTTGTTTCATTCAAACTGGAAAAAGATGCGAGAAGGGCCTACAAGGAAGCCAACAGATCAGTTTTAGATGACCATGTGATATTGGTTGATTTTGAAAGAAGTCGAGTAATGAAAGATTGGATACCAAGAAGATTGGGCGGCGGCTTTGGTGGCAAGAAGGATAGCGGTCAACTAAGATTTGGGGCAAGGGATAGACCATTCAAAGCACCAGCTTCCAGCCATGTACGGATACCTTGCGAGCAAAAGTTTTCGGATACATGGAGACATCATCATAGCCAGAAGAAACCTAGCCGATCAAAGTCTCCGTCTAGATTTCACCATCGTTCCGAGTCCAATAAAAGGCGTAGATCAAGATCACCTTCAGAAGGAAGGTCTCGGCATTCAAGCAGAAGACCACCCTCAAATGACAGGCACCAATACTCACATAAATACAGCTCTTCCTCAAACAGATACTCTAGTCATGATCGTCATAAAAGACGTAGCCATGAGTATCTCGGAGGAAAGTCGAGCGGTAGCAGATAGCATTCAATTCCATTAAATCATGCCCATTCAGATCTAGTAAATCAGCTTAGATTCCATTGAAGCAATACATGTGTAGGGTTGTCTAATAGAAGTCAAGACTTAAAAGGTGTGTGAGCGTATTTATGCATTGTTGACTGATTAAATGGCATTTGGTTTCAAACGACTCATTTATTATGTGCAACTTGAAAGGGGAGAAGAGATTGATTGTGAGCATTATGATGCTTGGATAATGTGTATGTGTTTACATGAGTATAAGCTATATAATGAGAAGAAGGAATAGCATCAACAAGCTCCTGGGCCTAGTCATCCTTTCCTTTGAGTACTCTTTGGAACATGTCGACAAGTTCATTTAATTTTTGATAGATATCACCAATATCCTTGCTGTCTTCCTTCTTGTCCTTCTTGTCATCAGTCTCTTCCATGACCTGGTCCTCGCCATCTTCGATTCCCTCTGCTCTATTGGCGCTATGCTTTGCTTCGTTCAAAGTATTTGTAATGTCACTATCAGTAACTTCGCCGCCTTTGATTTCGCCATGCTTGTTCTTCTCGGGATCCACATTTTCAGGATGATGAACTTGATTGACATGATCAGAAAGCTCCTTGAGGCCAGCTTCAGGACAGTGAAACCAGCAAGATGCACAAGCATAATGGCTAACATCATAGTCATCCACTGTGTCAGGGTCGTTGTTGTATTCATAGTGTGGGTCTTGGGGTCTTTTGTGGCCAACTTGACGTACAGGGAGCTTGTAGCCGTGAATGACTTCGACATGGTTGATGGCTTGTCTTGCCTTTGAAAGTATGTTGCCACAGATGTAGCAAGGATATGTGAAGGTGATGACTTCCTTGGCGGATGGTTTCTTCTTTGCTGCCATTGTAAAAAGAGTGTTCAAATGTTGAATAAGAAAGAGAAAGAGATGGAAGAAACGTGGTCTGTTGGAGCTCATTTATATCAGTAGGATCGTACATGGTTTCGTCAACATGCCGTCAACCGGTATCAGGCTTGTGTGAATGCAGAGAGACATGGATGTGATTAATTGATCTGCCACCACTGTACTGTACGGAGTCCTTGATTTCACAATGAGTAGTGAGCATTTATTAAACCTCAGCGTGTTTTTGTTTCTCTAAAACTTTTCTTCTTTCATCCTAATACAATCATACCTAGCATGAGCCAGCAACAGTATATAAAAGATGTTTGCTGCTCCTCATTACCGAATACCTCAGAATACCACAAGATTCGTGCGGCAGTATGTATACACCAGCTTACATTGCCATCTCACAATACCAACGTTTATGTAGCTCTACAGACAGTCGTATCTGATATTCCAAAAGCTACATCAAAAGTAAGGCATATTGCACTGATTCAGCTACTGTTTGACTAAATATTAAGCTATAGATCAACTCCAATTACAGTGAACCAAGCAGCAAAGGAGTACGATGACACTCTGAATGAGCAAATCGAGCTGGTAGAGCAGGTAATTCAACACTACATTGCCATGCTTGCACCCAATAGTAACTCAATTATAGTATTACCACGAACTTGCACTGAACAAAGAGCGCCAAGAATATTTGAAGCTATCAGCTATATGGCAATTGTGTAAAATTGTTTATTTCAGCGATCAAAAGGATGACATTGAGGCATTGATCAAGTGGTACAATCGAATCAATTCATGTATGCATGAGCAACTTGAGCCACTTGATGCGTTTGATAACTGACAGGCTCTTTTTACAGCTCTCTACTACGAATACGACAGACAAGCCATCTTCAACCATCCCGATGGACCACTAGAACATCCCAGTTTTTGGCCTTTCGCCATTCGCATGACTCTATTGGGCCGTATCGATCAGTTATCAGCACTCTTAAAGCACACGCTACCAGATGTTTCGTTTTCGAGAAACAGCGATATTCTGCCCTACATTATTGCACTGAATGACATTACAATAGACTTCCCACTCAATAAAGAAAAGCTGTCAGCAATCATGGCCAATCTACAAGCCAGCAAACGGTTCAGCCCAAAAATCGACTATCATGCACAACAACTGCTTGCTGTATTGGCAATTCTCTCGGGCGATGAAATGATCACACTTGAACACACGCAAGACGATATCCACGCTTACATTTGTTGTCGATTCTATCAATCCGCTGTGGGCTCATTCACTGACTTTACTGCACGACACCCATCCTCATCAAACCAAAACTCATTCAGCAGTCTTTTGCCACCACAAAACGTATTACGATCCATCATTGCAGGCGATATCTATCAGGCTATAGAAGAGTGTGTTCATTACGACTGGTGGCTACTGGCCCATTTGACGGATTTGCTCAGCATGAACCAAATGATAGATCGAGACATTAATATCCCAGTGAGACAAGATACGGTATCCGTGCCAGTAAAATCGCATTTTATACTGTACTATGCATCAACATTGAAGAATCAGTTTGGATTATGGAAGCAGGCATACAGTTACATGTTTGAGTGTGGTGAATTAGGAAGACAAGCTGTGATTGAGGTGAGAAGAAATGCACTGTGTTGGCACAAAGAATGGCAGTATTAATTATGGGATGTAGCATATGAGCAACATGGATTTAAATGTGGATGATAATGCACTAACAGAGGTCGTGGATTTTTGCAATCATCATTCGTTAGAATCAACAGGCGTCGAATTATACAAGGTAAGAAAGCTTACCCAACAGATGACAGTGTCAGTGTATCTAATTTGTAGCGGATTTAAGCGAAAGGCAGCCATGTGTATGGAAGCAAAGGATTACAAGAAAGCACTCTACTACTATAGAACATCCAAGCAGCATCAGTATATCGACACAGTATTCTACGAGATGATCTGGCACCTTGCAATGACAGGAGAATGGTCTGATATTTCATCCTTGAGTCCTGAAAGATACGATGGAATTTATTATACCATTTACAAGCATTTACACAATCTCCATAATCACATTGAAAGATCAGAACTCAAAGAAGCAGCACATGAATTCAGGGCACTCGTTGAAAGCGATTCTGTGCCTAACCATATTATGGCAATCGTTATTTGGGAGGGATTAGCTCTTGTCAGAGGTAAAAAAAAAAATACAACATCCTCTGTACTGCCTCTAGCACTGACCATTGCATGCGCTTTTTAATAGACTTGGATGCCTCTCAGCTCACCGCTGCCGATATTCTACGTATAAAATCACAATGGCAAAAACTGAATAAGCTTTCACCGGCACAGGATTTTAAGCTGCTTTATTTCTACAACAATCAAGATAAACTAAATGTGCCTGAGCGAAATGGCGACCTTGAAAACGTACTGAAATATCAAAAACAGGATTTCCTAGATACAACAGGTGTTTGGTTTTCAAGAGCTCTTGAAAAAACTGACTCATAAAAAGTAGATTTACTATGGCAAGAAGAGATAACATGATGAATAAATTGCTTCTTTTGCATGGCCTAATCGCTTAACTACCAGATGAGAGGCTCGAATAATGATGAGTTTATTCGTATATATTATTATGATATAAAGTGTTTATTAGGAATATGAAAGTTAAGCTTCTGTGTATTTAAAGTGAGCATGAACATAAGGTAAGGAACAAGATACGAGTAATAAGAATACAAATATATAAATAAAGGGAGGGAGGTTCGATACGGTATGGGTGGGTATCATATTCGTAGCATAAAGTGATAATCAGGAATATATATACATGTACATTTTTAGTTCATATTGCTATGAATAGTTTCTTCGACGATAGGATTGATCCACCAAAATCTATCTTGCGTGGTGAGCACTGTTAGTGGTGCAGCTTGCAAAGCTTGGAAATTGCGAGTGCTTGTTGTGGTCTTGACCGTACCATCTTGCAATGGAGAAAGGATGTTGAATGTGCCGTTACTCAATAAGGCGTTTGTCAATTTGAATCGGTTTCTTCTTGCTCTGGGAGGTGGTGGTAATGAGAATGGATCGTTCACTGTGCTGGTGGCTGACAGATCCTGATCGGATGGTGTCGTCTCCAGTCTTTCCTTGAATGTGTCCATTTGAATAGAAACGTCATCTTCACCGCCGCTACTATACAACATGCGCTTGCCATCGTAGTTGGTCTGCTGACGATACATTTGTTGTTGCATCAGATAAGTAGGAGGCGCTACTGCTTGATTACTGGCCTTGTAAATCGCGGCTGCTTGATCTGTAATGAACCCAGAAAGCGGTCTATAGACAGTCAGGGGTATGCACTTGATGGGCTCAGAGAACGTGTGATTCACAGCTGCCATGGCACCAGGCGTATTGACAAACGACTTGAAAAGAATCAGTTGACAGGGGCCAGTAGACAGTGCAAACGGAGGCAAGTCGAGAATGATGGCATGCAGTTTGGAGGTCTGGTAAAGAGCGCGACTGTAAGATGTTGATTCAAGCAGTTGTTTGGCAGCATTTTCGATGCCACGGATAAAGTGCTCGCTGGGCAGTGTGAGCTTGACATCTTCATGCTCCTTTGCTTGATAGGCCAGCAGAGTTTGCGTCAAATTAGCCATGTCAAACAGCGAGTAGCCTTGCAGTCTGTGGAGAAACTCGACCTGGTCTGCTTCGAGATGGGTGGGATACTCCATGTTTTGATCCAACGCCAATTGAACAAGAGGGAACGCAAATCGCTTTGCTTTCTCTACCAAAATGTGCATATTTGTAAGTTCCTTTGTCTCGTCTACAAGAGCAAATGCGCCAACGTAGACAGCGCTCTTGGTGGATGCCTTGAAAAGGGTTGGATTGGGTGCTGGTTCGACGGCTGAGGGAATCCAATCATGTTGAGTCAAGGCACAGATAGAGTCGCACATTTGTTGCATGTCAGCAAAATGATGGCGCATGTGTTCAGCTGGTATACGTAATCTGGCGCCCATCGTCTTGGCTATAAAGATAGGCTCAGCAAATCGGTATCCTTGCGAGAGAAGGCGTTCAACGTCTTTCTCGAATACAAGCTTGCGGACCATAAAGATATGCTTGTCTTCACCGTTAGAATCTTCTACAGATAGGCGATCATTAGCAGATTTGACGTCTTCCTGGTGCGAGTTTTCGTCCGAAGATGAGCGATGTCCAGCACTGTTTCGAACAGCCAGTGTAGTGCTGCCCGACGAGCGCTTGCCGTTGAGGGTGTTCACGCTTTCAATCACTGTTTCTTCGTCATCGACAGAGGATTTCTTCTTTTGATGGCCCCATTTGCAGGGCTTTTTGTTTTTTTTTGTCCCGTTGCCTGTGCTCTTGCTATGACCTTCTTCGTCGTCAGACTGAAGGTGATGTTGTAATTGCTGAAATGACATTTCATGATCAGTCAAAGAAGATTGGCCAATCGAATTCATCACCACTTTCTTGGACCAGCTGGAACCAGATGAACTTCTGAACAGTTGAGAATTCTTTGCGAATTTGTGTGTTGCCTTGGAGATGGTATCTGTTGTCACCACAATGTCGCTGAGGATGCCAATATCGCCATAGTCGTCAAATCGAAGCTCTTCGTACAATTCACGGCAGCCTTCCAGAAATTGACTTTCAACCGCATCGTACGTCTCGAGTGTGGAGGTGGCAGATATACCTGATGGACGATTTTCGCCGCTGAATCGAAGAGATGCTTTATGCACCGCTGTCTCAAACAGACGAATGAATAATGGATGACTCGTTGAGAAATCTTGCTTGGATTCCTAATTGATAAGATAAAGACATTAGGTTGGTTTCAGGTTCCATGTCAATCCAGGGATCAAAAACCTTACATTCAACTCCAAATGGCGCACCACTTCAGTCATGGGCAATGTGCCGTCTACTTTCACCAGGATGCGGCCGATGGGATCGAAAATGACAGAATCCAGAATGAGTCGTTTGTTGGTGTTTTTCTGATACATGGGCAGTTTTTGCATACCCGCCTTGACACTAATGTACAACAAACCAACGCAGGCTGAGACGATGACAGCTGAAATTATGCCAATAAGGGCAGGTGTCTGTAGCTTTGGAACTGGCACAGGGCCGTGGAAACTGGGCCTGTAAAACTCAGTGCCTACCAGAGCTGTGTAATGCATGCCTAAGACAAAAGATTAGTCATGAATGACAAAAAGCATTGAGGCTGAATCATATTACCACAAACAGCCAAAGCCATCAAGCAGGCACATCCAAAACGCTTGTACCAGAGGTTCATCCACTGTTCCCTCAACTTGAAGAAGATGTAGAGGGCGACAGTAACAGCAACACAAGCGATTACTATTGCACCAATTAGGTAGCCTATCTTGTAGACTAGTACAAAATAATCAATGGCGAATTGGCCTATACAAATTCCGTTTAATGTTTATTGCGCGCACATACACACACACACTGCTCCATTCGTTTTACCCATATAATGCATGCAGACAATGCCCAGCTAGAAATGTTGATTTAGTAACGGCTTACTTGTATCCAATAGAGTCTGATATATTTACCCCAGCAAATATTCCGCTTGGTATGATTCTTATCAGCTTTGCATCTTCAGTAATACCAACGAATGCAAATGCTAAGAACATGCAGGCTATTGCCACTACTAAGCTGGCGAAAGTGTAACCTACATTGTAAGACAACTGATAGGACTCGTCGTAAAGGATAAGTGTCATGCTGTTGTTGCCTATGAAATGCATCGACCATATACTGACAGCGCCCATCACGAATGCAGCCGCTGTTAATAAGAACCTATGTCGAATTCCACATGTCAATCCAGTGTCCAACGCAGCCAGGCAATCAGAATCATACCAGTTGTAGTATCCTCGAATATGTGTTCTTCTCGTCAACAGCTCTAATGTTGTTTGTGCTCCAGCGACAGAAATGAGGTAGCTGACAAAGATAATGCCGCCATTGAAGCTCTGAATGGCCTCTACGCCCATAGCACTGCTAATGTTGCTATCGCTGCTACTGCTCATCTTCCGCTGTTGTTGTGTGTGGATCAAAGCTGGATTGAGCGATGCGAAGGTTGGATTCGGCACAGGGTTGATTCAAAAGAAAAAAAAAAAAAAAAAGTAGAGAGAAAGAGGAGAAAGAGGGAATCCCAATAATTTTTGACAATTGATATTTTAATTTTTTTCAAAGAATCTCTGTTACAACAGATAATTACTATAAATGATGTGCAATGTTCAACCAATAAAAAGAATGTCAATGAGCTGTGTATCTTGTAAAACAGCAGCCTCACATCCAGAGATGCATGGAATTTCTGTACCAATTTGGCTTTCGGCGGATACATGGAATCTTGTCTCGAGCGCACGGGCATGTAGAGGCAACATGTCGACAAGAGACGGCATGGCTTGTGTGTGTGTGTGTGTGTGTGCAAGAGGCGCTTATCATTGACACAAAGTAGGGTTGTTCATTTAGAAATCTACACGCTCAGAGTTACACAATAAGATGAACCTGATGAAACTGGCTGCTCCAAAGGGGGATTGAAAGGACAATGATTGCACATCTCTTGTATGTAAGTTCCGATCAGAGTATTCGATTTGGCACACATTCCTGGGAGCTGTAGTACCATACAAGCCAATTTAATTCGCAGATTTCTGTGCTGACCACAACTCGATCTGCGCTCTTCAAACTTCACACGCCAGTATGGACTTTGAATGCATCGATGGCTATGTAGCACAGATTAAGGGAACGTGGTCTTTTATGGACAAATCGTCCTTGATATAGAGTGCTATGCGATCTAAAGTGAACAAGACTGTAACTGAGTGTATAAAGGGTCCTTGTATTCGAAACATGGAGAAGCAAATTAACTCAGTATTTTAATTGGCCTGTTTTTTCTAATCCGAATCGAAACACATGGGCACCAAAAGGTGCGTTCAGTTCTTAGGGATCTTGGCCGGAGTGGTTGGTTGATCACTCTCATCAGCCAAATTACGCTTTTTAGAAGCACCATTGTGTAGTCCCCGCAATGTGATATCGTAAACTACCTCCTCGATCTTCTTGACATCATATTTGATGCTGTCGAATCTATATTCTGTCATTTTAGTCAAGATGTTAGAATTTGTTTAGCCTTCATTTTACCTTTTGCGCAGAATGTCGTTTTTCAAATTCAATATCTGAAACCCTGCACTGAGATCCTTGACGTGCTTGGAGATGGCAAGAGGCCGTTCATAATCGCCTACTGTCACGGAGTTCACACATAATCTCGACTGTGAAAATATACCTATTTTAGCGCATTACTGGTGAGGATAAGCATGTACTTACCAATTCATTAATTAGTGTGATGTAAGCATGCAAGATGTCTTCGAGTTGAATGTGAAATTCGTTCAGATCATTGTGAATATCCACCTTGACTGAATAACATTCAATTAATCAGATAAAATTGATTCCATCGTGATTCAAATATACCTAGTAGAGTCTCTTCGACGGTGGGAATGATGTTGATGATTTCACCTCGATCGAGATACGATTTGAATACAATCAGAAAAACCGCTTGTTGCGTAGTTCTGGACCACAAATCGTTGTACTTGTAAAACTCATTGTCTGGTATCAGTTTGGCTAAGGTCTGTAATGTCTCTTGGACCTGCGTGAAATCGAGATTGGGAACTATGAAAAGAATGAGAAGAGCTCGGATAATATCGATAATGATTCAACTCTACCTGGTCCAGTTGGATCAGCATGCACTTGGTTCAGAGTCGCGTTTAGTTGTCGGCAAGCTCTATCCAACTCTTTGACTGTAGTGCGAATTTCCTACAGTGATACTCCATAATCAATACATTATACAGATGCAACGCGTCTATTTTAGTTTCATACATCTTTTCGAGTAGCCTCTTGCTCCAGTGATTGCTGAAGGTCGTTAAAGAAATTAAGATCCATTTTGTCAACGCATAAAGAAAAAGAAAGTGCTCTTCTTCTAACACCAGCATTTCGTGCAATGTTGATTGAGTTTGATTATTCTTGAGGAGAATCATCCTGCTTATGGATTGGATGTCTAGCCCTTGAATCGTTTTTGAAGACGCTCAGAAATACCTGTATGTTTAACTTTACTCAATATCAATCTGCCGTAGGTGCGTTTGCCGTACCTGTTTTCTATCTGTCTTTACATGATGATAGGACACATTGTTTACGCTTCATAATGAGATGCTACCTAATCTGATTCAGAGCGAATGGTTGGTTCAGATTTAGTTTTCCATTGGCTGTTACCCACTCAGCACCCAACTATATGCCAGCGCCCCCCACCCCCCGGGATCCCCATGATGGTGAATAAGGGGGGCTCCAAGCGTCTCTTTTCTTCTTTCCTATCTTTTCATTCCAACACAAATTATCATATATCATGGCTCAACAAGCAAAGCAAGCTGCCCAAAGATTAGGCGGTATGTTCCCTAAGGGCTCTGGCAAGGGTCTTGGCTCTGCAGTTGGAGCTATCACTGTTTTGGGTGCCTTGGGTTATGGTGTCAATGCCTCTCTTTTCAACGGTAAGTAAATCCAGCCAAAAGCAATGCGTAGCTTATTTACATCTGTGTTCATGATAGTTGATGGTGGTCATCGTGCTATCAAGTACACCCGTCTTTTTGGTGTTCAAAACCAAGTTTATAATGAAGGTACTCACTTTATGATCCCCTGGTTCGAGACACCTGTCATTTATGATGTTCGTGCAAAGCCTCGCAATGTTGCTTCTTTAACTGGTACCAAAGGTAAGTGATGAAACGAGAAGAGTAAGAGATTGGAAACTAAAGAAAGAGCTCCGAACTAGATTTGCAAATGGTCAACATCACTTGTCGTGTGCTTTCAAAGCCTCGTCCTGATGATCTTGCTACAGTATATAGAACATTGGGTCAAGACTATGACGAACGTATTTTGCCCTCCATCGTCAACGAAGTTTTGAAATCAGTTGTTGCTCAATTCACTGCATCTCAATTGATCACTCAGCGTGAAAGAGTATCTCGTCTTGTCCGTGAAAACTTGGTTCGTCGTGCCTTAAGATTCAATATTATTTTGGATGATGTTTCCATCACACATTTGAACTTCTCTCCTGTTTTTGAGGCAGCTGTCGAAGCCAAGCAAATTTCTCAACAAGAAGCTCAAAGAGCTGCATTCATTGTTGACAAAGCTCGCCAAGAAAAGCAATCAGTCATTGTCCGTGCTCAAGGTGAGGCTAAATCAGCCGAATTGATTGGTGAGGCTATTGAGAACAAACCCGGTTTCTTGGAGTTGAAGCGTATTGAGGCTGCTCGTGAGATTGCCACAGTGATTTCTCGTTCTGGTAACAGAGTCATGCTTGATTCTGACACTTTATTGCTCAATGTCAACTCACCTGTCAGTGGCAACGCATCATCATCAGAGGCAACAGCTTAAATTATTTCCCATATCCCTCTTTCCTACCTCTCTCCGCTCCCCCCCCCCTTTTGTAATGAACTCTTTTCCCCTTCCCCTGTACCTTGAAAACTCTAAACTATGAATAAAAATAATGTAAAACCGGCAATTAACATTGATAAAGTCCAAAAGACGTCTATAAAAGTATATTTCAAAATAACATGAAAGTTCTCTATTCGATTGCGATCAATTCAGTAGGAGTCAGTTTGGATCCGCAGTGTAAACAATAACAATAACAATATCAAACCAGATCAAAAATCTGATGGAAAATAGGCCGGCTTTGTAGACTTGAATGGAAGGTAAAGAGATGCGGTGAATGCGAAATGTCAAAAGCATTTTCATCTGAATCATGTCAGCTTGATGTGTACTACGTTGCCATGGTTACACTTTCGTGTGTCCTGGCATTGGCATGACGGCATTAGCAATGTATGTGCTCACTATTATCAAGCCATGTATTTTGGCCAATCCAGATCTTGATTTATGCAGTTTGTGATTGAAAATAGATAAGCTTTCCTGGCCCAAGAGAGACTTATGTGTAGTAAAAAAGGAACAGTGTTTATGTCGGTGATACAAACCGGCTTACATACTAGAGAAATGTGGATTTCCACGCGTAAAACCAGATGCTGTGCACTCATGTGGTTTATAATGGTGTGGTCTGGTAAAAGTGGGCAAACATGTACTTACGGAGTGGCGTTTTGTAGTCAATTGATTGAAAACGTTGTAATCTACTTGATATCGCTCGATGACAAAAGTTTGTAGGGGTCAATGTTGAAATGAAAATAAGTTACTGTAATAGTATAAACACAAATACACCAAGCAGGCAGGGCAACAGAAAGAGGTATTTGAATTTGATGGGTGGGATGGAAAGTTCGTTTTGGGTAGTTTGTTGTGTAACTCACTAGCAATATTGAAAACATATAAAAAGAGACCATGGAACTCGCATATCCTCTTCTCTGTACATACATCTTCAATCTTCTTTCTACATGTCTCAACAACAGCAGCAAGATCAGCAATATTATCCTCCAATGGACTTTTCTCAGAACGATGGTTATAGTGTGATGCATTCATTTCCCTTTATTAATGATGGCCCCAAACCAAACTATCGTCATAGCTATCATCCTTCTACATCACACCAACAGCAACAACAATTTCCACAAAAAGAGCCTTTGCAAGCGCCCATCGATAAACCCAAGCTTACAAAGCAAGTGCCTCCTGGCGTCATTCACATCAAGCCTACATGGAAGCCTGTCAAATTAGATGAAAAGCCTCCATTCTCCTACGCTACCATCATTGCCCATGCTATCCTGTCTAGTGAAAACCGTAAATTGACACTGAGTGAAATCTACCAATGGATCTCTGAACAGTATCCTTGCTATAGCATGAAGGATCACAGATGGCAGGTACGTTTTTTTTTTTCTGATTTCATCCATGTAAAATGTCTCAAATTAATCATGGTGTCATATCATTTAGAACTCCATTAGACATAATCTGTCTTTACAAAAGGCATTTGTCAAACTGGAGCGCGATGCCAACACACCATCTGGTAAAGGATGCTTTTGGACCATCTTGCCTGGCTATGAACAGCAATTTATTGATAATCTGGTGAAAAGAGGCATGGGTAGTGCAGCTGGAAGCTCAAACAATAGAAAGCATGCGACTAGTCTTAGCAGTACTTCGACTAGCAAGCAGTTCCGCAAATTCATTGATGCTTCTGTCAACAAGTCAAATGCTCCATTGTTTACCATCTTTCGTATGAATCCCACTACCACCGTATCTGCTTCTGCAACTTCAAGCCCTTCTAGTAAACGCAAGAAGATCTCTTATAATAAGAAGGCGGATGTCAAGCAACAGGATGAACCAGATTTGCAGTATGATTCAGACTGTGATAGTGGTGTCGATCTAGGCTGTGAAACTCATCCTACAAAGACGCAAAGGCCAGCCTCTATGTATGCGCAAGTCCCATCTAAATCTGCCTCTTTGGCTCCTCCTCCTCCTTCCATGTCTCTTCACCAAACGCAACAAACCTACAACTCCTTACTGATGGAGAACTCCATGTTTATTCCGGATGAACTCTTTGTCTCTCAGCAACCCAATGCCATGATGTCTACTGCTTCAGATGACAACATCTCTTACTTTGACAATGTCTCAACACCGTCATCTATCATCATGGATCAGCATTTATTCAGTAATGACCCTTCTCTGGACAATTGGGCACAATCAGCACAGCAAACTCCCATGTTTGACTTCCAGCCTCAATCGCAGTTTTTACCCGCACAAGCTACCCCTTGTTACGATCCTTCTGTCGCAAGCTTTGCCTCACTTGGTGCTGATAGCAATCAAAGCGACTATTTGCTACAGCAGCCTTATCAGCCATTTCAAGATTATTACTTGTATAATGACTTTTGCTAAAGCTTTAATGCTGGTGCATCTACATACCTACTCCCCATTTATGTATTCCTTTGTATATACCTTTCAGCCATTTCATTTGTTGTTTATTGATTTATTTCTGCCTCTTCTACTGTTCTTTTCAAAAGTAAACTTAACCTTGTATTTATCTGATTAATTAATAAAGTCTCTTTATAATTTAAATACTTGAAATGTGTTATACACTGAAGTTTTCAGTTTGCAATTCCCTTTTTATGAGCCTCCAGCAGCATAGATCACTTCTTTATAATAAGCATGGCGGTTACTTTGACAGCCAAAAATATTTCAATTTCCCACTTCGGATTTTCACTCGAAATGGGAAATTTTGATCACTTTTTCGACTTGACCAAGCTATTTAGCCAGATTCGACTATATAAAGTGTGCTGATAATTCCATGCTCCCTTAAGCTTTTCTGGAGTACTTTCAAGGTGCATCCAGTGATGCTAAATAAAAAAGATGTTTTGAACAAACGTTTCGAGCACTACTCGAAAAATTAAAATGAGGTTTATGGTCAAAATGTCATGATTCTGCATATCAAAGTCGCACAAAAGTGGTTTCAGAAGTTACTTTGGACCAAGAGAAACATTTTGATTCATTATTCTCATATGAGCCAGGCCAGACAGATGCCTTGAAACTCAGGCTCCCTATTAGGGTTGTAAAGCGTCTAAGGACTATGTTATGATGATATTGATTTTACAATCAATCAACAAAAACCACTGTTAGTTCTACCCTCTTTCCTCTGCTCAATGCTGTCAACGTTCTCTTTGAACGACGTCTTGGAGCCTTAGAGATTTCACTACTTACTGCAGACATCTTACGCAGCCCATTTTAAAATATCATTATAAACGATAGCTTTATGGCCTGCCACCTACTTTTCATACGCTTCAAGAGCATTTACTACTGTATTGCAGTATGAAAAGGGCGTTGAGTTTGCCAGCTGGCCCCGCAAGCCAAAATTAATTCAAGCCCAGAATCGTAGTCTGTTCCAGATTGGACAAATCTTGATAATTTTGGACTTGGTGATGGCTTCCTCCGCTAAAAAACAGTGATAACAGTGATCCACCCACACAAGGTGGCTCAATGGATTCTAGCCATAATCCAAGCAATCAACTATTTACTTACCAATCCTTTACCGATGCTCTCAAGGAACAGAAGAGACACAACTTTGAAGTTGTGCCGGATGTGGATAACAACACATTCAAACCTCTGAACACCTACTCAACATTCATTGAAGCTAAAGAACGCAATTCTATCGTCATCGACTGTGCTCAGTTCTTGGGCATGGAGTTCAAGGACACGACTCTCCTCAAGGTACTGCGAGAACAGTTTCCCAAATGCTTAGGTCTCAAGCCTAGGATCATTGGCAAAAACAGGAAGAAGGCCATTGAACTTGGGTTCTCAACTGAAAACCTCTGTCGCGACGCTCTCTTGAAGGAGTTCAAGGTCAATGGAAAAGTCATTGAAGTCAACAAGACTCTGAATCACACTGCAAACGTAATCAACATTGGTATCTCTGAGATCCCACTCATGGAAGAGGATGAATTGAAACCAGCCTTGATCAAGACATTTGAAAGATATGGCGATATCTTGAACATTGGTATCTCAAAGAGTGGAGACTCTGACTGGTTCACTGGAAGAGGATTTGCTACTCTTAATCGGGATAAATTAAAGGAGTCCACTTATGCAAACACCCTAACCCCTCAAGTTGAATTGGAAGGTTTCCCAGGCGCCCATCTGCACTTGGTATGGTCCCAGATGAAGCCTATCTGCACCGACTGCCACACGGACGAGCACGTTAGACTTGACTGCCCCAAGAGAAGAAGAAGACTCTGTCACCGTTGCAAGAGTCCTAACCACTTGATTGCGAAATGTCCTGTGGCCCCATGGAACAACAAATCAACGGAGAATAGCAATGAAACCAAATCAAGCAAGTCTACCCCTGGATCCAATGAGAATGAATTCCAGTTGGTGTCACGAAGAAATTCCAGCAGTAGAGAAGTCAACCTGCTTGATCTTGTGAAACAAGGTCAGCCACAACAACCAGCATCCCAAAACCAATTTGAAATATTAAATCACGAAGTGGAAATGGGAGAGGTCGAAGAGGTCGAAGAGTCCCAAGGAAATGAAGAAAACGACACTGAAAAGTCCACTTCACTAGACAAAGGTGTCAAAATGTCTCGCTCCTCAAGTGAACTAGCCAACAAGAAGCCGTTCAATGTTACCCCATCTGTCACACAATCTACTCCTCGCCTCGCCACCAGAAGTAACCAAACTTTGAAGCTCACTGACGTTGACAAGCTCACTCCATCGAAATCCAAGAGAAATCTGGATGATGCTATATCCCCAAATGGTCAACAGGAAACTGTCCCATTTTCAAAAAAAAAGAATACAAAAAAGAATGAATCAAGCACCAACGAAGCAGCCGGTTCTTCCAATACCTCTGGTAGCGGAAAGCCACCGCTAAATAAGTTGGATTAGAACTTGAGCCAGAAAAAAAAAAGAAAAAAAAAAAAAGAAAAAAAATAATAATAATATATATAGAAAAAAAAATGAATAATAATACTAAACACCTAAACATCAAAGTAGGATCTCTTAACTGTAGAAACCTACATTTGAACACCAACCAACACACTACTGACACCTTTATTGGCCTGCTGAAAGACAAGAAATTAAATATACTACTGTGCCAAGAAACCAACATCCCTTCTCACTCTTTTGAAGAAGTAACAGACAACATGAAGATCAAATTCAACTACCACCAAGCAATATGGACCCAACATTGTGCCATAATCAATTTCAACAACTCACTTAACCTGGAAAAAATCAAAGAATCTAACGATGGTAGAATGATCCTGGCAAAACTCTCCATAGCCGACAACTCCATTCCACCAGTATACATTTTGAATCTGTACGCTCGCTCAGGTATATTTGCTGAAGAAACCTCACAACGCAATCAATTCTACAAGAGAACAGTAGAGATGTTGCTAACAATGCCTGAAATTATCCCTGACCTGATAATGGCGGGCGACTTTAACTATAGCTTTGACAGCTCATCAAACCACGCTACTAGGCGCATAGCAAAACCGAAACATCTCATCAACTTTGTAAAGGGGTATATGAATGACTGTATTAACACAAAAGGTGAAAAGTATACCTATACCTGTATTCAAAAGCGGCGAGAACGAGTTACCCTATCCACAATCGACTACATCTTTGCTGGCACCAACACTCACAAAAAGATGCACGACGGGGACGTGGAATTCTTCAGCGATGTATACACCGACCACGCTCTAATTACGATTACACTGACAGTGGAAATGAGCAACAATGGAAAAGGCATATGGAGAGCAAACCCACATCTGGCTAAAAACAAGAGATTCACCAAGAAGCTATCAAAGGAAATCAACAACTATGTACAACACAAGCTGGACCCGGATCTTTCTGCACAAGTCAAATGGGATTTAATCAAGAACATGGCCAAGAAAGTTACAACAAATTTCTGCCGCCATCACAACCAATGGAGAGAGACTAAATTGAAACAACTGAACAGTGAAAGGAACAGAATACTCCGACTCTATGGAAAAGAACCCCTAACTTTGAAGGCACTACTACCACCTATACACCAGGAGATCAGCAAAATCCAAGAAGAAAAGTACAACATTAGCAAATTGAGAGCAGGCAAGCGCTGGATGGAGCAGAATGAAAACTCGCCAGCATACATCAAGAAGACCATTGACAGGCGACTAGAAACGAAGACAATGCCCATGCTGAAGCACCCAACTACTGTAACAGAGTGCACTGACACCAAGTCGAAACTGGATGCCGTCCATACCTTCTATTCCAAATTGTATAGCCCTGAACGGATCGATATAAATAGCATGGAAGGCATACTGAACCACATTACTGTATTTATTTCCCAGGAGGAAAGCGATCAGATCATTGATGACATTCCGTTTGCAGAGATATTCGAGGGATCCCGTAGGAGCCCCAAGTCTAGTAGTCCAGGTTTGGATGGACTTCCATACGAGATCTTACATGTCATAGCAAGTCAACCGATATGCCAAAGAATTATCACCCAAGTATATAACGACGCAATCAAGCTCGGTATATTCCCAAAGTCGTGGCAACAGGCTTGCGTAGTATTACTGCCCAAGAAAGGCGACTTATCTGATCTCAGCAATTGGCGACCTATTACACTGATCAATACAGATTGTAAAGTCTTCACGCGGATCATGAACTCACGAATCACGACAGTGGCAAGCAGACTCATAAACAAAGTACAGACCGGGTTCATGCAAGATAGATACATTGGTGACCAAGGAATGGCCCTACGAGTGATGATGGACAATGCCAAGACAGCAAAGGGAAATAACAAGGACGAATTTGAAGAATATGTGGGAGTCATGTTGGATAACAACAAAGCCTACGACCGAGTGCACCCACACTACCTGGCTCAGGTACTCCAGAAGTTTGGATTCCCAATGGAGTTCATTAGATGTATAGAAAACCTGTTTTTTGGCAACGAGATTTTCATCAACATGAACGGATTTCTAACCAAACCAGTCAAACAGAAGAGAGGATTGCGACAAGGAGACTCTATTTCACCAATCTTGTTCAACTTTGCAATAGAGCCCTTCATACTGTCAATCATCAACAGTCAAGACATATCTGGATACTCAATACAACCAACCAAGCCAGCACCACAGAGGACAATTCAGCTCAACACCCCACCACCTACAAAGATCATGGCCTATGCGGACGATATTCTCATCTTTGTCAAATCAAGAACGGAATACATGGCAATGGAGGAATGCATCAAGACGTATGGTAAGGCATCAAACTCAAAGATCAACTATGACAAGTCATTGGCGTTTCCCCTACATGGTGGCAGAATGGAAGGGTATTTCGGTACAAGACTGAAAACTTACACTCAACAGCGAATGAAATGGTTCGACTACAGTAGCCCAGAGTACATCAAATACCTAGGGTATCCAATATACTATACAATACAACAACGGGATTGTTTCATTGCAGACTTAACCGCCAAGATCAAAGCGCAAGTAGAATTCCTCAAGCCCAGGAAAATATCAATGTACGGTAAAGCTAATGTCGCTAACACAATTATCCTGTCCAAACTGTGGCATGTCCTCAGGCTGACACCTCTACCGAAAGCAACCATCAACAAGCTCAACTCCATCATATATCAATACATAGTGGATGAGAAGAGACTGCAAATCAAAAAAGATGTGTACTACCTACCCAAGGACCAAGGAGGACTAGGTTTGCTACATGTAGGCGCCCAACAACAAACCCTGCAAATGAGGTATATCACAGCACTACTATACCACGACCAGCACAAAACAATCCCGCAGTACCTATACCAATTGATGTCACATACGCTACAAATGGAGACGAACCTGCCTTACATTGATACCATACTGATATTTAAAGAAGCAAGAAGCTACAAGAACAACCTAAAAGATGGGGCCATGAAACTGATTATTGAAACAATGAATAGTCTTCTTGCAAACTGCCGACCAGACTTTACCAATACACCCATCAATATCAACACTTGTTTAACTTTACCACTGACCACTATATACAAGGACTGGGAAGACTTGGAAACTACTGACTACCTCAGGAACCCTACAGCCAAGAGAAGCCTAGTGCAGGATTTTTTCAAGCCAAATCTTAATTACACAGCTCTCGAATACAAGACAAGACAAGAATGCAAATCACCGCAGATACTGTACAAGCTCAAAAGAGACCACAACAACAACCAGTTACACCTTCAAGATTTCTTCAGCAACCTGCTTCATCCAAACAACTCAACTCCCAACAACCAGGAAGAGGCAGCAAGTCTAATCCAACATTTTGAGCACGATAGCAACATCATTTGGCTCTGCAAGAACAAAATAATCAGACAACTGCTCCTCAAACAACTGCCTATACAACTGCCAAAAGATCACAACAAAAACATCAACCCCAAGCAATGGAAAGCATTCTACAGATCACATATGCACCAGTCACCTCGAAATTTATGGCTCAAGATCATATACAACAAAGTCCCCTGCAGAAGTTTCCTATACCAAAGTCAAATCAAAGATATAGAAAACAACAGATGCATACAATGTAACGAAGTAGAAGATGCCAGACACCTTCTCATGGAATGCGGAAACAAACACGACGTCTGGGAGTCCGTCTTTAAAGAACACCTAAGCTACCCAACCACAATCAACACTCACCGCATATACAAAGACATGCAGAACCTGACATTATCAAGATACTACATTTACAACCTGGACCTCAAGATCAACATCTTCGACCTTTTTGCCACCATAATCCGAATAATCTGGACCCACCATTTCTTCGTACACTACCGTGGTACCCCTTTTGAGCCCCAAACAGTTGTTAGCAATATCAACAGAGAACTGGATAAGCTGTCCAAAATGGATAGTATTGATTTATAAGACCTCATAAGATACAATATGGCAAGTCACTTTACCTAGTATACACTTGATCCATTTATACAATGATTTTATTAACTATTTATTCATAACTACTTAATAAAACTTTCATTCCATACAAAAAAAAAAAAAAAAAAAAAAAAAAAAAAAAAAAATTTGGACTTGGTTGAGCTATTTTTGCAGATTCAACTAAGTAGAATATAATGATCATCCTCTATTTTCTCAAGCTTTCTTGGAGTATTTTTCAAGGCGCATCCAATGGTACTAAGTAATATAGATGTTTTGAATAAACTTATCGAATGATTTATGAAAATATGAAAAAAAAGTTTCTGGCAAAATGCCGAAATTTTACATATCAAAGTCCCACAAAGATGATTTCAGAGGTTGCTTTGGATCGATAGAAACGTTTTGATTCAAGATATACCATAGTAAAATTCTTCATTTTCAAGGTCAAAAACGTGATCGTTTGATTTTCAACAAAAACCATGGGGTATCACTCATGGTTTTTGGTCGATTTTTGACGATCCCAAAAAAAGTTGAGCAAAGGTACCAGAAAGTAAGTACTATTCGAGAACAATTATTTGGTGCTATCCTGACGGTTTAAAACGGTCTCTAGCACGAGAAAAATGGCCTCAAATGCATCCAATTTACGCTGTGTTAGTATACTTTTGAGTAATAAAAGGTAGTGCAAATATGCTGTCTCCCCGTGTATGAATTGTTCACACTGATACAGATGCAATAGACTATCTTGAGAGCCAGATTCGTAGTTAGAGGTTGTTTTTGGAGATCTTTACGGAATAACAGAGAATTAAAATTGTAATTTCAGCATTTATTGTTAGAATGGTGTGCCTCCGTGGTAGCATAACTCTGATGCACGGATCATGAAGCTGATTGCCATCGTTTTACCCCTGAATCTGAGTGCAAATGTCCAACGGTATACTGCACATATAGCATCTTTGTTGAATTACTTCAAAAAAGGCTTTATCATAGAACAAGCAGCAAATTCGGCTTCTCATTTCCATTATTATCAAGCTTATAAATAACAAAACACATCAAAATTTGCATGAATTAGCCTTACCAAAACCAATATTCCTCCCACTCGAATCAAAAGTTGCACAGGCTGTAGAACTGTCCTTCCAGAAGACTTCAGCTACGAAGGATGTGATTCATATCGTGTAAATAAAAGCTATAAAGCAAAAATTCAACCAAATTGGACAGTTTTCAGGCCTTCATATATTGCCATGTAGGCTTTTCTGAGCCGCCGGGATGACATCAGACAATTGTACTTGAGTAGTAGTAACTTCCTGACACGTTTGCTCAACTTTTTTTGGGATCGTCAAAATCGACCAAAAACCGTGAGTGATACCCCATGGTTTTTGTCGAAAATCAAACGATCATGTTTTTGACCTTGAAAATGAAGAATTTTACTATGGTATATCTTGAATCAAAACGTTTCTATCGATCCAAAGCAACCTCTGAAATCATCTTTGTGGGACTTTGATATGCAAAATCTTAACATTTTGGCCTAAATCCTTATTTCATATTTTTTGGAATTTATTGATAAGTTTATTCAAAACATCTATTTTACTTGGCACCATCGAAAGCGCCTTGAAAAGTACTCTAAGAATGTATTAGGAAGCGTAGGGTGATCATCACAATTTATATAGTCGAATATCACAAAATAGATTAAAGAAGTCGTCAAAAGACAAACTCTGTCCAATCTTGAGCAGAAAAAATAAATTGAGTGTGAATTAATTTTGGCAGGCGTCGCTGCTGCTGACTGACCCAAATGCCTTTCTGACGATGACAATGATGGTTGCTATGCTGATCAAATGGGGATCATGGAATTGAAAGGGTAATTGCTTAGCTGGAATGATTTTTTCTTTCTTGGGAGTTTTTTTTTTCCTTATAATAAAGGTGTCTTTTGCAATGACAATGTCTCAAAAAAGTCGCTGTAGATCATACACAACAAGCCCTGTATTTGCACATGGCCAGCTTTATGCTGCCATTTCAAGAGCAACATCAGCGAATGGACAACTCCCCCTCCTGGCTCTGATATAACTTTTTTTTTTTTTTTTTTACTAATAATTGATTGTTTAAAATCTACTTGATATACCAAAATTTTATTATATCTGATCTAACATGTGTTCAGCGAGAGCCCGCAGGGCGACGCCGACATCGAACGTAGCGAGATAGATCGGCTAGTTAAATAATACTATAGTTTGTGTAGATCGACGGCTATATTACTAAGATGATCTCTTTTCTTTTGCTTGCTTTGATACCGATGTCTCTATTTCAGTATCGCGTAATAAAAATTTGTAAAATAAGGGAGCCAGAGGGATTGTAGCAGCATGCCACAGAGAATGAGCGTCTAGGATTTCCTTGATAGGAGGGAAATCAAAGACCTCTAAGCTCATGGCACAACTAATCAAGACAACAGAGACGCCTGCCATGTAAGCATAGGGCCTTCTTTCTGGTTGCCCCCATTTTGTATATTGCAACACAGACCATCCTAACCATAAGTTTGTCTGTAATAAACCCACCACAATGCATGCTGTCATGTTGTATCCGTAATCAAATCGATCCAAGGTTGATAAATAAGTGACATGAGCGATATAAAGCAGTGCGCAAATGGTAGTCCAAATCAACGCCACTGTATTCTTCAAGTAAAATATACGCACCACAGCAACGCAGAGACCGTAGAAAATGTACAAACCAGCGCTAAAGTAATCCAATTTCTCTGTGATGGGGGTATCCCTCGTATGAAAGACAGTGCTCCACAGCCATGCATTCATACCAACGACTGCAATGCCAAGGTAGAATTTCTTGAGGCGATACGTATCGTTGACTTGCTGTTTAATGACTTTAAAGTATCGCAAATGCATTAGACCGTTGAGAATAGAGAATACAACCGAGGCTGGCTCTTGAATACCAAACACGCGCTGAAATGGCCATTTTCCATGGTACTGATGAATATAGTGTTTGTTAGCAATTGCTCTATGCGTGATTGTCTGCATGCAATGGTATCCGCAATTCTGTCGAACTGTCCATTGTAACAGTCTAAGGTGGAATGGTAGTTGGGAAACGTCTGTGTTGGCTGTGCATTGTTCCACGCATTGAATGTATTCTGGTAATCTATCACCACTTGACGCAAGGCACACTGTGAAAAGAGTGAGGAAGATGACTGTGAATCGTAGTGCAGATGGCATGTTGCTAATTGGGACTCGACTGTTGCTACCCTCAATTGTGTTCTATAGGATAAAAGAGAGAAAGATAAACAAAGTGTAATTGTGTGTACCCTGCTGCTTACAATGAAGCTTTAATATCGGGAATTCAACCATGTCAGACATTGGAAAAGGAACATGAGGAGGACGCAGCGGTTTATTGAGCAGAATTGAAACATTTACTATTACCATGGCGCTTGGATCTCGATTCCCTCAGCAGAAGCAATGCCCTTTGTCACCACGTATTCTGCACTCGCAACACAACCCTCTAGCAAAGGAATCCCCTTCCAACAATACGAACCAACAAACCAGATGCCATTCTTGCCTTGACATGCTCCTAATGATATTTCATTTGTGTCTTTATCTACACTGAACAACTGCTGTAAGGCTTTCTTGGATTCCAATGTCACAGTAGCACGCTCAAACCAAGCAACAGATAGCACCTTCTTGGGATCCACAGCCACGCAAGGGTTGGTGGTTTGCATGTAGAGATGATCCGTTTTTTTCTTCAAACTGCTATGTGTTAAGTTGATGATGTGCGTGGCCATAGTCGTGTCATGGGGATAAGGCACAATGAGGTCGCTGTGTCCGGGATCCACACTTTTGTCTACAATGGCTAAATTAAGCGCCTTCCAATTGCTCTGATCAGAGGGGAGTAATCTTGTATCAGTGTGATTAATGACAAGCGCAGTGTCGTAACAAAAGGTTTGCAGCATGTCCATTTGAGCTTGCACACTCTTCATCATGGGTTCGCGTGCAGCTTTCCATGATTCAAATGATTCCTCTTGTTCTTGCTTGAGCGACGAAACGTATTCATTCAGCATGGAGAGGGCTTGGTTGCCTTGAGTAGCGAATACAATGTGGTCAATGTCGTACACTTGATCGTGCTCGTCTGTAAGTTCGAAGCGATGCTGAGGCTTTACGTTGGGTTTGATGCTGGTGATTTGCGTTTCTAAATGCACATTCTGTAATGGAGTCGAGATATTCTTCACCACCTGCTGTACACCGAAACCAGCAACATATGATTCCTGAAACAAGCCCATTGCCATATATTCTAAAGATATACGAAGTGATTAGGTCATTGATCTGCATGAATCTTGCGCATGCGTGAGTATAAAAATACCTAAGATATCTGATGCTGGATAGCTCAACATGGATTGATACGAATTGGTGCAAACAGCTGCGAATAATGGCACGAATATCTCATGCGCAAAGTATGAATGAACGTGGTAAGTCTTGAAAAATTGGCCTAGTGTCATGTTGCAGATGGGATGATGGGGGTTGTGAAGATGGCCGCGATAGTACATCCACAGCGAAATGAACATAAGCCATAGGTACGAAAAGGCAACCACAAACGATCTCCATATGAATCGGCCAATGTCTCCAATAAAGTCCAGCATGGTGGAGGATGTCGATGATTTGACCATATCCAAATGGCCCACAGTACGTGCACCACTGTATACTAGATAGGAGTCATTCGTCGTATAGGATGCAACCTGGCTTGGGTCCATATTCTTGCACAATGGTTTTGATTTGGATTGCATGATGCGATACCACCCAAAGCTAAACTTGGCCTTTTTAGCCGGAATGTTTAAATGCTGGTACAATCTGAATAGGTGTGAGTAGTAGCCTACAATGATTTTCTGATTAGATGGCTGTTTGTGGTACAAATTTATTTATTGTTTATCTACCAGACATGTATGAACGCATTGGGACCTAATGCACAAACAAGTTTACGTTATTCAGGGGTTGATGAGATGATGGCAATAAGCACAAATCTTACATCGATTCTAAAGTCTTTCTCTGGTCCAACGGATATGGAGGCAGCATCCATACCGACAGAGGCGTTCTTTTCGAATAAATGCACATTGATGTTGTTATGCTGGCTGTTCTCTAGCAGATAAGCAGTGGATAACCCGGCCAATCCAGAGCCGATGACCGCAATGTTGATTTGTTTTTTGTCTTTCATAGCAGCTTGATACTGTGGATATATGCAAAAAAAAAAAAAGAGAGAGAGGGAAAAAAAGAGTAATGCTATAAGGAAGAGTAGAAAGAAATTTTTGTTACTTTATAGCCAAATGTTGAGTTGTAAATCATGGATTTAGGTAGCACGATCAGAGCAAGTACCTTCTGTCAGTGATTGCCAGCCGGGAACTGTGATCACATTAGTGGGAGCTCCCCAGTCACTGCGTGTGCGATGAGCGCAGAAGAGACAACCATGACGATTCTTGCCATTTGTAGATTTAACATCGCGTAGCCAGAACAACTATTTTTCTTCTTTACTTCTTGACATTCTCTCTACAATTATGCTAGCATCTCCTATATTCACTGTCAATCATACTGGATTGGCATTTGATTTTGAAGAATTCATTAAGAATGAACTTGGCTTGAAACTAGACAACCAAACAAAACGAGAAGGTAAGCCAAAGATTCCAAACAGTTGATTATGACAAATCCTAATTGCCGTTTATTCAGATGAACCCATCTGCAAATACTACCTAAAAGGAACTTGTACAAAGGGCAGCAACTGTCAGTTTAGACACAAAGGATACGATAGAGACAAATCAGTTGTATGCAAGCATTGGCTGCGTGGCTTGTGTAAAAAGGGTGATGGATGCGAATTTTTGCATGTATTCAACATGAAGAAGATGCCAGAATGCTGGTTTTACTCCAAATACGGCGAATGTTGCAATGGAGACGAGTGTATGTATCTCCACATTGATCCAGAAAGCAAGCAGAAGGAATGTCCGTGGTACGCTCGAGGATTTTGTAAACATGGTCCAAACTGTCGCAACAAACATGTACGAAAAATGGTTTGTCAAAACTACCTGACTGGCTTCTGTCCTGATGGACTCAACTGTTCCAATGGACATCCAAAATACGAACTGCCAGTGATGTACAATGCGCTAAATGATCAGCCAGATGCCTCGCAACAGCAACAGCAGCAGCAACAATCCCACCATACCCAGGATAAAGTGCCATTTAGCAGACCAAACAACATGCATCAATCATTCCATAACAGCAATAGCCACGGCAATCCGCAACAACAAGGCACTTTTAGGAAATTGGAGGATGTGACATGTTACAAGTGCGGGCAGCAGGGCCATTACGCTAACCGCTGTCCTCAGGGTAGATCTGGCCCACCAATGTAGAAGGGATTGAAACACGGCAAATTATAGAGTACCTCATACATCATACTTGAATATTTGCGCAGGAGACCCTTTTTTTATCTCAAACAGAACAAACCAACTTTTCGACTGCTGTTACTGCTTACATTGCACGCATGATGAGAAGCTCGCAATCGACATTTTTTGGAGAGTGAGGTGGACGTAAACCCCGATTTTATTATATAGAAGCATATTTAAATAAATGTTAAAATCCATATTTACACTGTAAAGCGGTATGTACCAGCATTGCAAAATGGAAAATCGATCTGGTTGGCAGTATGTACATAGTACAAACCATATCCGCAAAAGAGAATTCCATGCAAATTCTAATTTTCTGAAACAAAACAACCCGATACAAAGAACTGGCGTTAAATCAAGAGCTTGGCTTTGAAAGAAGCTTAATCCTTATCATTTGGTGCGTAATATACGTTCTCGGTCGAGGACACGAGTAGACTCATACTACTATCAATATGGAGGCACCTTATTCTATTTTACATGTTCATGTGTATTTAACTGATTGTCTCTTTCAAATCAAGATGATTTCTAAGCATAGTGTAATGAGACATGATCGTTTCCTGCTTATCGGAATTTCAGAGGCAAAACGCTTACATTATTTATGTACATTATGTTGATCTACGTTGTAAAATCCATCAAACCAAATCTTGATTCCCTTGCGAATTATTTTGCGTATAAAAATATAAGCTTTTGTCTCTAAAAAATCTCTTTCTTTCCACTTCTTTACACAACTTGTTTGAATAATGATGACTTACAATATGGATCCTTTGCCTTCTTTTGATTTTATTGTATTTGATAAAATATCAAAACGAAAGATCTCTAGTTATCTGTTAGGTATAATCACCATGACAACCTAAATTCCAGCATTGTACTAATATCGCTGTGCACATATAGACTATGTAACAAACGAGTTTGAAGCAATCATATCCTGCCCTTCTTCCTCTAGAAATGATACAATTACTCCACCTTCTTCGTCTATATCTTCTGTTAGAGGTGGCAATCATTCCAATGCGAACAATAGCCCCCATTATCCGGATAAAACTGGTTCTACATTTGATCACTCTGGGTTACCATCGCCTCCTTTATCTACGTCTCCCCAACGAAGAAACTCGGTTCATTCAAATGTCCACATGACACCTTTTTCTTCCTGTACTAATTCGACTACACCCATGCCACTTCGTTCATTTATTGAGATTGTAATGAAGAAATCTTGTTTGGACACTGGAACATTATTGACATCACTTTGTTATGCTCGTCGTTTAAAGTTGAAGTTATTCAAGACTTCCAAAGGTAGTTACTCCGAGCAAAATGCTGCTGTCAAAAATACTGACTCATTCAACATTAGGCATGGAATGCACTCATCATCGCATTTTCTTGGCAACATTAATAATAGCAACAAAATATATCCACGATTCAGCCATTAAAAACAAGTACTGGATCGATTATTCCCTTAAGCTCTTTTCCGGCAATGAAATCAACCTGATGGAGAAGCAACTGCTGCAATTATTAGACTACAAATTGGAGATTCCCTCGCATGACTTCGAGCTCTTGGTAAACGATATTGTGCAGTTGCACTTCCAGCATAAGCTTCAGCAATATGAATGCCCTACCAGTCCTAATGCTGAGCCATTTCAATGGTATCCCGACAGGCAACATTATGGTGATAGTGCCTATCAATCTGGTCTTCCCTCTCAAAATAACTTTTATTTGGCTACTACTCCTGTCAGCACATTGCATGCACTCAACCCTTTCAAACCCTCTCCTCCGACGCTGCATTATTAGACCTCTTTTTTTTTTTTTTTTTTTTGTAAATCACACACCCTTAATAAATTTCAAAAATCAAAATATCAAACAAACTGCTATTAATCGACACTATGACGAATAACAATACATTGGCGCGAAATGATATAGAACTTGACAAATGCAATTGTTTTCTTCTATGAAACAGCAGCAGCTTACCTATTGGGTCGCCGGAAATTAGGCTCTATTGTAAAAGCCTAAGCTCTTGACCAGTTCTATTTTCGATCTAATTGCTTCTGGAATTTATGCAATGGACTAATCTCGTACAAAGCTCCATGTCCACCGCGCTATCTTTTTAGCGGGTTCAAAATCAAATCGATCGTCGAAGTCTACATCTGGAGATTTGCAGCAACTTCATGCATTTTGACATGTCAAGTGCTATTATAAAATGTCTCTTGCTCCAATGATTGCATAAACTTTCTTTTCAAGACGAACAAACAATTGCCAACGCTTGATTTTAATCTTGTGCGAGATATTCACACAACAAAGCACTCCAGTTGCAGAAACAGCATGGTCGTGTGAAATGTCTCTTGTTGATGTGTGGAATGTACCCAACAGTTTGTATTTTGGGCGGTTTGTTTGTTTGTATATGATACAGCAGTATCCAAATAGTCATGGTCGTATGTCATTGTCGTATGGAAAAAGTCTGAGCTCAGTTAATTGGGTGGCTGTCATGAGTGTACGTTAAATCTCTCATGAGCGACATCAATTGTATGTTGCATTTTAAATGGCTGTTATCAAATCGCAGAAAGCATCGTCAGTAATTCACAGAAGCTAAACCCTGTCATTTTGGATCTACAAGTGTAGAATATTTGTATGGTGCACCATTCAAATGTAAAGAAGATATTTGTATTCACCGGGACTCCTGATCAACATAGAGCCTACGCTGTACTTCCAGCATTTAAATATTTGCTCGCTTTGAGCGAACTGTCACATTTTACATGAAAATACATATAACAGGTGTCACACTCGCAAGATTGTAGGTCATCTTTAGTATCAGTGAATGACACTTTTGCATTCCACACTAAGAATCACCACATTTGGCTTCACAATTTGCAACAATTTAATGAACTAATATAGTTAGAGAAGGTTAAAATTGAGTATTCAAACTAATTTAGCAATTTGCACTCACTTCGAATTAGCTTTCAATAGCATTGATCGTCATCACAATACGCATGTCATCAATACATTTGCCAGCAGCCAAATATATTCAATTTCCGATTAGCGCTTTTTCACTCGAAATGGGAATTTTTGATAAATTTTCGACTTGTTTGAAGTATTTTGCGAGATTTGACTACATGTATTGCGGTGACCATCCCTTGCTCTCTTAAGCGGTCCCTGGTGGTAGGGCGAAGTGGTAGAAACTCCCGTATGCCAACGGGAGGATCCTGGTTCAAATCCTGGCGAACGCAAGTTGTTTGATTTTTTGAAGTAGTACTGATGTCCTCGTTTGGTGTTTTGTACTCTATCCATTATCTATATTTTGACGATTTCCGCAAGACTGTTTTGGCTCTAGGTGTCGCACCTTATTAGTAGTAGATTTCTTTCCCAACTTAATTCAAAAATATCTTATTCCCCTTCTTTGCAGACATTGGGTCCACCAACAGTCTTTTCTATCCCTCAGTATGACATTTTAAGGACTTTAAATAAAACCTGGAGCTCGACTCCCCTACAAAAAAAAACAAAAAAAAAAAAAAAAAAAAAAATTGCTCTCTTAAGCTTAAAGGACTGTAAATAAAACATGGAGCTCGACTCCCCTACAAAAAAAAAAAATTGCTCTCTTATGCTTTCTTGAAGTACTTTTCAAGGCGCATCCAATGATGCCATTTATAAGACATGTTTTGAAGGAGCTTATTGAGCAATGCTTGAAAATATGAAACGAGGTTTTTGGCCAAAATGTAGAGATTTTACTTGGTAAGGTTCTAAAAAGAGAGTTTCAGGTGTTGCTTTGGATCGAGAGGAACATTTTGACTTAATATATGCCATAGTAAAAGTCTTCATTTTGGAGGCGAAAAACGCGATCGTTTGGTTTTCGATGAAAATTATGAGGTACCCCCTCATGGTTTTTGGACACTTTTTTGGCCATGTTTTTTTTTGGTCCCAAAAAGTTGAGCAAACGTGTCAGAAAGTAAGCGCTAGACGAGAGCAATTATTTGGCGCTATTCTGAAGATCTAAAGCGGCCTCTTTTATGAGATAACGCGACTCAAATGCGCTCAAATGTCGCTGTGTTTTGCATGTATTCAAGCTTATGTATATAGCTTTTAACATGAAGCAATACACAGGGGCACTGTATATTTATACACATTATCGCCGTTGCAATTATGATTTTAGTACCATCTCAATGATATCGAAATTATGATGGAAGCCTTGCAAGGTATTGCCAAGATTTATATAAATATGACAGCCATCGATGTAATTTCTTTACATCATCCGGTTTGGTATAATTAAGTTTGTATTGGGAAAGAATGCTGGTCGGAAAATCATCTATAGCTCATTAGTGCCCCTGTAAGTAATATTACATTAATGAGGCAACTTATGAACCTGAAACAATCGCATTTCGACTGGCTGTTTGCAAGACATCGAGGAAATCCTTTAGATAAGGCTAGTGGAGTATAGCCAAGAAGACAACGTTTCTCGGGACGCGCCTTATATGGGAAAAATGAATCCCTGTGTATCACCAACAAGTTGAATACACTTTTAATAAAACGCTAAAAAAGCGCCGTATCTCGATTAGCCTCAGTAAAATCTGACGAAACCAAGGCCAGCAATATATAGATCATCTTCAAACGCACCGCCGGGCCTGGAGCCTAGACACATGCATAGAGATAGATGCCTAATGAGAGGTAGCACTGAAACCCTACATCAACCACCATGACGTATATTTCAGACACTCTCGCCAACGTGGATCATGAATGGTAATTTACCCAAAGCAGAACTCAGACCATCAATGTCTGTTTGATTTGAATCATGCCCCCCCCTGATTCCGTTGCCTTTTTTATCCAAGCTACAAAACCCAACATTTCAAGTATGATCCTAGAAGAGCATGCTTGTGTAGTACTTGAGGTCATTGTTTAAGAGCATCCTTTGTTCGATACTGAGGTTCCCCCGCTCTTTCTTGTCGCTGCCCTGGTTCAGGTGCACCCAAGATAACAAGGTAAACCCCGAAATAACGCTAAATTTTTTCTTGTATTCTCAAAACACAAGCTAAAATAAATTTCAAAATCTTGCGAGAGTTTTTCTCTGTTTTCACTTTTCACAAATCTATATTAATTTAAGCCTAATCCAGTGCGGATACTCTTAATTAATACCCTTATATTTTTTTTCCAATTTTTTATCATTTTTTACTAGCTCTCTATCAAATTTAATGCAATAGACATGTACGAAACAAAGGTGCAAGATGAAGCTCATTTGGGGCAAGATGAGGCAAAGCCCACAGATCGAATTGAAGATCCACATTCACGCCATGACAACAATGCCGCAAATGACACCACAGCACCCTCTCAAGATGAGCCATCAACCGCGCAAAACTCACCTGAACCTACACATCAAGCGCAAAGGCCTCTCAATGCAAGAGCCCACCCCTCTTCCATGTCAGTCGTCAGCACAGATGACGATGAATTTCACGATGACCGACTTTTGATCGATGATGGGATCCCGTCTAACGTGCCCTTGGAAGCCCTTGCTGGACCTGCTTTGATCTTGCCATCAAACGACATTGATGGACGTACGCTCAATGAAGAGTTTGACTGGACCGGCAGAGAAGATGATGACGATGACATGGACAAGAAAGATGAAGATGAAGGCAAGAAGAAGAGGGGCGCATTAGCACAAAACAGTGTCATCATCTGTCTAAACGAAAACTCTTCGCATATTGCCTGGACGTGCATCCTCTTGTTTGGCTGCATTCTGATTGCAATCGATGTTGCTATTTTCGTTTCTTATCGAGATCGTGTCAGTGGCACTTCGTATGGCTTGCAGCTGTGGTTTACTTGGCTTTGCTTCATGTGGTGGATCGGCTTTATGTCACAGATCCTTGTAGAGCTGGTTCCTTGGGCCATCAAGAAGGCTGTCGGCTACTTGAGGCCTCAATCTACAGAAGTCCTCCGCATGAGATTATCGGTGAGTCTGCTTTTTGACATGTTGCATATACAATGGCTAAATAATCGAACCGATCTCTAGTACTATATGGCTTTGCGTGTCTACATTAAACTGTTTGCCATCTCAGCATGGGCCTGGGGCTCATGGGCTTTCATCAAGGCACATGTCCAATTGCCGTTGATTAGCTCCACGCCAGAAGAAGGCAACAAATACGAGTCTGAGCCTACCTACGTTGGTGTTTTCTACAGCATCTGGGAATGTTTTTTCTTTGCGACACTATTTCTTTTCATAGAAAAGTTTATTTTACAATTAATTGGTAATACAGGTTTCGGATAGTATCATGCTAATGTTGTACTAACTCTAAAATTTTTATAACGCAGTTACATCCTTTCACAAGTAAGTTATCGAATGTCCGCATTCATTGCTCAATGCTATAAACAATCTAGTTTGCTAATTTACATATTGTTGTACGGCTCATTAGGAAAGCGTATGGAGATCGAATCAAGGAAAACGACAAGGCGCTCCGCATTCTGGACAGACTCAAGAAAATGAAGCGCAAGAACCCGCAAGAATTCCTCATGAAACGCATCCGTCGTAAGAACAAGACTCCCAGTGGCACAAACACAAACACTCCAAGCAGATCACATTCTATGGACGAAAGCACATCCAATGACCATTATTTTAGCGCTAAACACAATCCCCAACAACAGCAGCAGGGCAAGTCCATCATTGCTAATCAGCAGCAGTACACGGATGGCAAATCCACTGTGCGCTTCCCCACTCAGAATATGGACACCTTGATCGCTATTCCTCCCTTAGAAGACAGAGGCAACAGCAGATCGGATGATGAGAAGCACGATTTCACAGAAAAGGAAGAACATGTCGCTGCACCCGATGTCATTAACAAATCTTCTTCTGGCTATGATGACATACCTCCTACTCATCCCAAAAAGAAGGGGTTCATCAACAAGTTCACACACAAGATGAAGAAGAACCACCAAGGCGGCCCTCCCGTCAGTCAACCCGAAACACCTTCCGGCGATGAAGGTGCTGTGTGCCCACCTCCTCCTCACTCATTGTCCAGGGAAAACACATGGTTTTCTCGAAATAGTCAGGATGAAAAGAGTTTCTTTGGTGCAACCCGTGATTTCGGTCTAAGCACTACTGCTATTCCTGGCAAGCTCCTTAAAGGCGGCTACAACAAGTTTGTATCACAGAACAACAATCTCAAAGCTGGTCATCAAGCAGGCAACTCAACCCAACAAGCCAAATATTTAGCCAAGAAAATTTACACAAACATAGTGGGGCCCGATAGTCACCGTGATACTATTGTCGAAGCCGATCTCTATCCATTCTTCAGAACTACCAAGGAAGCTACTTTTGCATTTGGTCTCTTTGACACGGATGGAAATGGCGACATTAGCAAGAGAGAGTTGAGATCCGGATGTATCCGCATCTACCGCGAACGTAAAAACTTGACTCGCTCTATGCGTGATTTATCTCAGGCAACTGGCAAACTGGATATTATCTTGATGATTGTCTTTGTCATCATCTGGGCCATCATTGTTTGTGCTGCCTTTGGTGTGGATGTCGGTACCGATTTGATGCCCCTCTGGAGTGCCTTTGTTGCTGCTAGTTTCGTCTTTGGTACATCGGCCAAGGATGCCTTTGAGGCTATCATTTTTGTGTTTGTTACTGTAAGTTCATTTCATTGATCGTGCTGGCATTCGACTCACTGTTCTGTGACAGCATCCGTTTGATTCCGGCGACAGAGTCTTTATCCAAGGTGAAAACTGGGTAGTTCATAACGTTGGCTTGCTGGTCACCACTTTCCTGTAAGTGCCCATATGGTCTATTAGAGATGTCAACTAACCTTTTATCTTGCAGGAAATGGGATGGTTCAATTGTCTATGCCAAAAATTCAGTCCTCACCACACAGTACATTATCAATGTCAGACGATCCGGCCGCACTGGAGAAACAGTTGGTAATGACATATAGTATTTCGGCTCATTGTAAATATGTATTAACAGCAACGCAACTGGTAGAACTTCAAATAAGCTTCGCAACACCATCTTGGAAGATCAGAAAAATCACTGACCACATGATTGAATGGTGCAACAAATACCCAAAACTATATTCAACAAATTCGGCCTCTACAAACATCACTGGTTTCCAGAATCAAAATGTCATCAACCTCTCCTTCTACTTTGAACACACTCAAAACTGGCAAGACGCTGGTGGTCGCTGGCTTCGTCACAACAACTTTATGATGGAGCTCAAGGAAGAGTGCGAGCGTCTCGAAATTACCTACACTTTGCCTCCTCAACCTTTTGTCGAGGGTAACAGACAGAACGATGCTTCTCCAGAGGCCTATAATATGGGCGATAAAGCTGGCTATGGCCTTGACGGTATGCAAAGAAGAAGACCCTGGAATGACGACGATGACGATGGCTACAAGAACGCGCCTATTGGCAGTGAATCCAATGCACATTCTGGTAATAATGATAGTTCTAATGACTCTGGCGCCACTGCAGGAGCTGCCTCTGCTATGATGTTTGCTGCTAGTATGTAATTTTGTAAATTTAATGTTAAATAAAAAAAGAGATTTTGATTTTACTTGTGGTTCCTGAAGGTGTTGTTGCGTTATCAGACAGGCTAATGTTACAATTGAAGCAATTGCATTCTGCTTCATACACCTTTGCTTGTGTCCATTCAACCTCAATTACTGCTTTATCAATGCTGAATACACTGTATTACTCTTCTTTGAAATATGGAGTTCAAATAATAACCATGTCAGATACAAATTAGAACTCTGGCTGTATGATGTTCACACCCGAATTAGCAAATGTAATGCGCTTTCAATCCTGATTCGCACTGGTTTCTCCACTCACAGACAGCTTCAGAGTAGTATCTACACTCAAATTATTAGTGTAGCACTCGGCGATCCTTTATTGTTTCGCTTGTATGATACTCGATTCATACGAACCTCCTGAATCATTACGATTCTGACTGCTTCTGTTGTTTCGTATACTAGAGCATGAGTAGTAAGAGTTTTCTTCTGTAACAGCATAGATCGTTCTTTTTTCCTTTTTGCTCTCCTTGTCCTAATCAGCAAAAAAAATGAATACTGCTAGTACCGTAGCCACTAACGCATTTGAGGCATACAACAGCACTGATCGTACTATGCAACGGCAAGCGCAAACGCACTACCAACAGCAGCAGCACCCTTTTTTAAATCAAGAGCAACTGTACGGTTCTAACCGTCAATCAGGTGCGATGTGGGAAAGACAGCATCAGGGGTCATACAACATTTCTTCTAGCAATGACTGCACGCCCATGTCTCAGTATATGCGTGATAAATACCACTCACTCTCGACTAGCACATCTGCCCAAAATTACACTCGAAACATCAACACTGAAGATGAGCCTCCATTGTCTGTAGGCAGTGCAGCAGAATTCTCTAAAATGACAGCAAACAACAAATATGGGAATAATTCTTCTCTTGAAGATAATGGCTATCTGAATTTGATGAACGAAAAGTCTAGTAACACAACGATTTACGCAGAGGACGAGTGTCAAGACCAACATGAGCGAAACAAGGACACGGATCAAGACGATACGCATGGAGAGGAGAGGTAATTTGGGCTATATTATCCTTAAACCACATTTAAATAATGACAAAACTGCTCTTCAGATTGACATGTCCCAAAGAAAATGTTGTAGAGAGGAAGAGATACAGAAGAGAATCACATAATGCAGGTTTGTACTAATAATAGGTCCATTGGTTCGTACTAAATGACATCGCAGTCGAGAGAAGAAGACGAAACAACATCAATGATAACATCAGGAGCCTAGGCTTGCTCTTGCCCGAATATATGTGTCAAGGTAAACTGAATAAAGGTACTATATTACAAGGCTCAGTGATGTATGTACACATGCTGAACGACCAGCTGTCCAAGTACAAGGCAAGACTGGAGGATCTCAAATATGAAGCAGCTGCCCTGAATCCTTCGCTGTTGCATTCAGCCACCTCAGCAAAGTACAGCCATCCGGCTCAGAACCAGCAAATGTAATATCGCGCTCTCTGAGAAGATATGTCGCAATGAAGCTATGCGCATAACGTTAGAAATGAACAACAAATGGAATTAAAATTCATCAACACGCATTCCCGTTCATTTCTTTTCATTTCTAATAAATTTTTTAATGCGACGTACCAATCGAAGATATTCTTCTTACTATGTCTATGGATGCATATGTTATTTCTAAATGCTGCAGTGGTAGAGCAAGTGAGTTCCCAGGCAACACAGGGCGATGCAGCTTCATTATGGTCTGCTATAAGGCAGAAATTGAGACACGAAATTCAAAGGGAGCCAGTTGAATCAAATCATAAAGGACCGATACAGAGCAAACCAGATCAAAAGGAGCAGTATATGCTAGAGAGAGTGTCGAGCCAAATGGCACCTATCGATAAGCCATTAACATATCTCCATCCAAAAGTGAACGAGAGATGGGTGATCAAGGAACAAGGGTAGGCAACAGAGCGACAAAAGGGAGAACGTGCACTTATTGAGCACTTACAGATCTATTATTTGGGCAGTGTCAGATATTCTTCAGTCAAAAGCAGATACTATCTACATGGTAATGTGATGGTTTATTTCTCAGTGATGGCTATATACTTTATTCATTCTCTCAATAGAACTGTAACTTGTACCAAGGCAACAACATGCTTTTATCAGTTTTTAAAGGTGTTCCGTTGGCTGTTGGTACAGAAAGGTAGGCCCATAATACCGGAAGAGTATATGCATATTTACACGATTTTATCAGCTGGACACCACCTGTATTTCTCGAACCAGCACCTAATTATCGCTTTAGATTGTGGAGTCAACCATCAGAGGCAGGCATCATCGATGAATACAGCGTCGAGTTTTCCATGGTTCCTCGCCCAGAAGATGCCTATATGTTTTCGTACAACAAATCAATTGTGATGGACATTTCAAATTCTACCCTACCACCAGATACAAGAGTTCGAATTGGACAGTATGCCTTGCCTCCAGTGAATGAGACGGAACATTCAGACATCATGTTGGACGTAAGCGAAACTCCAGCTGCCTCCTTCTCAGACCCAAATATACCAACAGGAATATATGCATTGTATCCTTCAGACTCGTGGCAGGTATTGCTCGAACCGCATCTGTTTGTGCTGGTTGCCATTACAGCTTATATAGTGGCAATTGGGTGGTAGTATTTTTGATTTGTGTTCTCTATTGATCTTGATGCAGGATTTACATAAATGTGCTTCAGAAACAATTATCATGTCGCTTGGAGAATGCCCTGAATAAAGTCATTTTCTATAACAATTGCCCTCCTTACGACTGTCATTCGTAGTGCAAAGCATACATGTCTCACAAATCATAGTATTCGCGCTTGATTTGTGGCCGAGCTTGGTCGACTGACATTCATCTGCATATTCCACAAGGGCAATAGTTATTCGCTCAGTGGGTGCACTGGTTCGATTATGACATGCTTCTCTGCTTGAAGCTCACCAAATGATAAAAATAGACAACAAAAATGACGTGATGAAGGGATCTAGGGTAAGGAACCACATAAAATACGCCTTTCACGCTGAAAAAACGACAATAAAGAGCAGATTACATGATATACCATGCCACGGGGATCATTGCAATAGCGAGAATGAGGTTTACGACGCATTTGCACCTATCAAGGCTGCTCAATGCTGATAGCAATATTGTTAACATGCGAAACTCCATGGACAAAAACGCAAAAGTGTGACGTATTGGAGTGTACATTTAGTCTCAGGAAAACAAACAAAATCAGAATAGATCAATAGAGCAACATGCTATGATCCCTTGACTGAATCGACATCTTGCTCTTTTTTTTTTTTTTTTTTTTGTTTATATATTCTTCAATTTGTTTTACATTTGCAGCCCCTTTCTTTTTCAAATCAAACGTTATTTCACTAGCCAAATACTCTCTGCATATTCTAGCAAAGCACGATACCTCACATGTGGAAACAAAAATCCTGCAACTTCCTAATTACTGCTTTGAGTTTGTATGAATAACCGCACTTTTTTTTTATTAAGATTATATATAGTTTGATTTACAGGAAAAAAGAAGAAGCAAAAAGAATGGGGTGGAGAAGAATGCCAATAAATATTAAGAAGGTAAGGTAATTTTTTTAGATTGAGGAAATGTTGGTATATGTACAAAAAGTGAAAAAAGTAAATGAAATTAGCTGTTTAGATGTGGAATAGTTGGCTCATAAGAGGATCCATCAAGTGGTCGTCCTCAGTCTTGATATAATCACATTGCTCAAAATCGACACCGGCAGAGGGTAACTGAACGGGTCCAGCATACAACTCAAACATGGCAGTATCCTTGAAGAGTGTTTCATCCAATTGCTCGGTCTTGACATAAGGAGAAGCAACCAAATCAGAGCCACTGCTGCTGCTGCTGCTGATACTATGACGGCAAGAGTCATGACTAGGTTCAACAAACAGAGGGTGCTGTGAGCTACCAAAGAGCAAGTCATCTGACGTAGTGGGGATGGACAACATAAGTTCATTGATGGAAGCATTGGGAGATAGGAGCATGGAGGAGTCAGATGTAGAAGGTGAGTTGCAAGAGTCAACCTTGGTGGTGTCCAAAAAGAGGGAAGAATGTGTAGTAGTAGCATCTGCAGGAGGAGAGAAACAATCATGGAAATCAAGAGAATCAGTAGTACCACTGTAAAGGGACTCATCATCATCCACCTTGTCACCAGATCCACGACCACCACGACGGACAATCTTGGGATTAGCCAATTCATGCTGTTGAGCAGCGAGGGCAGCGACAGTCAAAGGAGTTGAGGAAGCAACAGTTTCATCTTTGGCAGTAAGCATATCTGTATCAATAGAAAGACGGTTGGGAGGATTGGGCATGCGAAGAGAGTTCTTGCGAGGATTCAGTTCTGGTAGGAATTTAGTACGGTATACATCAAGCACGCGTTGAAGTAAGTTTTTGCGATTAGCAAGCTGCTTAGGGTTCAGCCATGCTAATTTCCATCCTAATTCGTTGCATTTAGCTTCTTCGATTTGACGTTGAGAAGCAAAAGGTGAGGATGTATTGATTTCCATGGCACGAGGGTAGACGCAGTTGGCCTTGCGGAATTGCATATCGATAGTATCAAGAGAAACGGTCTCAACGTTGATGCGGATACGATGCTTTGCACCACCAACACCATCATCGATGCTGACAGTCTTGGGAAGGTCAGCATTGACAGAAGTAGACCCAGGAACACCATCAGCAGGAATAGCGGAGATTGAATCGATGGATTTGACAGACTTGACAGGTCTCTCTTCGTCTTCACCTAGCTCTTCAGATTCACGTTGCTTACGCTTACGGAGAGTGCCCTTCAGCAGCTTTTCTTGACGAGCAACACGGCGGGAGCGCATGCTAGGATAACGATTACGATAGGAATCAACAGCACGTTGGATTAAGCCACGCTTGCCAGCGATTTCGGAGGAATTGAGATGAGCGAGTTTCCAGCCCAAGGTATTACATTCAGTTTCATAAGCCCAGCGGTTGCCTTTATATTCTTCGCGAGGAAGATTAGCACGAGGATAAACCTAAAGAGAAGACCGGCAAAGGTTAGAAATGACTCAATACAAAAAGGTAAATAGGCAACCCCGCAAAAAAGCTGAACTTGTATACGGAGATGGGATATAGGATGACAGACATTTGGTTTTATCATGCTGACCCCTTGCCTACATTGCTAAAAACGAAAAATCTGAAACTTACGCAGTTTTCGCTCTTAAATTTATCATCCAAAATATCAAGATCGACTTGATCTACATCAGTACGAATGGAGTAACGACGCAAGACGCGATGATGAGAGTAGACAAAGCTGACCCATTCAACACCATCGCGGATTTCAGTGCGAGGTTCATGGTTGGGGACTACTGAGCCAGCAGCAGCAGCGGTAGATGAAGAGGCGGGATTGGCGGGAGTATTTGCAGGAGAAGAGGTAGGTGTGTTGTTGGTATTTGAAGGGGATTTTGTGGATGCTGTGGATGTAGATACAGTAGAAGTGGCAGGTGATTTGACGGAAGCTGTTCCGGTAGCAAGTGGAGAGGATACAAGTGGCTTAGCGTTGTTCGATGCAGATTTTGCGTTATTGTTGTTGCTATTGTTGGATGTCGATGTATTAGCAGCAGTTGTGATGCTGTCAGCCAAAGCCTTAGCAATCTGAGCAGCGACTAGAGCCCAATCGTGATGTAGAACAGAGGGATTTGCTGTTTGTGTTATTGGGCTTTGGTTAGATGTGGTAGCTACGGAGACAAAATGTGGAAATCAATTAGATAAATATTTTGACATCTTGACAGATTTCAAGCAAATTACCCTTTTGTGATGATTGCTTCTTGTTTTTGATTTTGGATAGTGTCTTTTCGATTTCTTCGAGCTGAGATGATGTGAGAGCTTCCAGTAATGATTCTGATTTCTCTGTGGGATGGAGTAAATCATTGACACATAATTGCAGATGTGGATTGGCCGTCATTATGAATATTTGATTCAAACTTTGTAATGTAGGAAACGCGTAGTATGCTTAATATATTTATGTAGAAGAAAGTTTTTAGGAAGGAAAGGCGAAGCTATTAGGATAATCTTGTTGTTTATAAAGGTTTCTATTAGAATATAGGAGATGGAAAAATTTTCTCCTAATTGAACTGCCGAGTGAAAATGGAAAGGATTCTTCCAACTGGAGAAGCTGATTAAAACCCCAGATGACGATGAGTCTTTCTATCAAACCATGCTACGAATGCTGCTGTTTTAAAAAAAAAAAAAAGTGATTTTGGTGATCCCCCAAGTTTCAAATATCTTGATTTTGGCATGCGTCTTTTTTCTTTTAACCAACATGAACCGCTTCATTTCTTCATAATTAAGAGAGTGGTTACACTAATGGAGACTACTTTGATTTCATTTTGCCTTCTATTGGACACCTTATTTCTAACAAGATGGCAGATATTTTAAGTCAATTTGCTTATGATAGGGTAACCGGAGTCAGGATCGCTTCGAGTTGCAATGCCTACTGAATTAGTGTCAAATGTTTCAAAGGAACTTTTCCACATTTGTTGATTCTTTCAGTGATGTTTTATGTTTGTAGCTTACGTATCTGAATCTCTACCAATTGCACATCATTAATATGAAATAAAAAAAGTACACTAATTTCGTTTTGTTAGAATCGGCAAATCAACAAGCATTTGTATCACCAAGAGTTCATGGTTGTCTGGTTTCACAAACGATAAACAGTGCCTGCCTATATGTTACCTAACAGATGAATCAGTTTAGGATAAAAGTTTAGGTTCATAGCATATGTTTTGACTCATTTTACATTTGTTGCGAAACATACGAGATGCATCTTCGATCATCTCAAAATCGCTATTGATGAAAACGAGCTATTTTTGCATGACTCTAGCAACTTTAATTTAGAATACCCTTATGATAAACATTTATCTTCGGAATGCCAATGTCCTAAACTGTTCTAGCCCAATTTCTTGCCATGGAATCATTTTATCTTGCACGCAATGTTTCTGCTTTGACTATGTCTATGCACTTGGAATGTTACACATTTGTAAATCTTGATTTCATGAGCCTATTTTAATCAAATGGTATCGTAAAGCAAAGTTGCAGTAGTTCAAAATGGAAGAAAAAATGACGATTGCCCATTTCTTTGGTGTTCTTTACGGGAGCAACATTCAACATTGAAATGGATTTTGTCCAATTACATGCATTTGCTGCCAACGTATATCCTGTTTTTTTTTTTCAGAGAAAACTCTAATTGAAACGGCTAATAAACATTAAAAAAATTCTTTTTGAGAAAAATAGTATCAGGATAAACGCAAGGATGGTTCGAAGAATATTGTAGCACTAGTAAAACACAACAGAAATCCTGATATCAGGTACATAAATTACAATCAAAAATCTCATGTCAAATCAGGCGGATCAAGGACACTTGGCGGAACATCTACAACAAGAAGCTTCCAGCATATACAAATTGTATACTGAAACAGAATGCTTTCTACAAAAGAGTATGATTTATCTGGAAGAGAATGATTTGGGTCGTACAAATGTAACCCGCTCCTCGGATTTCAGGTTTTGAAACCACACGGCCAATGATACATTAACTCCAATTAAACGCGAGAAGGGAAGGAAGGTGGAGGAGTCAATGGAGGAAAAGGAAGATAGCTACAGATAGAGGAGGAAAGATGGAAAGGATAGGAGAAGGAAGGACTGGAAGGAAGGTAGGAGGAACAATATGCGGAAAGCTGGGTAAGCGTTGAGCAGGCTCAACATCTCTAGCAAAATACTTGACGGTTAGTTTAGATATTTGGTGTAGTAAGCCAAATACTTAAACGACAGCAGGAGTGGCTATCTTGCATTGATCCCAAGCCGAAGCGGAAGAAGAACGGCGATCCAAAGTTTAATCTACAACAGCATCGTTGTCCTGACTCTTGGCCGGAGCTGCTACTTTTGCACGATTGCTACCAAGATGACAACTCAGAGCAAAGTTACTAATTTGAAGGGCTTCTGCATTTTGATGGTAGAGGTTATTATGCGCTACCTTGAAACATATGGTCAATTTCTTCTAATTTATACTGAATGTCAAAGTTGAAAACCAACTTTTATAAACATAAATTTAACCGTATGACAAAACTTGGTTCATCCTTATTAAAGAGGCAATGCTTTTGCACTGGAGAAACCACGGGATATTTGCCATTCACCCAATATTGTCGCTTTGCCTGATTCCCAATTATTGAATCACTTGAGTAACCACCATAATAAATCACAAGCTATGACAGGCTTCTGTGATCCTGAAATAGATACGCAGAATGCCCCTTTGTTACGTATATATTGCTTAGTTGATTCCATGACAAAATCATACGCGAATGCAGTTAGGACGAAACAAAAATTTCGCTCTCCAGAGGGGAGAATTCGGGACAAACATCTTTTCAACGTGTAAAATCTTCAGCATAATTTCATGAAAAAAAAAGAGGAAAATGCATCTGGTTACAGTTTTTGGATTCATTTGTATAGCATTCTAAGCAATTCTCATCTGGTATCAAGCAAATATCAAATGATGGCAAGTAATGAGTGATATTCTTACATTTGAAATCGAAAGACAGCTGTAGATTATCATATCATTATAGCATTGAGGAAGGTTATATAAATATGTGGTTCGTATTGCAGCAAAGTACAACCAAGATTGACATGTCATTGGAAAATTCCATATTTTGAGACACGGGTATATTTTTTTTTAATGAGACCTTGATTTTCAATGAACCCCTATTATTAGATACTAATTTATATGATAAAAACTGATGCAATAAATAATGATACATTCATATTAAACAATCAGCATGAATACTAGTATCAGTGCATGCGTTCGTGTTCACAATGGCAACTGTCAAAATGTCAAAGCGCTCGTGACTCGTAGTGCCAAGTGACAGACTATTCTGAGAAGCAGGAAATGCACCAAAAAAAATTTGTACATGAGCATGTCTTTCACCATTGCGCGAGATGAACATCAATTTGTACAGAAGAAGAAGATTGCGATCCACGCAGCCTATCCTGACTAGAGTTCAAATCAAAGATCTCGGCCGGATCATCGGTCACACGTCATTTAGGCAATCTGTTGAGTTTCTCATGGTATGAAGCACATCTGACACATTCAAATAAGCATTGATATGTAAGAAAAGATGACATAGGATCCATACAACTACTTCAAATTAAGCAAAGTGAAGATGGCCGAAATCCATAATTATCTGCTGGAAAAAGGAATCACCATTGAGAAATGCCCCAATTCTCACATAAGACAAAACGATCATTCCAGAGTGTTGATCTCTATCTTGTTCCCTGGATACCCAATCATGAAAGCGAGCGAGCACCATTACCAAGATTTGAGAGAAAAGTAAGAAAGCACCTTATGTGATATCGATCCAGTTCTCACTGTTGTGTGTCATTCTAGTCGTTCGCCACAAGCCAGAATCATTGATCTGGCTTACGATCAATTACCAACGTCAGATAAATACGAGAGACTAGATGAATTATTCAGATCCGATGTTGATTGGTTCAAATCACCTTGCAAAGACGGTTGCTATTCGCTCCATATACCATTAAAAAAGTTAAATAGATCGATTGTTGTGGAAGGACATGCTTCATCCAAAATCAATGTTCGCCTGTTTTTATATTTATGGACATCAGAGCGAATGGCATGGACACCTACTACAGATATAAAACTATGTATTGACAGCAAGGAAGGAGATTGCTTGTCCGATTATGATAGAGTGAGTTGTGTATTCTGAAATAGCACCAATCCTATTAACAACTTCAATCAAGAAAATCTATGGTTACGGCTTCAAGCACACGGACATTACTGATAAGTCAAACGCAATTCAGAAAGCAAACAGACGGAGCACAAGCACGCTGTCATTCACTTTCAAATTTAACGATAAACAACCCAGCATTCGCCATGTATCTGTATGCGCTGTTATGGAAAAGTCAACAGATGAGCTGGCGAGTCAACTTTACTTGCAAACCGCGTCTCTCTATATTGGACGAGCCATGGAAAAATCCAATAGAAATATACCAGTTGCTCAACAAGTTCAGCAGACAGCAGTTAAAATATTAAACCAGTATGATTTGAACGACAAATTACAGTTAGAAAAGACCGAAACTCTATTCTTGTCTTGTGCAAAGGCCTTTATTACAGAATGGAATGGTAAATATACAAACTAGGATTGTCAAATAGACATTGATAAAAAAAACTTTCGAACGGTGCAGAGCACGAAGATGAAAAGCAGGATGATCAAGACGTGGAAATTTTCACAGGCGATGAAGTTGTATCTGTGTTAGATCCAATCAGTTTAGCGAGAATCCAACATCCTGCTCGATGTATATTTTGCACTCATAAGACCACGTTTGATGCGGTGACATTTTTCAAGTTTCAAGTAACTTCCATGGTCTGGAATTGCCCTATTTGCTCTGTTAGAATTCGCGGTATTCAAGTAGGTTTCAATCCCTTAAAATCGATCACAAAACTAATGAAAATCACCTGCAGGACATGTACATTGATTATCAGACAAAGGAGGCATTGCGTGAATACCCTGAAGAAGAAAAGTTTCTAAGAGGAAGCAATGATAAATATAGTGTGATTCCCAATTTAAGCGAAAATAAGATTGCTGCTTCGATTGCCGAGAAACGACCCTTGGAAGATTATCAAGTCATTTCTATTGACGATGATGAAGCTGATAAAAGCACAAAAAAGGCCAGAAATGCCTAATAAAAACTGGGCTCATACTCGAAGCATCCAATGCCATTTTGAGTAGGGTAACAATATTGCATTCACAGAAGAATTCGCATTTAGACGATCAAAAATGACCAAATGAAGCAAAAGTACAGTAGATATGCTACTAGCCGATCTATCTCGCTACGCTCGATGTCGGCATCGCCCTGCGGGCTCTCGCCAAAGACATTTTAAACAGATATAATAAAATTTTGGTATATCAAGTAGATTTTAAACAGTTTATTATTAGTAAAAAAAAAAAAAAAAGGGTTATATTAGAGCCACCAGGAGGAGGAGAGGAGGTATCTCTCTCAGCACCCTTTTTGCTTACACTAACATCAAACGAAGCCTATTATTATTGGGACAATGTGAAAGAAAATTCAAACTTTATTATGCAGCATTTGTACATCACAACCACCATTTTCTGATAATAGAATTGTCATATCATTCGCAGCTGCTGATGCTTTTAATGAGATGACGATATAAAGCTGGTCGTAAGTGAATACAGGACTTGTGTAAGATCTACAGCGACTTTTTTGAGATATTGTCATTGCAAAAGACACCTTTATGAGTTAAAACTCCCCAAAAAAGTATTTGGGCTATTCAATTGTCCTTTCAATTCCATGATCCCCATTTAATCAGCATCGCAATCATCATTGTCATCATCAGAAAGGCATTTGGGTCAGCCAGCAGCAAGCCTCCGCCAAAATTATTTCAATCTCAGTTTTTTTTTGTTTTTTTTTTTTTTTTTGTTTAAGATTGGACAGATATTGTCTTTTTTCGACTTCTTTAATCTATTTTTTGACGTTCGACTATATAAATTGTGATGATCACCCTACGCTTCCTAATACATTCTTGAAGTACTTTTTAAGGCGCTTCCAATGGTTCTAATTGTAATAAATGTTCTGACTGAAATTATTGAGCAATTTGGTAAAGTACGGAATGAGGTTTTTAGCAAAAATAGCCATATTTTGCATATGAACACCTCATAAAAGTGGTTTCAGAGGTTGCTTTGGATCGAGAGAAACATCTTGATTCAATATCATAACATAATAAATGTTCAGTACTTTTGCACTTTACAATCCTAATATGGAACCTGAGTTTCAAGGCATCTATCAGACCTGGCTCATATGAGAATAATGATTTTACAATCAATCAACAAAAACCACTGTAATTTCTACCCTCTTTCCTCTGCTCAGTGCTGTCAATGTTTTATTTGAGCGACGTCTCAGAGCCTCAGAGATTTCATTACTTACTGCAGACATTTTATGCAACCCATGCATTGTCAATGTCCAGACTAACGTTATTAAATATAGAATGCAATAAAATATCATTATGAACGATATAGAAGGCAATAAAATATCATCATAAACGATAGTGCTATGACCTGCCACCTACTTTCTATACGCTTCAAGGGCATTTACTACTGTATTGCCTTATGAAAAGGGCATGAGTTTTCCAGCTGGCCCTACCAGCCAAAATTAATTCAAACCCAGAATCATAGTCTGTTCCAGATTGGACATATTTTGATAATTTTGGACTCGATCGAGCTATTTTTGCAGATTCGACTAAGTGAAGTATGATAATCACCCCATGCTTCCTTAAGCTTTCCTGGAGTACTTTTCAAGGCGCTTCCAATGGTACTAAGTAAAATAGATGTTTTGAATTCACTTATTGAATGATTTGTAAAAATATGAAAAGAGATTTATGGCCAAAATGTCGAAATTTTACATATCAAAGTCCCACAAAGATAATTTCAGAGGTTGCTTTGGATTGATAGAAACATTTTGATTCAAGATATACCATAGTAAAAGTCTCCATTATCAAGATGAAAAATGCGGTCGTTTGATTTTCGATGAAAACCATGAGGGATACCTCATGCTTTTTGGTCGATTTTTGACCATGTTTTTTTGGTCCCCAAAAAGTCGAGCAAAAGTGTCAGAAAGTAACTGCCATATGAAAGCAACCATTTGGGGCTATTCTGACGATCTAAAACGGCCTTGAACGCAAGAAAATGCAGCTCAAATGCACTCATATTTTGCTGTATTAGGGACACTAAGGACTAAAAAGTGGGAATACCAGTATGCTGCTTGCCCGTATATGAAGTAGCTACGTGTATATGGATGTAGAACATCACATAAGAATCAGATCCACAGATAATATGAAGGGTTACTATGTGTAAGTGGAGGGTCAAAATGAAAGTAGCAGTATTTTGATAAAATACGCAAGAGCAATCAGTAGCACGAGCTGCCGCTGCGCAGGTTGGTTCTCTACCTTTGCTACGCTTCGGTGAGAACCATCCGAAGCATAAACACTCATACGATTAGTGATTATATATCAATCAACAATCAGGGTTCCTCTTCTAACATTTTAGCTATATTAATTTTGGGATATTAGCCAAAGGCCCGCGGCAGCGCGAGCCGTTTGAACGTAGGTTGGTTTCCACCGAAGCGAAGCGTAGGTCAGGAAACCACCCGAAGTGCTGAAAGGCTCGTATACCATAGTAAAAGTCTTCATTTTGGAGGCGAAAAACGCGATCGTTTGGTATTCGATGAAAATTATGAGGTACTCCTCATGGTTTTTGGTCAATTTTTGGCCATGTTTTTTTTTGGTCCCAAAAAGTTGAGCAAACGTGTCAGAAAGTAAGTGCTAGACGAGAGCAATTATTTGGTGCTATTCTGAAGGTCTAAAGCGGCCTCTTTCATGAGATAACGCGACTCAAATGCACCAAAATTTCAGTCTGTTCTGCATACATTTGAATGATAAGAGGTAATGCAAGGATGCTGTCTGTCCAAATATGAGTTTCTCTCATTGATACAGACGTAAAGCATTACAGAAGACTCAGATCCCCAGTTACAGGTTGATCTCAACTGGTATTACGCTGCGAGAAGCCTTGCAAGAAGATTACTTGCACATTGAGCATCTCGACAATTAACGAGATTGCATGGAGGTTTTTGAGACAAAATAACTGATAGCTATTCTGCACAAACTGATGCAATATCTCCGTCAAATTTAATATACACCAACGAGCAAATTCATTGTTAGATTCAACGATTCCTGTTTTACTACAGACTTTTATAATGGTGGTTGCTCACGATGTTTATTGAGGGGCCATTATTGTAATGTCCAGTCCGTTAATAATATGCAGCTTGCAAATCCATTAACTCACAAAACTGTAATATGTATAAAGCATCCCTTGCATGCAAGTCAAAGAAATTTTAAGAGTTACAGTCATGATACCATTTCCTAATTCAGGTTTATTATTTTGAATACTGTCAAGCGATGTCTCTTTCTAATAGGTATAGTTATTTACAAAAATGCACCGACCAACACTTCTCCAACACATAATAAAATTCACATGTTTATCAATAAGGCACTCTCGTGTAACTGCAACACGGTATAGTATCACACAAAAATTTTCAATAGAGTCGGGAATTCTTAATCAGAAAAAAGAAAACAATGAGCAAGATGCTCACATTGACCGCCTGTTTCGCCCTTGCGGATTCTATCAAACTGCTTTCCGAGGACTATTAGTGATTTGCATTCAAATGAGTCTATGAACGGCAGGCTCGTGGTATGGCCATGCGTAATTTCAGGCACATTTAGACCAGCTATTGCGATATTATCCATTCAGCAGTTACACGAAACTCAAGGTAAAACTATCTTCAAGTTATTCTTCTTTCAAATCTGTATGCTGCGTTGTATGGGAATGAAATTTTTAGATGAATTATTGATATGAATGCGTAATGTTTATACATGTGCTGATAAGGTAGCTGATTGGCTTTATAAATAGTGCTGAGAGCAAGTAGTTTATGGCCTGCATGTTGCTCAAAAATGATGATATAATAGATGGTTATATCATCCGGGGTAACGTGGTGTCGTATTTAAGTATTTTAGATTAAGCTGATGGCAGAGCGAGTGAGTGAGAGTAGTAGGAAGGCTGAAGTAAAGGCTATTTTAGATGGATTTAATCTCGCCATCATTGGCTGGAGAAAATATTTGCGGGATCTAGTAAATGTTATGAGGGGTAAGGATCCCCTTTCTTCGTTCCGGCTTTCTCCACTTTCTCTAACTTTTTTGTTGTTTATCCTTGCTCAAAGATGAAGTTATTCAAGTCAACTCATGAATACAACTATGAATGGAGCTTAGTGTCTGCAGCTCAATGGCAGAAATACCCAAATCCCAATTGCCCTCATGTATCCCATGTAGATGTACTCAACCGTACTGTTGATCCTGAAACTGGCATCTTGACCACCGAAAGATTAATCACTGTTAATCAAAATATACCCACCATCATCAAAAAGATCTTAGGATCCAGCTCTACACAATACGTTAGAGAAATCTCCATCATTGACCCCAAAAAGAAGACATTGACCATGCGCTCCATCAACTTGACATTATGTAACCTGTTGAGCTGTGAAGAGACCATCGTTTACAAAGAACATCCTGAAGATCAACAAAAGTAAGTCTTGATTTCTGAGCATAGGGAGACACAATTACTCATTTTATATCATAGAACCCAATTTACTCAACAAGCAGCTATCAAGGCTGGTAGTTTAGTCAGTGGTTGGTCCAGCGTTTTGGAAGAGTTCTCTCTGCGTAGATTTCAACAAAATGCTGATGTTGGGCGTGCTGGTTTCAACAAGGTCTTGGAGCGTTTTGTTGTGATGGCAGAAGCACAACAAACAAAAACAGCAGCTTAAATTTTAGAAGATCACCCATCACTCCATTACCATTATTTATCATTCCATACAAGCATGCCTTCCTCTCCTCCTCTTCCTCAACAAAACGAAATTTACTGATGCTGTTTACACTTATTTATTACTACAAAAAAAGCTCATTCCTAGATGTATTTATTGAATAAAAATTTTCCATTTCAAAAACCAGAGAAAAAAAAAAAAAAAAAAAAAAAAAAAGAAGATTGCGGCTTGACTAGAAAATTCAGGGGTGAGATGCAATTATTAAACAAACATCAAGTACCGTATTGTGCTTGATATTTGTATTTGTATTATTATGGACAAGTGTAGCAGCGCATTTTTCATAGGCCATATTATCGTTATAATCGACACAGCGTATCATGGGCCCTTGTGATTGCAAGGCATCGCAGCAGCCAAATCAACGGATCGATGTTGACAAAATGAATCGCACAACTAAAAGAACAATGAGCATCTCAACCCCGTAGCTATTGCCATGATTTCATTATAAATTTGGCAGTGTCATAGTCTTATAATGGACCCCACATTCAGACATCTACGTCCACACGCATACGCACAGAATCACGCTGACAACATAAACGTATCAAATCAATTGACCAATCCTGAATTACAAGCTGACACATTTTTATTCATTATTTTCACACTCATTTCTCTTGGGTTTTCTTGATACTTTCTCTTTCGCATTTACCGCTATGGAATACCTGAATTTATACGAAGATTTTCTCTTGAAGAATGCCTCTCAAATCACCAGCATCGAATCATCCCTGAGATCCCTTACATACATTTTGCCTGGTATATATTTTCTATATCAGAATTGTGGCATTTGAATTAAAAATACCATCTATTTTTCCACAGGTAGATTCCATGATGCTGAATTAGCTTCTCAAGCACGTAAAGTAGATGTCAACATAGATCTACCTACTCGCATACTAAAAATTGCTGTTGGAATGTAGTGTATGCTGCTCTAAATCTCATAGGCTTGTATCACAACTCGATCTTGAGACGAGCCGCTCAAGCACACGCTGAAGAGAACAAGACTGGCCCTGTTGAAGAATCGACATTTAACAAATATCTCAAATTTTGGTCCTCCAAGTCAAAGCTGAATGCTACAGCTTCAACTGCGTTATCTGTGATTTCTTATACCCAAGTTTTGATGGAAATGGCAGTGCTTAAGAAGCTGGGCAAAAAGAAGCAATGGCAATTAATCGCTTCTTTGGAAGCCATCAAGTAAGTACTGCTCTAAGCGTCTGATGTTATGATGGCTTATCGTACACGTTGTAGAGTGATGTTGAGACTGACATTGTTCCAAACAACTGGACAACGCATGACACTCTATCCAACTCACTTACAAAGAGATGTCGATCCAGCAACCCTCGTTTCAGCTGGTTTGACTAGCAACATATCCAGCAAAGATGATGGATGGGTTGGACAAAGAACAGGTGTTACAGTGCCTTCTTTATCAAGCTCAATTGATCTTAATAATGGACTTAGAAACAAGAATGCACACACCGACGTAACAGAATATCTACTATCCAAGGTATTGACGCCCGAGAAATTGCGTAAACCCGAGCAGATGGTTCAAGTCCAAAAGAACATTTCAAAATTGGGCGAATTACTCTATATTTTAAGACCTCTGGTCTATGGTAAGAAGGATGTCATGTGAGGTCTTTTCGTTGAATTGACACTCTGTGTAGTATTGTCAATTTTGCGTTGGGGCAAAAAGTCATGGAGACCATGGTTTATTTCATTTTTGGTGGAGCTTGTCTCTCAGATTGCAGTTAGAAAGGGCTACGAATCAGCAAATAAGGGCCGCAACCACATGATGACATTGGAGAAGCAGGAATTCAACAGAAGATTAAAAGCAATGGTTCTGAATGTGATGAGAGGTGCATTTTACCTCAAGATCACTCGTCCACGCTTGGAGAGATTCTGCAATCATACCGAATCAAAGCCCATTATATCCATGGCAGCAGGTAAGGATAAATGTCACTTGCGAGGGTGTTTCTTTACTAAAAAAAGCGTTAAAAGGTGTTCTTCGCGATTACTTGCCTCTCTGGGAACAGATTTACTTTTACACTTCAGCTTCCTAGTAGCATCAATAATAAAGAGGCAGTTGGTTCTTCAACAAAAGAAGATCCCCGAGAACATTTTAGGTCTACCAATCAATCGTTGGGTTTCACCAGCTGTTTATCTTGGTGCGATATTGGTATAATTTTCTTTCCAGCAATGAGTTTAGTTCCTTTTCTCTCTCTTTTTCGCTTTTTGCTCTTTTCGTCTCTACCATGTTGTTCAGTTCAAGGATACAGCTCACTACATTTGTGCTAGCTAGCTGTTTCCTGCTATATTGGTTGTTTAGTAGCCCTTCAATACCACCAGTGCAGTGGAATTCAAACAAATGTAACTTGTCAAATCCACCAGACCACACTACAACAATACAAGGTGCTCAGTATTCGTACATCAATATGAACAATGATAACGGCCAAACAGAGCTCCAGGGCAACCATTCTGGACACGTTCTGATTCTCACCCCATTCAAGCAATCTGTGCAGTTTATTGATCGATTCTTTGACAATGTAAATAAGTTGACTTACCCTCATTCTCTCATCTCTTTGGGCTTCTTGGTGTCTGATTCGACTGACGGAACTATCGAGAAGTTGAGAGAAAGGGCAGAGCTTGAATCAAGGGCAGAATCATGGAAACGATTTCACAGTATTGCTATATTTCAAAAGGATTTCAAGTTTGAGCTGGCATCCAACGAAGATCGCCATGCTTTTGAAGTTCAAGTTAAGCGTAGAAACATCATGGCGAAAAGTAGAAACACATTGCTTTCAGCAGCTCTTAACGAAAAGCATGAATGGGTACTCTGGTTAGATGGTGATGTTACTGAATATCCAGAAACCTTGCTGGAAGAGCTGATCGGGATGGATAAAGACATGTTGGTACCCAATTGCTACTGGCACTCGTATAACGAAGAAGGCGGCTATGACAAGAACAATTGGCAGGAGACGGCCGAAAGTTGGGAGTTCCAAAAGACGATTCCAGCTGATCAAGTGCTGGTAGAAGGTAAAGTGTGGTAGAGTAAAACTCTAAAAACTTGGCATTAACATGATGTATTCATAGGGTATCCTGAACTGATTACTCATAGGAAGCTGATGATTGATATGAGATTTGAGAACGGCAATACAGATTTGTTCCATGCTGTACCTCTGGATGCTGTTGGTGGTACTTGTACATTAGTCAGAGCAAGAGTGCATAGAGACGGTGCTATATTCCCTCCATTCCCTTTCCAACATCAAGTAGAAACTGAAGGCTTGGCAAAAATGGCAAAATCATTAGGATATGAAGTGTGGGGCTTACCAAATTACTTGGTATATCATTACATTTAACTTGCCTGGCTGCATTCCCTACTCCTTCTTCTGCTCTCCCTCTCCCTTTGCTTTGTTTTATCCCCTTGATTTGCTATCATTATATACTAGTCACGAAATAGAAATAAAAGCCCATGGATTATGTTGCCTTCGAGACAGATGCACATTGATTTTTTTGTACTGGAAAAACACTACTTGACATGGAAAACTTGGAGTTTTTAGAAGTTAGTGACGATGAAGAAGAGTGTTTCTACGAAGTAGAAGCCATTGTTGGGATGCATATCACCGAAGACGGTGAACGCATGTATGAAATCAAGTGGAAAGGTTATAGTTCATCGTAGTAAGTACTCTGAAAAAAAAAACATAAAGGTTGTGGCTCATATTCACTCATTGCATCCAGAGTATCAGATCTGTACATGACGCATCAATAATTGACGCTTTTTATTTCGTTGATAGGGAGAACACATTTGAGCCTGAACGCAACTTGAATTGCCCAGAGTTGCTAAAGGCATTTTTGGAGAAAGTTAATGCAAGTAATAAAGAGGAACAGCAGCAATAAAATCCTAGAATAAAGCCCTTGCATCTCCATCTGCCAACAAATAAATTCATTTTGACATTATCACGCAAAGCACTCATTGCATTTTTGAAAATTGATGTTTTATTGATTGCTCAGAAGGCGGTGGGGTTTGTTTTTGGTGAATTAAGATTGATGATCACAGTCTAGCCGTTCTCTCTTCAGCAATGTTTGTCATTGAAATTTATCAAAACAGTGCAAGATACTGGTTATCAATGCGTATTGCCTGCTAGGTTATCATGTCTGTGAATCAGTCTATACGCACATTAAAAAATTTTCGGTCACCTTTTATGGCTGGTAAGCAAATTTTAGAAGTGCACTCAGTCCGGATGTCGAGATCTGCTATTTAAGATATTCATCCACTCCCAGTTTTAGATTCTTTCTCTTTGTCTTCATCCATAATCAAATATGGTAAGTTGTCTATACATCAAGTCCATCCATCCATCCATCCATCTAACACAATATGCTATTCAATTAGTCCAACAAGAAGGTTGCCCCCAAGGTCGTCGAGAAGGTTACTCTCGGTCCTCAAGTTCGTGAAGGTGAGCTGGTTTTCGGTGTTGCTCACATCTTTGCTTCTTTCAACGATACCTTCGTCCATGTCACTGATCTCTCTGGTCGTGAAACTATCTCTCGTGTCACTGGTAAGTGTTGGATTGTTATGTAAAGGACGCCACTTTCCATCTTGCTATAAGATGGAGAGTCTGAGCGGCGTGTGTTTATTTGTTCATCTTATTGACTTATACACATCCCCCTCCCTGTGTACCTTTTTGTGTTTTTCTGTTCTGTAGGTGGTATGCAAGTTAAGGCTGACCGTGATGAGTCTTCTCCTTACGCTGCTATGTTGGCTGCCCAACAAGTTGCTGCCAAGTGTAAGGAACTCGGTATCAACGCTCTCCACATTAAGCTCAGAGCTACTGGTGGTACCGGTACCAAGACTCCCGGCCCTGGTGGTCAAGCTGCCCTCCGTGCTCTTGCCCGTGCTGGTATGAGAATTGGTCGTATTGAGGATGTCACCCCCATTCCCACTGACTCTACCCGTAGAAAGGGTGGTCGTCGTGGTCGTCGTCTCTAAACGGGTCGCTTCATACGTGCGCTATCCTTCTACATATTTCTGCATTTTTTTTTACATACAATTATGAATTAATAAATTCTTGTAATTGCTTTTATTTGTACATATTATATCTCTGAAACGAAGTGTATATCCGTGTGTTTATCAATTCATATATTTCGCATCCAGGATCGTATCTGAATGAGAAATTTACAACGATTTCATCTGTAAGGTATAAAAATTGACAATAAAAAAAAAATAGAATAGCCATGCTATTCTATAACGCTTTTCAGTTTGCAACCCCTTTATAATTAGCTTTTAACAGCATCGAATATCATCACAAAACGCATGGCAATACATTCGCCAGCTAAAAATTATTCATTCCTCGACTGTCATTTTGTCACTCGAAATGGAAATTTTTGATGCATTTTCGACTTGCCCCAAACTATTTTGCTAGATTCGACTATATAAGTCGTGCTGATTTTCTCATACTCCCTTAAGCTTCTTTGGAGTACTTTTCAAGGCACATCTAATGGTGTCATTTATAAGACATGTTTTGAATGAACTTATTGAGAAATTCTTGAAAATATGAAACGAGGTTTTTGGCCAAAATGTAGAGATTTTACTTGGTAAGGTTCTACAAAGAGAGTTTCAGGTGTTGCTTTGGATTGAGAGGAACATTTTGAATTAATACATGCCATAGTAAAAGTCTTCATTTTGGAGGCGAAAAACGCGATCGTTTGGTTTTCGATAAAAATTATGAGGTACCCCTCATGGTTTTTGAATAATTTTTGGCCATGTTTTTTTTTGGTCCCAAAAAGTTGAGCAAACGTGTCAGAAAGTAAGTGCTAGACGAGAGCAAGTGTTTGGTGCTATTCTGAAGGTCTAAAGCGGCCTCTTTCATGAGATAACGCGACTCAAATGCACCAAAATTTCAGTCTGTTCTGCATACATTTGAATGGTAAGAGGTAATGCAAGTAAAATGGTTGCCCGCATACGAATTATTTCATTAGCACAAGCGGGGGGGGGGACATCGTAGAAGCGTTATATTTACAGCTCTAGATCGTTTGTGGACATTATCGCAGGATAGAAAGCAGACAAGATGGAGAGCCTCAGTAAATATCAGTAGGATGATCGAAATTGAAAATGCTCTCTGCAGTATATGTAAATCAGAACAATTGCGCTGGCTGCCAAATATGAGGTAATAAGATGGATCATCCGAGTTGTCATTTCTTGAATGGAAGAATATTCGCAGTAGACTGGCGAAGGAGTCTCTTTGACAGATGAGCTCCGTTTGGCGGGGCAAAGTTTGTCCGTTGGTAGACATTGGCGATTATCCTACTGGAAAAAAACAAACAGGGCCACTTGCTAGTCATTTATTGATCTTGATGGCAGCACACCCCTCTATTCCATTATTGAGATTGCCCTACTTGGCATTATCTACGGCGATTAGGGATTTTAGCAGATACTGGTATTCGCACGGGTCATAAACAAGAATTTGCATCTGTTCTGTTCTGAACGATTATCAAGGATAGGCAAGGGAGGCTGCGCCTTTAGAGAGATCCCAAAGGTTACCGAATTAGCATAAATTGACAATTCTGGATCGTGTAACAAGACTTGGACCGTAAACTAGAGACGTTGTTCATGATGTAAATGACTGCGGTAGCTGAGGATTTGTCCTTGGATCCATGGCCATTGGGAGGCAAAAAGTCATTTGCTTTCTGATTAAGCGAACCCCGATTATACCGATGATTACTAATTCACTTGGTTGGATCAACAGAGTTTCATCTCCAAGATATACTTGAACAATCTACGAGATAGAGGATATTTTGCTAAAGAACATCTGGAAGCGTTGGCTAAAGAAATATAGAAAAATAGGGTTCAAATTGTAAGATCCTGTTCGACATTTCACAAATGAGATTGCAGAAATGTAGAGAAGATCTGTGTTTATAAATAGCCCTAAGGGTGCTGTCAAAATGAAAAATCTTCCATTTCTCTTTCTTCACATCTCTGCTGAATTTATATGACTATCCAGCTTTACAAGTGGCCATTTACCGAGCAATTAAAGCGATATCTCGCTCAAAACGGACCCACCACATCCACCATGTTGGGTCTTTTATTGCAAACCGGTCTGTACCCCTCGGTAGATCCCATCAAACCAGTCATTTGGTCATCGCATCCTGATCCATTCAATACGAGCAATGTAGTTGTTTGGATCATTGACAGAGGCGGATGCTTTTTGCGCACTCTTGTCACTTCCAAGATTCATCTAGACCAAGCACCCATGAACCCGGATAGCGTTGCCAAGTTGAGAGCTGGTGAGAACTGCTTGAACAAGCCATTGTTTGTAAACCCTGATGACGAAGCATTGTATCAGCACAGTATGCAAGTATATGCTTCTGTTTTGGATCATTTCATTTCTGAAAACTACACAGCTGATGATGGTATAGTAGACAGATGCTTTTAACTTTTGTCATGAAGCCGCCAGAACTAATCAGTTAATGTAGAGATCAAATTGGACGACACAGGCTTATTGTGGACACCGGTATTGAGCAAATTATTAGACATGCAGCTTCTGTCAAAATGCTTTATTTTTGTTAGGAAGGCATCGCTTCCATTACCGTCTATCCAACTGCCTGAAGGAGCTATCATGGATCGCTTAACCAGCCAAGAAGACGTGATGCTTACAAGAAATAGAAACAAGATTCTTTTTGATCCCAAATACGTTGAAGATGGTTGTCATATGTCCAGTGGCATCCGAATCAATGGTGACTTGGCCGCGAATGCCTTTACGCACAGAGACAGTACTGTATTTTGACATTCAAAGTTGTAAACGCTGGGATTGACGCATCGTTTCTCTATAGTGCTTGTTGGCGCACTACATGTGCTGCCAGAGTATCGCCGCAGAGGATTCGCAGAGATGGTCTTATCTGATATCTGTAAACAGCACAAGGAATTCTTCCAACATCAACTACCAGCTGACATCTCTCTAGACCATGTTTACTTTACTGCCTGTGTTGAACTGTACAACGTTCCTAGTGCTAGCTTCTTTACGAAAGCAGGCTGGACAAGCGTTGGTGCTGGCACACAATGGATCCAAGGAAAGAGAAGAGCTCAACAATAGATATGATAGACGTACCTGTTGAAATAAAGCCAACCTTGGCCATCCGAATGGCTGGGTAATTGGTTTTACCACAATTGCTGTACCACCTTGTTGTCATGTTTGGTGAGAGAAGAAACATGCGATTACGTCCTCTTGTGATAGTTTGTAGTGATGGGCTGGGCATGGATACAATGGAATGACTGTGTATCGTCTGCTCATCATTATGATACCATGCCTCCAGTTGAGCTTACAACGATCTCTGGTGCGCTCGACAAATGTGCCAGCGCAGAATGAGCTCATCATTCAGAGCGAACACTACATCCTATTCTATCGATCCTCTTTGTGACTCCACACACACTTGAACACCTCCTTCCAAATAGTACCTAAAGACACACTCACAAACCTAATCCAAACTTACGAAAGGGAATACAGGCAGAACCGAAACCTTTTTAGTCTTTTATTTTTTATTTTTTTTTTCTGTCCTGTTTGAGATTTCCTTCTTTCTTCCATCTTCTTTTCCTTTTGCCTACATTAACATGGCTAGAAAAACGTTCAAGACCATAGAAGCAGATGTGGATGCCGGCACACATGATGATCGACTTTACAACAAGGCGTTTGAGGGCTTTAGAGCCAGCTTGAGAAATACCCTCTTACCTCTTGTTCGCCACGAAACTCCCATATTGGCCTCCATGCAGGTAAAGCAATCTACTGAAGCCTTGTGTTGTCATTCCAACGCTTTTCTACCCATAGAAATCAATCCGCACACCTGGTTTAGATCGATATTTTGTTTGGACAGCTAATTTGGGTACGCATACATTTTTCATGATCTTCCTGCCAATCTTGATTTGGTTCGGCAATGCAGAGCTTGGTAGAAAGTGAGTTTTGATGGAGCTTTTTTTTATGGAGTCTGTCAACGTTGACCATTTTGTATGTGTAGTGTTGCATTTCTAGCAGCTTCCGGTGTGTTTTGGTCCGGATTTGTCAAGGCAAGTAAGCTTGTTGAAGACTATCTGTCTTTCTAGCCGTCTAATGATCACAATGCCATGTAGGATTTCTTGTGTCTTCCTCGGCCCCTATCGCCACCAGTGCATCGATTGACCATGTCGCCTTCCGTTGCTCTGGAATATGGATTTCCCTCAACACATTCGACTAATTCAGTCTCAGTAGCCTTGTTCTTGATGTCAATGGCATGTGAAAAGCTCGCCCCTGAGTCACCTGCTCGTTTAATCAGTGTCATTGCATGTACATTTTACGCTGTGAGTGTTGTGTTTGGCAGAGTCTATTGCGGCATGCACACAGTGACAGGTTTGTATTTGTGAGAGGAATCGGCTAGGAAACATGTGCACTCATCGTTTTAATTTCTATGAAAAGATTGTATTGGTGGATCCATTTTAGCTTATTTGGTTTACCTGGCTCAATGGACGTTTAAGGATCAATTCAACGCATTATTCACAAGCCAATCATACTGGGGTAAGTGGAAGCTGCTTTATCAAGAATGGAATGGGTATTCATCCGTTTTCCCTGTAGTGTTCATGGCGATTCCCATCTGCTTAATGCTTGTCTCCCTCCAGTAAGTAGTTGTTGCACACACGAGAGATGCCTGAAAAACTCAATCTATCCGCCTGCTCTAGCCCTGATCCCATGGAGAGATGTCCTTGTTTTGAAGACAGGTAAATAGTTGCAGTGCGGATCAGTAGAGACGCAGCCAGTAACCACTTCTTTGCAGTGTTTGCTTTATGGGTGTGTTGATTGGACTAATGCCAGGAAGTTGGCTGTGTAACCAGACAGACTTTTGTTACACTGGGTTGTCTTCATCTGTTTTATCAACACACATTGGCATCATGGGTGCCTTGTTTTTGCTAGTCAAGTTAGTCGCTGGCGTCGCTTGTCTGTTCATTTGGCGCATCGGTTGCAAGAAAGTCTGCTATTACATTTTGCCTCCAATTTATAGAGTATTCAACCTTCCTCACCGCAAGTTTGAAATTGGAGCCAGAACATACAAAAGTTTGCGCAGAGAAAGCATCCACCCTGTCCCCTCTGTCTTGGATTTCCAATCCATCACTGGCAACATGGAGGACCATGAGCATGTGGGTATCCAATCTGCTATTGATCTGAGAGAAGCTCAGGATCAAAAATTGTCTTATCGTGGTGGTGGTGGTGGTGGTGGTGTCAAGGAAGAGATGCCCATCTCAACATTTGCCAACGACAAGGAGGCGTTTGATCCCACTTCACTCTTAATCGTCGAGGATGCTCCACTTAGATATGATGTGGACATTGTCACCAAATTGATCGTATACGCTGGTAAGGCTTGTTTGTATAGGCTGATCAATGTGTGTTGCTGTACTGATTTGTTTCTTTAGGCATTGGATTTGTTGCCGTGTATGTGGTCCCAATGTTGTTTCAACTAATGTCCCAGTTTACTGTATAAATATATATATATATATATCCCCTCTCTCTTTATCGCCTTTATATAACTCACTCTTAAACTATCCCCCATCCACTTTTAATCTTATTGTCCATGCGAAATGACGTTCTGAAGTGGGCTTAATTATTAGTCGTGCCTGTCTCCCAGTTCGCCATTTTGCCTATCATACTACTTGTCTCCAATATACATACCATTTTTAATGCAACTGTCTATTATCCACTAGACGCACAAGCACTGATTTGAGTTAGTATAATACAGTTTTTATTTATGACAAAAAGCGACGCATTTTAATTTAAAAGGAGGCCGTTAGAATAGACCAATGACCTCTCCATTGTCATCTAAATCAACATCAAAGAAACAAGGGCGCGTAGGCAAGCCTGGCATTGTTTGCATAGTGCCAACCAAAGGATAGAGGAAACCTGCACCGACAGAGGCACGGATATCACGGATAGGTACAGTGAATCCAGTAGGAACACCCTTCAGGGCAGGATCATGACTGAAACTGTATTGTGTCTTGGCCATACAAATGGGAAGAGGAGCAAAACCTTGACGGGTATAAGTTTCAATCTTTTCCTTGGCCAAATCACTGAATTCAACACCATCAGCACCGTAAATCTCGCGACAAATGGCCTCAATCTTCTTTTCAATAGGGAGATCAAGCTCGTACAAGAACTTGAAGTCGGTAGGTTGCTCACATGCTTTGATGACAGCCTTACCAAGATCAACAGCGCCAGCACCGCCACGAGCCCAATGATCACAAGCAACAGCATCAAAGGCACCGGCTTTCAATGAAAGGTCACGAACGAGTTCCATTTCGGCATCCGTATCATTACTATATACACAAGTCAGTTCAATTATCTCAACAACCTCTGAGAACGGCTTACGTGAAACGGTTGACAGCAACAAGTACGGGAACACCAAATTTCTTTGCGTTTTGAATGTGCTTGACCAAGTTGCAACAGCCCTTTTCTAACAGTTCCAAGTTCTCTCCAACGTAGGCTTCAGGCAAAGGTTTACCAGCAATGATCTCAGGTCCATCGCCGTGAGTCTTGAGAGCTCTGACAGTAGCAACAATGACAACAGCATTGGGCTGCAATCCAGATACACGACACTTGATATCAAAGAACTTTTCCATACCCATATCAGCACCAAATCCGGCTTCAGTGATAACATAACCTGGCTCCATATCAGCACCGTCAGAACCAGCCAACTTGAGTGCAATCTTATCAGCCAAAATGGAAGAGTTGCCATGAGCAATATTGGCAAAAGGGCCACTATTAAGTAGGTGTAAGTTGCTTATTAACCAGTATGCTTACGATAAAACTTACGCGTGAACAATCGTAGGCGTACCCTCAAGGGTTTGCATTAAGTTGGGCTTAATAGCATCCTTCATCAACACGGTCAAGGCACCGCCAATACCGAAATCATCAGCAGTAATGGGCTCACCGGCCTTGGAGGAAGCAACTACCATGTTACCCAATCTCTGTCGCATGTCCTTCAAATCAGTAGCCAAAGCAAGCACAGCCATGACCTCACTAGCAACAGTGATGTCGAAGCCTGTCTGGCGTTCCATACCCTTTTCAGTGGGGGCTTGACCAATGGTGATCTTGCGCAAGAAACGGTCATTGACATCGACACCGCGTTGCCAGGTAATGGTGTTGGGATCAACATCCAAACGTACGAAACGGGAGATTTCATCTTGATCCAATTCAGCAGGATCCGTCTTGTTGATACCTAGCTTTTGAAGACGCTTCAACATGACAGGCGCAAATGAACGAACACCCTTCTTGGCAGGACACAAGCGATTGAACAAGGCCTTGTCAGTTTGAGTGTTCTCGTGGAATATACGTGCGTCAATAGCAGCAGCCATCAAGTTGTTGGCAGCCGTGACAGCATGAAGATCGCCTGTCATGTGAAGATTGAATTCGTCCATGGGGATCACTTGAGAGTAACCGCCACCAGCAGCACCACCCTTGATACCAAATGTAGGGCCCTGAGAGGGCTGACGGACACACGCAAAAGCAGCCTTGTTTAAGTGAGCACCCAGGGCTTGCACGAGACCAATGGTCGTAGTAGACTTGCCCTCGCCAAGAGGAGTAGGAGTAATACTGTATATACGCTGATTAGCATAGGATGATCTCTTTACCACAGATACCAATGCACATACCCAGTAACTACAATATAGCGACCATCTTTACGGTGATCAAGTCTGTCCAAGACATCAAGGTTGATCTTTGCTTTGGCAGTGCCATACAGCTCATACTACAAGCACTGGTTAGCATATACTGACCCGAATAAAAATAGAACCACAATACAATACCTCGCTAGCACTCAGACCAATTTCTTTGCATAGTTCATCAATGTGCTTGGGAGTTTGAGCCTTCGCAATTTCAATATCAGAGGGAACGGGTTCCTTTAAATCCAATTCAAGAGCAGAAATATCACGCTTACGGCTCAAAGTTAACCAACGCTCAGCACTGATGGCGGTATTTTGCATCAACATGGCAACTGTCATAGGGCCAACGCCTCCAGGAACAGGTGTGATGAAGGATGCAACCTCCTTGGCCTTTGCAAATTCAACGTCACCAACCCAACGAATACCAGACTTCTTGGTGGCATCTGAAAGTGTTTCAACTCTTGAGCTATCTGGGACCACAAAAACACACCTTGATAGCTTACCTTCAACAGCGTTGGTTCCAACGTCAATAATAACGGCTCCCGGTTTGATCCAGTCTCCCTTAACAAGCTCAGTCTTGCCAGCAGCAGCAACCACGATATCAGCTGCTCTGACCTATATCCAACAAATCAGTCCATCTAGACATGCTGTATAAGCAGTACGAAACATACAATGGCTTCAATGTCAGGTGTCTTGGAGTGACAAAGGGTAACGGTGGCATGTTCAGCTGTGAGTAATGTAGCAACAGGCGCACCGACAATATCACTGCGGCCCACAACAGCAGCTTGCTTGCCAGCAATGTCAATACCTGTAGATTTCAGCAAATGAATGATGCCCTTTGGGGTGCAAGGCAAGAAGAGAGGATCACCGCCCTTCTTGGCCATGTTGCCAATATTGATGGCATGGAAGCTACGATATGTCAGTCTGTTGCTCTGGTCTTTGCCACGAATGACTTACCCATCTACATCCTTTTGATAGTCGATAGCTTCAATCACAGCAGCCTCACTAATGTGGGAAGGCAATGGCATTTGAACGAGGATACCATGGATTTTGTAATCGTTGTTGAGTTGCTTGACCTTTCTTAAAAGTTCGCTTTGACTGATGGTCTCGGGCAGCTTTTCCATGGTAATGGAGATGCCAACCTATATGTGCAACGTATGAATATTCATGCCAGCAACACACAGTAGCAGCAGGAACATTCTGTGCCTTATGCAACTAAACGGCTTACCTCTTTAGCAGCCTTATCCTTCATTTTGACATAGATGGATGAATCCTCGCGAGCACCCACTTGGATCATGGCCAAATGAGGGCTGAAATGAGGATACTTTTCCTTGATGGCCAGGATCTTGTCTTTGGTTTCGTTGCGAACAGCTCTAACGTCAAGACATAGGTTAGACATGTCAGATTGCAGCAGATCAGCCAGCAGAATACTTTACTGAGCAATCGCTTTTCCGTCAATGAGGGTTGCAGTCATGTTACTATATGAGCGTTTGAGAACGGACAAAGAGGTGAAACGTGAACGCGAGAGGGCTGACAGCATTTAAAAACGAAATGGAAGTGTGCGTGTGACAATTGATGGAAGGCCGGGGAGTGTAAAACGAAAGATGCTCTTTGAATAGCCGAAGGAAAGCACCATAAAGCATCAAGATCTATTGTTGCAATATGTATTACCCTTAAAAGACAGTCCATTTCAAGATCATCTCTTGTTGTGTCTCAATCTTGATTTCGATGAGACTTTTGACTAGTATACAACCATTGGCATCAAGTTCCAAAGGAGCTCATCTGCCAGCAGCCAAACCAAATGTTGGATATGAAATCTTGTTTGATTGAAGATAGCGAAGAGAAAAGCATATTTTCTCGAAGCATTGTATCACAGAAGGAGATGGAGAGACTATCAGGGCGGGGTCCTCGAAAAGCAGCAGCGTCTGACTCACCCTAAATTTGTCATTCGGCAAAAATTGCATAATACATTGATTTAGTGTAGCAAGATGTCACTTTATAATAATTTGTTTATTGATCTACAATGTGGCTGTCATGATATATGGCCGTGCTAGTTACATATGAAAGTACTGGTTTGCTTGCCTGCTTACATGTGCATTTCTTTTGCTTCGTCATTCAGTGGGTTGATTTATCAAATGAAGATTATCTGTAGCATTTGTTCGCAAGAAATTGGACGCAACGACGCCGTATCGTTGGCCGTCTGTGGCCATGTATTCGATTTGACCTGGTATACACGCTGATCGTTTAGCATCTCTCTCAACAACCGCTGATTTCAGTTTATAGTATTTTGCACTGCTTACAGGTGAATAAGCGATGTCCTTTGTGCAGCCAGGATGTATTTGGAACAGCAAAAGAGCAACAATTCATCAGAATGTACTTTTCTACTGACAATTCGGATGAAAAGACCATCAATCAAATGAACCTCAAAATGAAAAAATTGTATGAAGAGATGCAGAGGCTTCAGGAGCAAGCCAGAGAGTACAATACGTTGAAGCAGCAGCACACTGAAGCAAAGGAGGACCTTCAGAGATCTCGAGAGCTAATCACATTGCTTCATGAAAAGTACAGCAATTTGAGACTTGAATTAAGCATGGCTAAGGCAGATTTAGCAAAGAAGAACTAACTATCGCTTCGTTTTGGCATATTAAATAACCCTTCTCCTAATTCAAAGCACTCATATGCTATCAAGACAATAAACTCGTAGTTTTTAGTCAGAAATTGCTTGGTCGATTCATGCTACATCTGATAGACAGTGACTCCTTTCTTTCTCAACATGACAATTAAGAAAACCCGCAGCTTGACAAGTTTTTTTTTTTTTTTTTTTTTTTTTTTTTTCGTCTTTCTTTCTCAATTTAAACACTCCACACGATTCAAAATGTCTGAACGTAAGGTATTGAACAAGTACTTTCCTCCAAATTTCGATCCGGCAAACATCCCAAGACAGTAAGTGCCTTCAAACATGCAAAGAATCATCATCTCATCTGTTGTGCCATTGTAGAAAAAAGCCCAAGGATCAGCAGCATAAGGTGCGTCTTATGTCTCCCTTCTCTATGCGCTGTGAGAGTTGTGGTGAATACATCTACAAAGGAAAGAAGTTTAATGCGAGAAAAGAAACGGTGGAGGGTGAGATGTATCTCAATATCAAGATCTTTCGATTCTACATCAGGTAATTTGCAGGGCCCACAGTAAGGAGGTTCTCGAACGTCTTTCTAATCCTACACTGGTTATAGATGTCCTCGTTGCTCTGCAGAAATCACCTTCAAAACAGATCCCAAGAACACAGATTACGTGGCTGAGAACGGAGCCAGCAGAAATTTCGAACCATGGCGTGGCGAAGAAGACCCTGAATCAGGATCTGACGATGAGCCTGATGATCCCATGAAGTCATTGGAAAGCCGCACACTGGATTCAAAGAGAGAAATGGACATTATGGATGCATTGGATGAAATTCGTACTAGAAATGCTCGATCAGAACGCTTGGATGTGGATGAAGTGCTAGATCGCTTTTCAGCAGAAGATAAAGTGGTGATTACAGACCGCATGAAGAAGGAAGAGGAGGAAGATGAGAGACAGGCAAAGGCAATTTTTGAAAGTGCGGATGGGCAACAAGTACGAAAACTAAAGGAGGCCGAGCCAGACGCTATTTCGTTAGTAGGTGAATCAGCAAAGGATATACCCTCGTTCAAACCAGCCGCGATTATCAAGAAGAGAAAGCAGCCTACATCGAGCTCCATTGTCGTGGTGAAAAAGCAAAAGAACGAAGCACCCAAATCAGCCAATGCGTTATCCTTACTCGCCAGTTATGATGATGATGACAGCAGCTCTTCTGATTAAGCACTTAATAAACTGGAAACTTTGTATTTACAACCATCATGCAGCTATGGAAAAGTGTAATTGGATTTTGATCGGAAGAGTTCAGAAGAGGATGAAGTACAAGTCTAAGTAAAGACCTTCAAAAAAGACCGCGAAAGCTGCTAATTACAAGTGATTGCGAACAACGAAGAGAGAGATAGGGTGTTGAAGCATCTTGTAGTGGAAACCCCTTGACCATACCTTGCTTCGCTGTCGTTTGGCAGATAGTCAAAGTTGTGCCGCGCATCTGATCAAAAAAAGGGGGGACAACTTTTTTACACCATATGTTGATGCCAAAGAAGACTTATCAAAAAGGTTATATACCGGACCTTGAGTGGTTACTAAGAATACCTATGAAGGGATTCTCAGTCGCTACATTGGTTATTGTCAAGCAATTAGGCGAGGAAGTGTAAAGTAAACCAATATATATTATATAAAAAGCCTGTGTTTCGATGCTATTATACGTTGTACAATTACCAACTCCACCAGGCTTCTCTATTCTTAATCAGACTTTGCTCCACTGTGTTTACTCTACAAAATGGGTCGGCATTTGAGCACCTACAATAATGCTTCCTTTCAAACCAGGTTTTCTACCCCCCAAATTGGAGTTTACGTTGGCAAAAACACGTTTTTCCTTAATAGCAGCACAGAAACGTTCATGTTGTGATGATCAAGTCTATGATATAAATCCAGGGCGTTGTATAACTCATACTAGCACACAAAAAAAAATTATATGCGCTACGACGGTAGCCAAAGCTAGCTTTGAGCGATTGATTTTGGACAATTTGGCTGGAGCTGACCTATTCGGTAGTGTAGGTCCGTGAAACCATTTAGAGTCGACTTCACTACAATCTCCTGGTGTCGAATCTGGCATTACAGAATCTGTAGGTATCATAAACTTCTATTCGCTCGACTCTGATACAAAACTTCGTTGTTTGCTTCCCCCATTATGCTGACACCAACTCAAACTGTCCGGTTTCAGCCATTTCTCTTTAAATATGAGTGTATAACATTGTGGATAGACTTTAAGTCCAGTTTCACAAATAGATATGGCCTCTCTGTTGTGGACAACCATCAAAAGTGTCCTGCTAACCTGATAAACATCTCATTCAATCTGAGCACTTGGTTGGATTCAGATTTGCATTATACCATTAGCCCTCAACTAGTTCAGAAATTTACCGTATTCGTGCATTTCAAAAAGAGAGACCTCCTGGGCCTTAGGATTAGGATACAAGCATCGATAGCTTAGGTGTTGAGTTCCGTACAATGCAGAACATCAGAGACATCAGACAGTGCTTTGGTTTATTTACTTTTTCGGCCACACAGCTTACTACGCCTTATAGGTCAAATTCTGTCCAAATCTAACCATTTTCAAATATAAATAGCTCATGCCACAAACCGTTTTGAGCGCTTGGAGTAGCACCAAACAGCTCCCGTTGGTTGCGCTTTAATTACTGATGCTTTATCTCAAATTTTTTTGGATCATTGCAAATCCATGGAAATTCTCATTTTTTTCATGTGTACTGGTAAGGGAAAATTCTTGAAAATCAAACGATCGCGTTTTTCGCCCCAAAACTGAAGACTTTTTCTATGATACATATTAGATCAAATTGATTGCAAGGATGAAAGGCAACATTAGAAGCTCTTTCTATGAGATTTTCCTACATGAAATTTCGACATTTTGGCAAAAAACCTGTTTTTATATTTTTGCAAGATGCTCATTATTTTCAGTCTGAAAACTGAATGTAATTAACACCATTCGATGCGGCTTCTTTAGTCCTTTAAAGGTATATTAGGAAGTTGGGTACGATAAGGAGAGTTTTCATAGTCAAATTTGGTAAAAACGTTCAAAGGATGTCAAATCAAGTCAAGCTTGAACATGAAAACACCCACTGCACAAATTCAAATTAAATTGCCGCAATTACAGCTGCCACGGTACAAGACTGAGACTAAATCTACTGGCCGTGACGTCGGATAGTGCGCCCTCTCATTCTTCCATTTCACCGTTTTTTTACCTTTTTTTGCAAAACGCGTTTAGTATGAAACTATGGCTGTTTTGGAAACCATTTGTTTGATAATAACACTCTAGCTTCCGATAACACTATCTTGTACTGTTGGAAGAACTTGATACTGTTTCTTTGAAGTGGAATATATTATGTACCATTCGATAACGAGCACAGGAAGGCGTAGAATTAACACTAATTGAATTTGTTTATTAGGTTTTGATGATTTTTTTGCCTGCTTAATGCGGGTGCTGCTGTTATTACTTCTCTGCTATCTCTGCTGTCTGCTTCTTTGGTTCATCATGTCTGGTGGTTGTTTCTTTGGTGTTTGTTTGGTCTCTGGTGTGGTTCATTCTTCGGTTTTTCTATGGTGCTGGTATTGCTACTGCGAATCTGGTTTTTTCTAGTCTTTTCTGGTCTACTGTATTTGGTGCATGCTCGTTCTTTGGTTCATATCCGGTGATTGCGTAATATCTGGCCTATCTATGGTGGTGATGAAAGGTAAGTAACTTGTTTGGTCTTTGTCTGGTCTCTACTGATGATGTTTGTTCTTTAATTTTTCTATAGTGCTGGCATTGCTATTGCTGCTGCTGCTAATATGGTCTTTTTTGGTCTACTGCATTTGGTGCATGCTCGTCCCCTGGCCTGTCTCCGGCGGTTGCGTATTATTCTCTGGTCTATCTGTGTCTGTGGTAAGTGGTAAGTAGCTTCTTTCTTCTGGTCGCAATGATATATAACTTCTTTGAACGTTTATATTGTTGCTTCCTTTCTCATGATAATGCATTCATGATGTTTACTTTGTGGCACTTTTTTCTTTTTTTGCTGGTTGTGTTACCTCTGTGGCTTCACATAAAACAACATTAGTCATTATGTTGCATTGCATACTGATAATACCACTGTTGTTTTTGCAGCTGTGTGTGTTTGTGTTGCTTTACATCCGATTATTGTTACCATGCATGTTGCTCATGTGTGCATTTTTGTTGCAACAATAACGAGCTGTTCTGAACATCTTTGATGTTGTATTTGTTATGCTTTTCTTTGACTTGCTTCGTGTGAGTGTCTCTTTTTGCCTACATGCTACTATACCCTTAGAGTAGTATGTTCTTTTCTTCATTCTTTCATTATTTTTGTGTTTCTTTGAAGCATACCTTTTTTACGTTGTGTGGATGTGCCTATCCCTGAAGCTCAACAAGAACTTATCCGAGGCTAGGAGGTGGATAGGCCGCCTCCACTTGGTTATCGCTACTTGCTTTAGTGATGATTGAGAGTCTCAACGCTAGAATCTAAAAGCTAGGTGGTGTAAGTAAGGCATGCTCTAGCACCTGGGGGAAATTTGATGATAGTAACAGCTATATTGCTATATATAACGGAGCTTAACATTTTGCCTCACACCAAAACAGGGGGAAACCCTCGCAAAATTTTTTTTTAGGTCAGCGGAGTATTCAAGCGATTTGATTGGCTGAGAGGTTTGTGGGATACATCCACTATTATCTGCATTCCGACAGTTCATCCAGTTACCAGATTTAGATATAAACTATATGTACACCGGATTAGATGTACAGTACGATATCGATTTATACTATAAGAAGATATGAGCTTCAGATACGCTAGTACTATAAGATTCATACTATATAAGATATAGGCTATATATGGCACCACGGACATGGATGGCGCTATAGACTTATACTTGTATTCCGACATTGACTACGGATGTTTACCATATCTGGATAAGCACCAAGATTAATGCAATATGAGCTTGTTGCTTCAGATGTGCACTTTATGATCCACGCTATAAGACACATGCTTATATCCGTGATACTAGCTACAGATACTTTATGTACTACAGACTTGTACTATATATGAGACATGCTATAGACATGCATACGATATGCTATAGACATGCCATATATCCAGATACATACTAAAGATGTATGCTCAGCGATATACACTCAGATATGTACTATTGATATAGACAAAGAAGACTGTACCTATCGGATACATGCTACTAGATCGATATTAATTATCCTTATTATACTGTAGGGGGAAAAACTGTCCCGTTCGTTTAAAAAATTGTCTTTTTGCATTAGTTTTTAGTCATTTCTCTGTATACAAAATCGAGATATATATCCTTTGAATGAGAGAAAGTATTGCTATCTATACATATTTATGACTTTTTCAAAAACTAAAATCGAATGATTTTGTTATTTAAAAAATAAATATAGAAAAATGTACATTATACAGTGCGCGAAAAAAACGTTCCAGTGTTTTGCCAAATTGCACTTATAGCCAGTTTCCTCTGCAAATATCAAAGCTACTGGGGTTTGCTTAGTTTCTTCAATAGCCTAAGTAGTTGGCTATCAGATGATATATTATGCGCTTTATTCACGTAATTAAAAAAAAAGTATGGTAGCCTCATGAAAAGTGAAAAAGTCGAATTTATTAAGTTTTATAAAAAAAGCTCATTATTATTTAGTTAGACCACCTTTACTCTTGATAACCGCTTTGATTCGGCGTGGCATACTGCCTATGTATTTAAGACAGCCTTCTTTTGTGAATTTATACCATTTCTGTTCAATTCTGTCTTCTAGCTCAGAAAGGCTGGTGGCCCTAGTAGGGTACTTGTTCAAACGACGTTTTAGTTGATGCCAGACATGTTCAATGGGGTTTAGGTCAGGGCTTTGGGGGGACCAATCAAGGACACTTTGCACAGAGAATCCGTGATGCGTGAGCCATTTTTTAATGGGACCAGAAGTATGTGGTCTTGCGTTATCTTGCTGGAATCTAAACGTTTTCTTGTCCAGCCCATAGTACTCGATAGTGTCTGATGTATCATTTCTAAACCGGATCTCCAAATGCGTAGAAACAAGCAGTTCAATCACCAATCACATCAGATCATAAACTTTGACATGAAACAGGATTTGGTTACGATCCATATCATGGCATGTTCAGGATAATAGATTAAGTCTATTATCCTATCAC